TTCCCCCCAAAGTCACACACACACACGCACTTTGCAAGGTAGTATCCACTGTCCCATGGTCTGGATGTCTCACCTTGAGGCGCAAAATCTTTCATCCATTGCTCTCTGAGAAACGGTGGATCCCTGTTGAAGGGGGTTAGGGTCAAAGCTAAACCACCAAAGACCGCAGGTTTTAGTCCTTACTTCCGTTGACCAGGGCAACCCACTTTGGGGTTACCCGATTTTTGGTCACCCCACACCCAAGGGGGATGTGTCATTTTTTTTAATCAAAAAGACAAGAACAAATAACATATCAGATAATTCTTTGTGAAAATAACAGACAACACAAACATGAACACAAACAAAACATACAACAACATGTTTGCCACTTTGGAATGGGCGCCAGGCTGGCAGCCGGCCCGGCCCATGCGGCGAGTCTCCACGACCAGCGCTGCTAAGCTGCGAGTCGCTTTCCAGACGCTTTTTTGCGGAAGCTTTCACGGGAAGCTTGAAAAAAAACCATTCGAAGAGTCAGAAGCACCAGCTTTCTGGCCCACCGATTTTCTGGTGGTTTTTGAGGACCGCAAGCCAGGACACCAGGAGACTAGAGGCATCTTTCAACGTGTTTTTTGTCGAGGAAGCCGCTGGCATTTTGCGCCTAAGACAGGTCTTACCGGCCGAGAAGCCCCCGATGCCGCTGGGCGGGGGCCTGCGTTTGCCGCCGGTGCTCGGGGAGACTCCGCCGGAGAATCCGGACGCCTATGGCTTCGTTGGAGCCCGGGGCCCCGGGGGGGTTGGGCGCCGGGGCGCGGATGGGACGGGCAGGTGAGTTCGAAGCATCAGTCCCTGAGTTCCACTTTGGACTTGAGGCACTCTTTGGGTCTGGGAAGGGCCATATTCTAGTGGTAGATGATGAGTTTGGGGACTTCTCTGGGCCATTTGCTCAGGAAGTGCGAGCTAACCTTTTGGTTTTCCGTGTTTGGTCTACTAGTACAGGTCTCAAAATGTTGACAGGGAAGGATCCGAGAGAACGGCCTGAATGTGGGAGGGACATGGGACAATGTCTTTCTTGTTTTTGGGGCCATGGCTCAAGCAATGTCAGCATACCAATTGGAGGACTCCCATAAAAATGAAATCATTCCGTGTCCGATTTCTGGTGGTATGCATGTGAAGCTGCATGTTCTTGATACTGGCAGTCTTGACGTTGCTCCTGTGCATTGCGTCGGGTTGGACGAGGAGTTGTTTTCAATCCAGGCGACCTGGGTGAACATTGTTAGGGCTTGGGCTGCAAGCGGACGTGCAGACCTGCATTTGGGGCTGTCTTTTTTCTGCCCCTTGTCTGTTGGTTTTGAAGAGAAACAAAGAGAAACCACGCTATTTTACAGTAAGGCCCCCCCAAAAAAACACAATTTGTGTTGGAGTTGTCTTGCACTTTCGAGCAGTCCCTCCCCAGGATGACTTCATGGCACCGCCGGAGCTGCGAGCCCATCCAGGATGGGATGGGTAGCTTTTGCACAGGCGACAGTGGACTCACTCTCTCTCGTTGGACCCATGAAATCCGAAATGCATGCAAGGCGGTCCCGGCCTGATGTGTTGATTGGCCTGAGCTCTAATTTTGCTATCGTCCTTTCGTGGTGGCTAGATCGTGTGCAAGAAGCAGCCCCCCGAAGTTCCTCAAAAGCTTGGCCCTGGTTTTCTGGGGGGATCAACCATCGTTCTTTGCACGTCAGCCGTTTCCCCGTCTTTTTTTCTTCTTTTCCTTTATTTTTTTCCTCGTGGTTTTCCCCACAAAGAATGGTTGGACATCACTCCTAGAAGTTTGTTAGTTTTATTTGGTGCTCGTAAGCTTTACATATATGGCTATGGGTCAAAATTGAACCACCAGGAGACCGCAGGTTGTAGTCCATGTGTCCTGGGCACCTATTTTGGACCCACAGCCACATTTTGAGTACCCGTTATTTAAAGGTGGACTTTGAACACATCTGACATCTGACACCTTCAGGCCCTGAGCTCTGCGACCGGGACTTCTGGGCTCCGGAGGATGCCCTCCCCGAGCTCTTGGCGGCGTTTGGCGCTTCAGATGTGGCCATCCCCCTCTGCCCCCCTCTCCCCCCCCACAAAACCTGCCAGTCTTTTCCCTAGGATCTACTTCTGCAAGCTGGGTTTCCGTCCTTTGCTGGGCTCACGTGAGAATTGATTTCCTTTGGGCTCAGAAGGAGATCGTCCGTGTTGCTCATCTTCGCGATTCAGGACTGGGGGTGCAGAGTGCGGACTGCGGCTTATGCCACACGTTATGCACACACAGACACACACACTCATGCAGATCACTTGCAATCAGGCTTCGGGCTCGGTCAACCAGTGTGACTGGATGACTCAATGGTGGCCGGCAGAGTTGCGAAGTGCCAGGTTCAGCAGCAACTTCGGAGGGTGATACATTGCAGCAGGCGAGGCAACATGCCAAGAACCCTCTGCACCCAATGGAAATGAAAACATCCTCAGTCAAAAGGGATAGCTAGCATTGATGCATCTGGGGTTCGTTCTTCGCTGCTTCTTAGGGTTTCGGCTGGTTTGGTTTCGGTTTGGCTTCTGCTTTACCTTCTTTCCAGCATGACAGCGGACGCGAGTGTCACCTTGTGAAGGTGCCGATGTGATCCCTGGCCATTGACGTCACCCGCGGGGGCCGCCGAGCGGCCGCTGAGGCGTCGGGCGGAGGCGCCAGCGCGCGAGAGGTCCGCGAGGCCAAAGTGCCGCGCAGCTGAGTTCTACCACGCAGCCGGCCAAAAAGCAAACGGCGTGCCATCGATCCCGCGCAGGACAAGCACGTGTTTGTCTGCCATCCTTGTCGGAAATCCCCGTCTGATCGAGCCCAACAAGTCACCCAATGAGACACCAACATGTTTTTCTTCGGAGGGGGCCCGTCAACGAGGCCGCAGGTGCTCTCCCTGCCCGCGTCCTCATGCCGCTTCTGCGTCTTCTCGTGGGTCGGCGCCCCGGAAAAGGGCGGAACTCGGCCAGAGCGCCTCTCTGTTTGAAAGTCCGGGTGACTTGTGCGGGTTGGCATCCAGTCTTTTGGGGTGATTTGGAGAGACCTTGTACCGAGCCGAGGGCTGAAGGATTCCCCCAAAGCCCACTCAACCAACGATTTATGTGGGTGTCTGGGTCCCGTTCCAACCATGGGCCAACTTCTGCTTAAAAACCACCACTGTCCAAGCAACCTTTTGGGCTTCCCACAAAAAAGGACGACTAGGCAAGCCTTTGTTTCTTCCACCCCAGGGTTCCAACGAAGCCATCGGTCCCGCGCCCGCCGAGGACGTTTTGACGAAGCCGCAGTGGTGCCTTGCCGCCGAGTGCCAGAAGGCCAAGGCCCGACTGGCACGGGGGTGGAGGGTCGGGGGATTTGCGTGCGATGGATAAGTCCTTCTCCTCCTATGGGATCCTTTTGGAGAACATTTTCCAAGAATCTGATCCTTTTCGGCTGGGTTTTTCCACAGAATTGAGGGTTGGGTGGGGGTGGGGAGGGGTCCCAAAGATGAGGACACTGACCAAGGGGCCTAGGTCAGGCGCTAAGATGTCTGATAAGTGTGCCTACCTTCTGGCGCGAGCCAATTGCTTCTGCGTCTGGTCTTGCAAGGACAGGCAGCACTAGACTTCTCGAACGGCACTCCGAAGCGCCAGTTGAGCACCTGTCACTCACCCTTGTTCGAGCACGTGTGTGGTTCGGTCAAACTGACTCACCTATGTCGGAGGTGATGCGAACCGCAGTGTTCCATCACATGCCTTGGGCTACTTTTGGGCTGGGCCTTGCCTCGAAAAGCGTAGCGGTTCCCACCAACCGACCAAAAACTTGCTGGGCAAGGGGCGCCAAGGGGACCGCACTGGGTTCAAGTCCTGGAGAAGTTTGTTTGAGTTGAGGCGTTTGGCCCTTGTCATGGGCTTCCTTATCTCAGCCTCGCGCCAGCTGATTTTGCTAGTGAAGCTGTCGCTAGCGCAGTCAGGCCGTGTACAGTTCACGTTTTGGCCTTCGATCCATGCTGATTTTTGTTAAGACATTGACAGGCATATGCATTTCGCTGGATGTTGAGGCCAGTGAGCCCGTTGAGTCTGTCAAGGCGAAGATGCAGGAGCAGGAGGGGACCCCGGTGGATCGGCAGCGCCTCCTCTTTGCGGGGAAACAGTTGGAGGATGGTCGAAGCTTATCGGATTACAAAATCCAGAAAGAAAGCACGTTGTACATGGTGCTGAGGCTCCGGGGTATGATCAGCACCTTCACATCCAGAAATAAATCGGACCCACTGATCAGGTATTTGATGCTTTCCGACGAAGACCGGGCACGTGCAGAGGTGCCTTTAGAGACACTCGTCGAGAAGGCAGACAGTCAGGGTGCCGATCCCTTTCAAACCTTCCAGCTATCAACGGATGCAAACGTCCTTGGCCAAGACGTTCGCATGCTGCTTTGCTCCTTTCTGGACTACATGTGGGAGGAGGCGAGTTCGGATTGCGAATCCAATCGCATTGACTTGCGCATGTGTGTCCCGGATGCCCAGCTGCTTCAACTGCTCTCCGGCCACGAGGCAACTGAGATTCTGGCCCAACTGCAGTCCATGTTCGAGGCGGTGCCAGATAGGCTGCACCTCTCCCAAGATCGCCATGCGAATGAGCCGAGGCCCCAGCGCTGCATGCATCAATTTTCATTGTGATGGCACCTCTGCAACCAGCACGGTGCAGATTGCCTTGAATGATCCGCTCGAGTATGCCGGTGGGCGGCTGTGCTTTTTTGTGAACCACCATCTTCACGTGCTCGAGCGCCCCGCCGGATCTGTATGCAGGCATCCGCGCGCGGTGTTGCATGGCGTGTCGGCCCTCACGGCCGGCACGCGCAAGAGCCTGTTTGTTGTGGACCACATGAATGGCTTGGGTGAGCGGGGAGTGGTGAATGTGACAAGCGCTCACGTAGAAGGTTTCAAGTTGCGCGAGCGCCTGGTGAAGATGTGCAGCATGTGTTCAACACATCCTTCTGACCACGTGTTGCTGCCATGTGGCCACGTGTGCGTGTGCTATAAATGTGTTGGGGACGTGCGTGAGTGTCCGCGTTGCAAGCGCAGAGTGGAGGATAAGCGCAAGATCTTGCTCTAGCAGCAGGGTTGGGCAAGTCTGGTGAAGCAACTCTGGGCCAGGATGCTGGACTCAAACCTGTTCACATGTCTCCCAGCAGCCCAGGCACAGCGAATTGCGGAGCATCGTCTTTAGACGCTGCGGAAAAGGTTGGCCCCTCGCGCAGGGTAAGGGCGTCCCACCTCTTGACTTCACGACATTGCGCTTTCACAGGGTTGGGATTTGCTTGGATGCTTCAGGGGGAAATGCAATACAAGGGGCTTTGTTCAAGAGAAAAGACGTCCCATAAGGAACCACCCAAAGAATTGACAGGACGCCTTTCCGAGGCGCAGTTGAGCCGTCAAGTGGCTGAAGGCAAGCCCCAAGCTGTCCAAATACAAATTATCCAAGGGCATTGTCTATCCCTTGCCGTAAGGTAAACCGAAGCCAGAGGGTGAGGTCAGAAATGTGCGAGGTGCTAGCAAGATGAGTCGGGACAAATCCATTTGTTTGGTTTGGGCCAGAGAAGGCGGGGGTCGCCCAATTTTCGGTGGCAATCACAGCGGCCAGGAGCACTTGAACGTCGCCTTGGCCAAAGGGCAGCATGGCTTGAAAAGGACAGGCCCGTCGGTATTCCAGACTGGTGCCGATGCTTTTTGCCCATCCGCCCTATGCTTTGTTGTCTCCTGCTTTGTCTCACCCCCCTGATTTGGATTGGGCTCCTCTCTGCATTGAACCCCCCTCACGAATTCTGGAAGAGCTTCCACCCAAACCGACGGGCCCCAAACCGCTGGAGGGAGCGAGTGGCAGGAGTTAGCCGAAGGCCGGGTGGCCTTCGCAGCGACAGAAGCCCGGCAGCGCATGCCGGCCGCTTCCGTGGGAGCCATCTTTGAAACGAGAGCTGAGAGCTGCCGGGAATTTTGAGGACATGGTCGCCACTTCCGTTCTTTCTTGGGCTTGCCTGACCGGGTTTTGATGGGCCCAAGGCTTGTGGCTTAAGCCAGGTCCCAGTGTCAATTGGGGGTCAGTTGCCTGCTCCGCACCGGAAAGTCAAGCCCGTGCCCGTTAGGAGCCTTCGGCCCAAGAGTTGGGAAAAGATGTAGGACAGCACAGGCGAAAACCTCAAGCCACGTCCAGTCAAGCCGAGCTTGAACAACCAGTCGAGCCCGCCCTGCGCGAGTGTGCAAAGAACAAGCAGTCCACGGGCCCTGGAAAAGAGTCGATGTTCAAACAACGGTGGCTTGAACTAGGAGCAGCGTCAGAAAGGTGGTGCAAGCAAAGAGGGTCCTGTTCAGGGATGTGAGGATTCTTGCTTGCAACGTTGGGCAGAGAAGCCCGCACTCCGTACACCTATGGCGACCTGCTGCCGTTTCTGCGCCTCACCCTGAGCCGTTGACATGCCGCGCAGCGACGTGCTGCGGGTTGTGGTGCACACAGTCGGGCGTACCAGGCGCACATTTTTGTCACCAGGTTTGGAAGATCTGAGGGTTGCAATTCATGGGTTCTAGTGGTTCATCGGCATGTTTGCAATGCTCTTGGCGAAGTGCCTTGCGGGGACGCTGCAGGGACCGGATGAAATCTGCGCAAAGGTCAAGTCGATTCGGGGTTCCGGCAGCCTTCCAAGCTTCCCTGCTAAGGGAAGCATGAACCATTCCATGTGAATCATCCAAATGAACCTCTGGTCATGGGGCAGGTGCCATCTTTGGCCCCATGCGCGAGTTCTTCGGTCCTTCACAGAAATCAGATTCCCTCTTCCCTTCTTGCCCGCACACCTATGGGTTTCTGGGTTCTGAGGGCAGTTGAAGGTTCAGAGCACATCTCAAGTTTCGCTCTTGCAGCTCTTGGCACCATGTTTTGACCCATTCTCAAGCATGTATTTTGGCACATTTGGGTGTTGTCCCTGCAAGGAGCAGCTGATCCTCACACCTCAGAAACGCCAAAAAAACACGGGTGTGAACATAGGGGTGATCATCCACTCGCATGACCTTCTCGTTGAGGGTTGCTGGGTGGTGGTAACCCCGGATTCAGAAACGACTGATTGATTAACAGGGGGTGTCTCCTTTTAGTGGGGGACTCCTTCGCTTTTGTGGGCGACCCTTCACCCCACGCTGGGAGGAGGGGTTTCTTGACGGGGTCAACATGTTTGAGGGCACCTTGGAGCTCCTCTTGAGGGCACCTTTGGAGCACCTTATGTACGTCTTGTTTTGAGTGCCACCGTTTTTTGGGGGTAGAAAGGGGGCTCCATGGAGCTTCCCCACTCGCCTGGGCAGGGAGAGGGGCTGGGAGACCCTGGCCGCCTCCGAGTATGCCACGCGCCTGGAGCGCGGTCGGCCTGTAGTCCGGGCGCGCACGTCCTTCCACCCGACTGGTCCCTTGGCTTGAAACGGGCTGGGTCAGTCCATGGATTTCCCTTCTCAGCGATAAATGGGTGTGGGTCAATATTAAATCACCAGGGGACCGCAAATTTTTGTCCATGTTTCCATTTACCAGGGGTCCATTTTGGGTACCTATTCTTGACCCACAGCCAAATACCGTCCCATCTGCTTAACATGGAACCTGACAGGGGGGGAGTCTGGACAAGGTTTTTTAAAAGGTGACCCTCTGGTGGGTTCTGTGTCAGGACGGGAGGAGGTGCGCGTCACTTTTGGATGGCAAATGTTTGGGTGATGTTTGAGGGGTCCCATCTCCCACTGGTGTCGTTGCATGGGCAAAATCCTACAAGTTGAAAGACCCGGTGTTTCGGTGTAACTTGGAAGGTGTGCAGTCTTTTGACCTATGTGCTGCAGTTGCAACGGATTTTTGATGGCAGTTGTTGACCACCACCCGCCTCAGTGTCCCTCCCCCCTCCCCGCGTATTGGGGACACCGGAGTCGAGTTTTTAGACCTTTGTGTTTAGAGGCGTTGGTTTGTTGGGTCGAGTCTGCAAAGTAGGATCTCAAGTCTCCAACCCCCCACCCCACCCAGCCCCCTCCAGCCCCCTCAGCTCCCCCGAGCCGTTGAAGAAGCGCCCTGGCACAAAGGTGACGCCTTGTCACGGGCGGTGCAGGAGCTGATCGCTCCAGTGGTGGCCCGGGCCTTTTTTCGGTATGGAGCTCACCACGAAGGGCCAGGTCTTGCTTCACAGGCTGATGCCTTGGAAGATGTGGGGGTTGATTCAAAGGTCCGTGATACATGGGATGACCCTTCGGCAAACCATCAGACATGATGACGTTCACCACCAGATGGGCCAAGTAATCCATGGTGATTGTGGCGTCAGGAATGTTGATCAATCCCCCTGCATGTGTATACGTTCCCACCGGTCAAGCCACGGAACATTTTCGCCCTGTGAATGGCTGGCAGAGGTCCTCCACGAAGACGGGGAGCAGATGGGCAGCGCAGACTTCGCGGCGATGCTCTGGGAGCTGCACGGGAAGTTCGACCGCGCCTGGTGCCCAGGACTTCGAATCTTCTCTTTGTCGTCCAGGTTAACGATATGGGTCGCAGGCGCCACATGCACGTATGTACGAAAGTAGGACATACATGCATACACATACAACATGCACGCATACACACGGACAATTGGCCAAGTTGGCATGATTTGCCCTGGGTGGCACACACAACTGTTTCACCGGGCCGGGGTAGGTGCGTGATGTGCGGTTGCCTCACAGGGAGGTGGAAGGTGCAGCTTGCCTCACCGGGGGGGGGGGGGGGGGGGGACATGGGGGGACATTTTTGAGTGGCGACCCATTTTTCTTGACAGGTGCAACTTAAAGAGCGGTGCGACACCTGCTCATGTGAATCCAGGGAAACTGTGAGAGCTTGCCTTTCTTGCGTATTGTGTTACACCAAATCACTGGCAATTCCATTTTGGGTCGATTTCCCTTTTGGCCCCGGTTTTGCGGGTCGGTGAGACCACCCCCCCATGTCGAGGTCTCCTTCGTCATAGGTGGAGCTGACGGCCTTCCACCGGAGCTCATGCCGGCAGACGGCTCGACCTTTCGGTACCTCGGAGGAAGAGCCGCGCGCGCGCGCCGCGCACGTGGTTGGTCTTTTTTTTTGGGGGGGTCTCAAAATTAGGGACACCTCCGTGGTTGGGATTTTCCGGCGCCACAAGGCACATCTCCCTGAGCCGGATGACCTTTCCCCACCGCCTGGCGCGGGTGTTGCTGCTGGAGCAGGTCTTCCGCGCCCGTGAGATCTGGGCCGCATCCCACTACCCCAAGTAGGGCGACTCGCGCGTGGTGGTGCTGGTGGTGACGCAGTGCAAAGCCAAAGCAACCGGAGGGGATGCGGTCCAAAAACGCACAACTGTTGGCATGAGAATGCCGCAGGCGTGAACCCAACTGGCGCGGATGTGGGGCGGGGCCATCCCAGGCGAGCAGTGGGAAGAGCCTTTGATCGTTGGACGTGGAGAAAGGTGATGGCTCGGATATCGTGCGGACGGACCTAGACGACAACCAGGCCGCGAGCTCGCGTGAAAAAATCCGCGGCCGTGACAGAGCGTTAGAGGTCGCTCATCTCAAGGCATCACAGGAATAGGCGCAGCAGATGTTCACATGCCGACGCTGGCCACTTTTACCCGTGCCCAGCTGTTCACTCTGGGGAGTGCTTAGCAGACATTTTTTTCAGCTTACAAGGCATCAACAACTACATGTCAGCAACCAATAGCAAGCAACATGCAACTGATTCTGTGTAGCGCACGGCTGCTGACGAAACAGTTGCTTGTTTGACTGATGTTCACCCCACTTGTCCTGGTTCGACCAGGATTCAACATGCTTCCTACTATGTAGCCCACCGGAATTGTTCTTGAGCCTTTTGGCAAAATAGTCTCGGCCATGGCAAAGAATCCGTGGCTCCCAGAACCCAAAGCGCAATGCTGGGTGTGGTTTCGGCCGCTGGGTAGCGAGACCTCAGGCGCGGGGTGGGGTGGGGAGAAGTCCGGGCCATAGACAGCGGCGCAAGTTGCGCGCTTCGTTCCTGGAGGCTGGGGTGGTCCTCTTTGTAACCAGGGGGTAACTGGGTGATGGTCCTGCTTAAAACCACGGGGGTCCTGGGGTGATCGCCTCCTCACAAAACCACGGCGTATCCGTGATGGTGAACTGGGGTGATGGTTCCATGGGGTAACTGGGGTGATCGCCCGGGGTAACCGGGGTGATGGTCTTTCTTATAGCTATGGTTATCACCCACATACCCACGGCGTAGGGGTGATGCTCCCCCCTATAACCACGGCGTAAGGGTGATGCTCCCCCATATAACCACGGCGTAGGGGTGATGCTCCCCCATATAACCACGGTAGGGGTTGGTCCCCCTTAGAACCACTTCTCCTTAAACCATGGGGTTTGAACTGGGGTGATCGCCCCCTGACAAACCGGTCCCCCTTAAAGCCATGGTTCTCACCCACGAAGTTGGTTCAATAACCACGGATCCAGGGCTGATGGCCCCCCTGAAAAAAAACCAGGTCCCCGTATGGCCATCACCTGAAGGTCCCCTTATGGCTATGGTTTTGCTTAGGGCCATGGTTGCCACCCCGCAGGTTGGCTCATCCAAGTTCGCACCCCCCCCCCCCCCCTCCTTCCCCCCAGGCCCCCGGGACGCGGCGGCGCTGCCGCACACCTCCGCCGCCCACGAGGAGCGGCGCAGGAACGGTCTCTGGGGCCACCAGGCGTACCGCCTGGCCCCCGCGGTCTTCGTGGGGGACGCGGAGGATATGGCGGCCCGGCCGGGGTTGAGGAAATGGCCGTGGTGGGCAAAACGAAGGGTGCACCACCCATTTTGGAACCTACTTTAGTGGGGATTGGGATGTTCGCTGGGGGTACGATTTGGATTTTGACCCATGGCCAAATGACCCCAAAGCTTCAACCCAGCAGGGGTTCTCAGAGGGGTTTCTCAGAAGGGTTCGGAGTTTATTTTTCTTCCGGGAATTGCGCCATCTACCTTCACCCTGGTGCCGAACATGCTGAAATCCTTGGTTGTTGAGCATTGCGCATTGTCAGATACGTCCTTGCCGCTTTGTTGTGGGAACGTTTCAGGTGGTGGTCAAGGAGATGCGGGACAGCAAGGCCCAGCTCAAGGTGCGCCCGGGCCTGGTGCTGGACTACTACGAGGCGAGACGAAAGAGATTCGATCCCTGAAATCCATGTGGCCATGGAACCCACCAGGGCCACCTTCAAAGGAACTTATTTTCTGGAAGCTTTGGTGGAGCTGGCGGGGTAGGGAGAGAAAAGGTATGCCTAGCATGTTAGTTGGTGGGGTACCGGCAGGGGGCTGACGTCATGGTTGCGGCAAATTTGCGTTTTAGGGTTTAGGGTGGTGCAAATAATCCTGCGGTGCTTGTTTCCTCTCAGAGGGAGTGGGGGATTTTTTGCCAGGCACTCCAGCCCATGTTGGCTTCGTCCCCCGTTACTTCTCCTTGGGGGAGTTGTGCCATCCAAGTCACTCTGCCAAAGTGACTAACTTTTTGTGGGTTAAATGGAATCCCCCACTAAACACCCCAAAAAAAAAATCCAAAAAGCTAGCCACCAAGTTCACTCCGATGTACAAGGGCTCGAGTCGCCGCCAAATCACGCCCTGAAGGGGCTACTGGTGCTGGAAGCGCTGGCGCTGAGCGACGCCCAGTGCCCGTGGTTCGAACATGTCAAGGACATCCTGGAGAAGGAGAAGCTGCAGCGCGCCCCGGCGGTCGCTTTGTTTTGAAGGGCTTCGTTTGGTGTCACTTGGTTTTCGCTTCCCGGGCCAAAAGCTGTCTTGTTCTCACCAGTTCCGAATCAGATAGTCTTTTGAGAAGAAAAGGGCTTCTATCTGCAACTCTTGCCGTGGTTGCGACTCCTCCGCGGTGCTGTTTGCCAGGGTTTGCTGGTTCCCGGCCCCCTGCTCCCTACAGAATGGCCAAAAGATTCGAACGCGAAGGGGTGGCGCAGGCCAGGGCTCCATTTTGGGCACACCTGAAGGACTAAATCTGCGAGGTTCCACCCAAAAGTGGGTTGCACCAGCAGAAATCTGCACTGACTGCCACTGACAGGGTGCCATTCTTTGAGCAACCCATGTTAGTCTCAAGCCCAGCGGCTGGTTTTGACAAGCCAAAATTAAGAGGATCAATGAATAGGCGCGTTTGCATTTTTCGGTCCTTTTGAGTCCTAGCGCCTTTTTTTGTGACTTGGGCGATCCCAAAATGGAGCCCTCGAGGCAATCTAAGCCCCAGCCTCTACGTGAGCAAGAAGCTTCTCACAGCGGCGGTGACAGGCCCTCAATTTGTGACGCGGGAGGCCGGGGAGCGGAGAGTCAGGCGTAACGAGAGGACAACACCAGTGGTGATATCAATGATACGCACACCGAACGTATCACAGAGCGAACGCACTACTTGAAAGCGCTCACCCAAGAGTACCAGGGCGCTCCCCTTGCCACATACCCAAAAAAGGAAAAGTGAGGATGGTTTTGAGGTGCTCTCTCTCTCTCTCTCTCTCTCTCTCTCTCTCTCTCTTTCTCTCTCTCTCTCTTTTTCTTTTTCTCTCTCTCTCTCTCATTTTTTCTTCGGTTTCTTTTGACTTCCTTTACACCAACCTCGCGGTACCCACGCAAAACACGCCCAAGTGCAGATTTTCAGCTTGGTAGCGGAAGCCAAAAGGGACCCCCCACCATTTTGTTGTTGATTTTTCACGCGGACCTAGAAGATGAACCGCCCAGATCAGTCCAGGGCCAGGTGGTCGCACACCGGCGGGCGCCTTTGCGGGCCGACGGGCCGCAAGAGGTGGAGGCACCGCCGGGGTGGTACCAGGCGCGGGTCGCCGGGGGGAGTTGCGTAGGCGCCGGCCACTACCCAGCTGCAAGTTGAGGTTCGCCCCCTCACGGGAAACCAGAGAAACGAATGAAAATAAATCCAAGGAAAGAAACCAAGCAGAAAAGCAAAACAGAGACCCCCCTGCAAAAGTCGACGTCCCAGATGGTCAAACAAAACGGAGACCTGTTCTTTAGGGCATGCTGAGGTCAACCGCCTGGACTGACAAAAACATGTCGCCGGCCATCCAGGTGGACCGGCTGCTGGAGTATTTGCCGCCATGGGAGGCCTTTGTTCACCCGAAGTGCGGCTTGTACCAGGCGGCATCGGGGCACCGAAATCCGTCGGTTGAATGCGGTGGGTGTTGAAACCACGTCAGGTAAGTAGGTGATACTCATGGTTACACGGGAGGATCACCCCAGTTGCCCCAGTTCTAGCCATAGTTACAACCTATACTTGCCTGATGATGGGCAACCGGCTGCTGAGGACTACTACCTGGTGCAGTGGGCCCCCCCGCACGCCATGGACAGCTACGCGGACACCCCCCAGGGCTGTGAGCAGTTCCCCCATGCCACCTGGGAGCCGGACGAGTGCCTCCCGGACGAGCTGGACGCGTCTTGGCGCAGTTCTGGGTCCTTGCAGGGGGCATCTGGGCGTGTCTTTTTTTTTTTTTGAGGGGGCCAGTCAACCCCCCCCAAAAAAAAATAATTGTGGCTTGCCCCTTACAACCAACCAAAAGAGGGTTCCTCCACAAAGCCTCCCTTGAAATTCGCCCCAAACGAAAGCAACTCGAACTGTCTACACCCATTTTGCCCAAGTTGCAAACCCAAAGGCCCCAAAGGCCTGTTTCAATGGCCAGGCCCTACGGATCTCGGCCAAGAAGCGGTGGCTGGAGGCCCAGCGGGAGAAGGAGAAGGACGGCGGCAACCCCCGGAAGTTCGTGCGCTCCGTGGGCGAGGAGGTGAAGGCGGCCGCAGACGCGTTGAATTCATTTGGCGGCGTCAGGAAACTTGGGGGGAATGTCATTTGCGAAGTTTTTCGTGGCCCCCTCCTCCCCCTGCCCCAAATTTGCAAAGAATTATTGACACATGGAGCCGGACCGTTTGGTCTTGAGCAAGAGGGTACCCGCTTGAGAGTTCATCCTAGATAGCCAAGTTTCTGCTTTTTCCAGTCACTGCTGGTTCTTTGGGGTCTTGCGTGGATGGAAGAAAGCGATCGCAACTGGCGATCCAGGATGTAGCGGGGACGGTTCACATGGGAAGAGCCGCGCAGGCGGACCGCAAGCGTTTGGTCGAGGAGGTGCCGGCGGCAAGGAAGTTGGCCAAGGCGGCTCTCGCCGGGGTGGGGTTGGGGGGGGGGGGTTGCTGTGTGGTATAAGTGTTGCAAATGGGGAAGCCCTTCAAAGGTGGTGGGTGGACAGTGGACAAACCCAAAGCCCACCAAAGGGATGTCCACCAAAAGGGTTTAATATGCATATATAACCCCCGGAAGTGGTTTTTGATTGGAGATGCGTTGGGCGCGCCTTCAAGGTCCCCTCTCCACCATCGACATCAAGTTTGGAGGCGTGAGCCCCCGATTCAGGGTCTTGGGAGGTCTACAACCTGGACTTGCATCGCCACATGAAGCACGGGCTGCGCGAAGCCCTGCACACGGAGCTTACGGAGGACTGGCACCAAACAAGACACGTTGCGACAGCCCTGCGTCCTTGATTTTCAGCACCCCGCACAAGGAGAGAACCACAGCTGGCTTGGGGACAACCGAACAGGGCGCGCCAACCGTTTTGGGGCACTTGAGGCTTCTGCGGATGCCAACCATCCGGGGGCAGTTGGCGCATGGTTGGCTCCCCAGACTTCGCCCGCTGCCAGGGCGACAAGCATCGGATCCAGACCGGGTGGCCGAAGCGGCAAAGCTCCCCGGCCGCGGAAACGTTAAACCATGGGGTCTTCAGAGTGGGACGGGTCAAAAGCCGGGGTTTTTTCAGGGGGTTTTCCGGTGCACTCGGGGTGGGGGTCACATGCTGGGCACAGTTTCGTGGGAAGCTCTGCCATAAACTGGTGCGGGCGCCGAAGCTGCAGTCCATCATGGTTTGTGGGTAGACCCCTCTGACAAAAGGGCCTCCCTTTCCTTTCACCTTAGTCTGCCTTTCTCCCTTTAAAGCCGTATTTTCGCCCTTAGTCTCTCTTTAGCTCCGGGCACGGTGACCGGTCTCCAAAAGCCGCAGGTGAGTATCGTACCCCCGGTCAGGTGAGTACCCGCCAAGCTTCGGCCCGGCCATGCCGCCGGGCTTCTGCTGGGACAGCTGCCGCTGCATGGAAGATTGGCACACGGGCCCGCAGACCGACGAAGGCGCTCAGAAAACGCGGGCAGTGGGGCTCGGGCGAGTGGGGCCCGTCCTTTTGCCCTGCGGACGCGCGAATTCACTTTGGAAGGAAGCCAATTGCTTCACTTTTTGCCCTGCGAATGGCAGTTTCTTGAGCCTTTGAGGGGATTTTCTCACGAATTGTGCAAGGCTTGGGAAGAGAATGGATTGTGGCGTTCAAAAAGGCAACAGAGAAATGGGGGGGGGGGTTGACACTAACACACAACGCATACACGCAGACCTCGCAGAATTGTTTCTGTCCGTTGAGGGCATTCTTTCCAGGGGGGGGGGGGCAAAAGGAAAGCGGCACCAGTTTTTCGGCTTCCCCCACCAAGACAGCCCCATGGAGACAGCGGCGAAGGGCAAGCCGAAAAGGCAAGCAACCTGTTGGGTGGGGCCCTTTCGTCAGAAAAAACAAAAAAACGGGTGCCCCCCCAATGGACGGTTTCGTGCCTCCGGGCCGTCCCTTGGCTACAAGCTAGCTGTTGCTGCTTTGGCTTCCCTTCTTGCAAGGTGCGGTTTGCAATGTCCAGTTTGAAATTCAAAACTTTACCCAAATCGGAACCTTTGGAGCCAGCTCTAGAGCCCGGACCTTGCCTTCTCCAACCGCCCTCATTGATTTTGGGTGGAGGGTTTGGGGGGCTTGGGGGGCTGCATTGGGGTCATGAGCCTTAGAGCCTTGGTCTTTCCTTTGGTGCATGTTGCTTGGATGTTAGGACTTTGACTTCTTGCCAACTAGCGGGTTTTCCATTCAACCACCAGAAGTTAACCTTTAGAAAGCAACCGAGTTCCTTTGGTTTGCGGGGCCGCATTGGAGGGGTCATGGGCCTTGCGTTAGTTTTTCCCTTCGGACGAGGCAAGTCGTGGCTGGATCACGTGCTGCGAGATCAGAAGCTGAAGGCGGCGATCGAGAGCTTCAAGACCCAGCAGTTCCTCCAAGTCCGGGGCAAGGCGCGCGCGCTGCTGGGCTGTGGCGGTGCTGGTGGCGGGGGGCGTCTTTGGCCCAGCCCGGGAAGCCCCTTTTCGCATTTTTTCGTCTTTGCTTTGCTTTTTCCTGGGTTCTGGTTTGGGGGAGGGTGAAGTGTCAGCTTGAAGGTTTGGATTGCCTGCTTTTACAGGAGGCTCTCGAAATGATGAACCACCGAAAGTGGGGCACCTTTGTGTTTGTTTGAGGGGGGGCGATCGCCACGTGGGTGGGTCCGTTTCGAGCGAAACCCGCATTGGTTGCAAAGGAAGGCCAGAGAAAACCGTTGATCTTTCTGCGCCAGGAAAATCCCACTGAGCGTGAGAAAGTAGTCACGGTTGGCCGGTCCACGTAGGCATCAGAAGGTATAAGGCTGATTTTCCACAGCCAGGAGCACAACATGTTGGTATCACAGGTGGGCATCATTTTTTTGTTTGTGTGTTCCCTTTTTTACATGAAGCGAAAAGGAAGGCCACAATTTCTATTTTTTGTGGTGTCCGAATCCAAAAAAAACGAAAGACGCAGGTGACGAACCAGGGCTACTTCCAGCCCCTCACAGTGGCTCCACGGGACCCGCGCCAAGAGGAACGGCGGTTGTGCCAGCAAGCGTCCCGGCGAACAGAGGCGAGCTCGAGAGAGCGAAGGACATGAAGCTCCGACAAGGATCCCTTACTTCAGATTTTGTGTTCTTGCAGAATTTGCGGATGGTTGGCTGTACTTGATTCAAGTCAGGTTGGGGATAGCTGTTGCATTCCACAAATGGCTCATTTGGCCGAAGTTTCTAATTCATATGCGCGACAGTCATAATGGGACTGTGGCCCACATGAAGACTTTTGGCCAGTATGAGGTGCGTCGTCAAAGTGTCCAGTAGTCTATGGTTCATTTGGGTGCGACATGTGGGGATTTGCAATTGTCTTTGGTGTTGTGTTTGATTCGGTCTGTTCTTCGTTTCTTTTTCTTTGCAGTTGCGGCAGTCAAACAATAAAAAAAAAAAACAGAAGCCACTTGGCTTCAGCCACAACTTGCAAGTTGGGCAGACGTCACCATGCCGACCTTCCCTTCCTTTTGTGAATGCGCACCCTTTTTCTATTTCGCCAGGAGATTTGCTCTCCAGGGGCCTCCATATGGGCCACCGTCAACTCATACAGATTTCTAGGTGCGTGAGTGGCACCCTGAGTCCCTGGACTTTGTGGGTTGCGGCCCATTTTAGCGGCCAATGTGCAGATTCTTGCGGCATGCGCTCTAGCGAGAAAGCCTTCTGCCGCCTTTTGGATGATTCCGAAAAGGAAATCCTGGCGCCTTTGCCTCGAATTGTCCGAAGGGCGTCCTCAAAAAGGGCTTCCTGGCTTGCGACCAAACATCCTATCCTTTTCCGCCTCAGGTTGGCGAACTGGGGTTTCAAGGAGTGGTTCCAGGTTTTAGCTTAGCTTGATTTCGCCTGGCGAGAAATCTTATCCATCCCAAAGTTGGGGACATTGACATTTGGGTGTGGCTCAAATTTTAGCGCTGGGGTTACGCAGGTGTTGGTCTTTGTTTCCACTTACCTCCGCTTACCTGGGGGCCATTTTGGGTACAGGTTTTAGAGCCACAGCTATTTGCTGCTTGCCTTTGCCCTCCATCCGAGGTGGCGAAGATGGTGCAGAAGGCCATGGATGCAGCGGTGAACCCTTTGCCTCTGGCGGCCGCCACCGACGAAGGCGATGCCATGCTTCGATGCTTGGGCCCGGTTTTTCGCGGGTGACAAGGTGGCAAAACGCCTCCGGTGTCCGGTTTCCGCCGGAAAAGGAGGGCTCAGTTTCCCCCGTTTCTGCCGCACATTCTAGGGGTTCATTCCCCATTCTTTTCCACCATTGTTCTTTTCAAAAACCAACTGTCTCCCCTGAGGTTCTGATTCTGGACAGAAGCATCCCTGGAAAGAATGGACATGGAAGTGTCCCCTAGACAAACTTACCCAACAATAGAGTTTTGTTTTTTTTGTTTTTTTGGGCAAGCGGCCAGATGCCGGCGACTTGCTGCAGTCCTTGGGGATCCTGGAGGATGAGGAAGAGAGATCTGAGATCGAGAAGGCGCAAAGGGAGTGGGAGGCATCTGCTGAGGTCCCAAATGCTGGCAACACCTGGTTTTTGTTGCGTGTGCCTGTTCCTTGTGGGGGAATGTGGAAATGATCATGTTCAAGCAGAATCGAAGTCTTGCCGGCAGTTGGAGTCTGAGTATTAGGTTTGAGATGGTTTGAAAAGGAAGCGGAAGCAGAGCCAGGTGGAAATATCGCCTTTTCGAGTGGTCCCAGGCATTGCCACATCCGCAACTTTCTTAGAGGCAAGCAGTTCTTTTCCCCCCCCCCCTTGGCTGCGCAAGGCAGTCAGTCTGTCGCTTACGTATCGTGAGTTGCGAAGGCACGCAATTAAAGCATGACTTTGGGGCAAGCTTGGGGAGACCGTATTGCCCCCTTCTTGCCCCCAAGACAGTTTTTGCTGTGCCCTGAAGGCAATGGGGACTGAGGAAGAAACTCTGGTTGAATGGGAACCTAATGGAAGCCAATTGATGCATGGGAAGCACTCCAAATATTCCACCGATTGTTCGTGGAACTGCTGGGTCGATTGGTGTTTTGGGGGTTTGAACCTCTGATTCCTGTAGAGGATTTATGGGAAAACCCCTTGGTATTCCTCCAAACCACCAATCAAAACCACGAATCCAATCCACCAATCCACCAATCCACGAGTCCACCAAACCACCAAACCACCAAACCACCAATGCACCAATCCACCAATCCACCAAGCCACCAAACCACCAAACCACCAAACCACCAAACCACCAAACCACCAATCCACCAAACCACCAAACCACCAAGCCACCAAACCACCAAACCACCAAACCACCAAACCACCAAACCACCAATCCACCAATCCACCAAACCACCAAGCCACCAAACCACCAAGCCACCAAGCCACCAAGCCACCAAGCCACCAATCCACCAATCCACCAAACCACCAATCCACCAATCCACCAATCCACCAAACCACCAAGCCACCAAACCACCAAGCCACCAAGCCACCAAGCCACCAATCCACCAATCCACCAAACCACCAAACCACCAAACCACCAATGCACCAATCCACCAAGCCACCAAGCCACCAAACCACCAAGCCACCAAGCCACCAAACCACCAATCCACCAATCCACCAAACCACCAAACCACCAAACCACCAAACCACCAAACCACCAAACCACCAAACCACCAAACCACCAAACCACCAAACCACCAAACCACCAATCCACCAAACCACCAAACCACCAAACCACCAAACCACCAAACCACCAAACCACCAAACCACCAAACCATCAATCCACCAATCCACCAAACCACCAAACCAAACCACCAAACCACCAAACCACCAATGCACCAATCCACCAAGCCACCAAGCCACCAAACCACCAAACCACCAAACCACCAAACCACCAAACCACCAATCCACCAATCCACCAAACCACCAAGCCACCAAACCACCAAGCCACCAAGCCACCAAGCCACCAATCCACCAATCCACCAAACCACCAAACCACCAAACCACCAATCCACCAAACCACCAAACCACCAAACCACCAAACCACCAAACCACCAAACCACCAAACCACCAAACCACCAAACCACCAAACCACCAAACCACCAATCCACCAAACCACCAAACCACCAAACCACCAAACCACCAAACCACCAAACCACCAAACAACCAATCCACCAATCCACAAATCCACTAAACCACCAAACCAACAAGCCACCAAACGACCCAACCACTAAACCACAAACAACCAAACCACTAATCCACCAATCCACCACCAAACCACCAAACCACCAAACCACCAAACCACCAAACCACCAAACCACCAAACCACCAAACCACCAAACCACCAAACCACCAAACCACCAAACCACCAATCCACCAATCCACCAAGCCACCAAACCACCAAACCAAACCACCAAGCCACCAAACCACCAATGCACCAATCCACCAAGCCACCAAGCCACCAAACCACCAAACCACCAAACCACCAAACCACCAATGCACCAAACCACCAAGCCACCAAGCCACCAAACCACCAAGCCACCAAGCCACCAAACCACCAATCCACCAATCCACCAAACCACCAAACCACCAAACCACCAAACCACCAAACCACCAATGCACCAAACCACCAAGCCACCAAGCCACCAAACCACCAAGCCACCAAACCATCAAACCACCAAACCACCAAACCACCAAACCACCAAACCACCAAACCACCAATCCACCAATCCACCAAACCACCAAACCAAACCACCAAACCACCAAACCACCAAACCACCAATGCACCAATCCACCAAGCAACCAAGCCACCAAACCACCAAACCACCAAACCACCAAACCACCAAACCACCAATCCACCAATCCACCAAACCACCAAGCCACCAAACGACCAAACCACCAAACAACCAATCCACCAATCCACAAATCCACCAAACCACCAAACCACCAAGCCACCAAACGACCCAACCACTAAACCACAAACAACCAAACCACTAATCCACCAATCCACCACCAAACCACCAAACCACCAAACCACCAAACCACCAAACCACCAAACCACCAATGCACCAGTCCACCAAGCCACCAAACCACCAAACCACCAAACCACCAAACCACCAAACCACCAAACCACCAATCCACCAAACCACCAAACCACCAAACCACCAAACCACCAAACCACCAAGCCACCAAGCCACCAATCCACCAAACCACCAAGCCCCCAAACCACAACCACCAAACCACCAAACCACCAATCCACCAAACCACCAAACCACCAAGCCACATCAAGCCACCAATCCACCAATCCACCAATCCACCAATCCACCAATCCACCAATCTACAAAACCAACAAAACCAACAAAACACCCAAACCACCAAAGCACCAAACAACCAATCCACCAATCCACGAGTCCACCAAACCACCAAACCACCAATCCACCAATCCACCAAACAACCAAACCACCAATCCACGAGTCCACCAAACCACCAAACCACCAAACCACCAAACCACCACCAAACCACCAAACCACCAAGCCACCAATCCACCAAACCACCAAACCACCAATCCACCAAACCACCAAACCACCAATCCACCAATCCACCAATCTACAAAACCAACAAGCCACCAAACCACAACCACCAAACCACCAAACCACCAAACCACCAAACCACCAAACCACCAAACCACCAAACCACCAAGCCACATCAATCCACCAATCCACCAATCCACCAATCCACCAATCCACGAATCCACCAATCTACACCACCAAACCACCAAACCACCAAACCACCAAACCACCAAACCACCAAACCACCAAATCACCAAACTACGAGTCCACGAATCCACGAATCCACGAATCCACGAATCCACGAATCCACACCCTTTTTTTGGAGGGAAGCTGAGAGTCCGAACAAAGTGGGCTTGGGAGCAGCCGATGTCAGGAGACCGGAGGTCCCTTCGAGCCGATAGCTTTCCAGAAGGTCTGCGGGCCAGACTGGCCGGGGCCCCAGCAACCCCCGGCGCGTGGATGGATTCTATTCGGGGCTCAGGCGGATGTGGCTGTGGCGCAAAATCCCCCGAAAATCCCATGTTGCATCTGGCTAGATTGGGCCATTCTGGCTCTTCCGCGCTTTTCGGTGCTTCAAAACCATGTGCCAAAATGGCACCTTGGGAAGCGGAAGCGAAGACTACGACCGGCGGTTTGCCCTAGGTCTTCAATTGTGAGCCACACCCATTTAGGCGTCCCTGAAGGTGTGTTTGATTGCAACCGGATGGATTTCACGGGAGTAGTTTGGTTCTAAACCATTTTGCTCGTAGATTCTTCACGGAGGACACTCAGGGAGGACTCGGTTTTCCAACTCCAACCTGTTTCTTTGGTGCCCACTGGCCGATGGGGAACAACTGGCGGTCAGCGCCAAAACAAGGGTCAAATATTGAGGCTTAGCAAGTGCAGGTTTGGAGCAGCCGACGGGTTTGGGCTTGGAAAGCGATCGGCTCAGGATGCAGGTGGACGCGTGCTCAGGGAAGATCAGCACCATCGCCAGCCAGACGCCGCGGGCCTTCAAGGTGACGCTTCTTCGTCGATTTGGGTGTGTGTCTTCTTGTGGGTACTTTTATTTTATTTTTATTTTTTCCTCGTTTTTGAACGACCATTTAGGAGGGTCCCCAATTCCTAAAGCAGGCACAGCGTTGACAGACTCAACCCGGAAGCAAACAGTTTCAAAAGGGTTTTGGGGAAGCAAGCGGGGACCGTGGGATGGCCAACCTGAAGGGGAACGGGCCGCATTTACGAATTGAAGATGCCAACCCCAAAAACTTACGTAGTGAAATGCCTGGACACATGCTTTGAAGATCCCTCCCCACCCCAAAAAACCCGTGAAACTGCTGGACAACGTCCGCAGTTTCAGCCTCTTTCCGGCGTCCAACGGGCAGGTGGAGACCTTGAGCATGCACGTGGACTTCTTGGGGGCTGTGGAGCAGCATCGGAAGCGGATCGCGCTGCAGATCGGGCCCGAGAAGACTCCAGTGCCCGACAACCTCCCGGCACCTTGGACGCGATGGGTGGATGGGTGGGTGGGTGGGCGGGCGGGGTGGGCGGGTGGGCGGGGTGGATGGGTGGGCGGGCGGGCGGGTGGGTGGGTGGGTGGGTGGGTGGGGTGCGTGGCATCCAGGTTGGCAACGATTCCCCAAAGACTGGGCCGCATGTGTGTTTTCTACCATCCTTATTTTGGAGTTAATCATTATTTCCGCATGGGCTTGAGTGAATGACTTGCATTGGGCTCGGGCAAGGGGGAAGGTGAGGGCTGGTGCAGAAAGGGGCTGGATGCTTCGGCAATTGGGCTCTGATCCGTGCATCATGTGCAAAGCGATGTTGACCGGCAATTTCTGCATCTCCTTTGCCAACACGGGTGGCTTTCACCTTTGGTTGAGAAATTCAAGAAAGGAATCTCACTGCGAAGGGGGAGGCCCAGATACACAGTACATAGTGAGCACTAATTTAATTACTAATTTAAAGGGAACACCAACTCTTTTTGTGGCTTCCAATTTGGTTCCATTTTGCAAGAACGGGTGGCTCGCGATGTCGCCATGTCCAGGCGTGGACGGGGCAAATCATGGACAAGGTGCGGGCGACTCCCCTGGTCATCTTCCCTGCGGAGGGGTTCATCAAGCAGGTGGGTCTTGTGCAGTGGGGGTGGGGCGTGGGGGGGGGAGAGAGGAACCCACAGCCCACCAATCATGGATGTGCAGAAGCCCCCCTTTCCCAAGAAAGGACTGTAGTCTGCAGGGGTTCCTGCTTTTCCATTTTGGGTGTATCACTAGTGCCTCTTGCAGGGTCATTTGGCCTTTAGCCATGGTGGGCGCGAAGGTGTACGACACCGAAACGCGGGCTCTGCACAAGAAGGTGACGCTGGCCGCCTGGCTGCGAACCATGAAGCAGGCGCGGGTTCGAAGCCTAGCGCTCAAATCCAGAAGGCAATTCGGGGGCGGGCTGGCGGGCTGTTGTTGATGAAGCAAGTGGGTGAGGAAAGCCACCAATTTTAGGGATCTCCCCGTTTCGACACATATCCAAATATGATGTTGGCCTTACTAGGGGCTTATCCCATAGGCGGAAAGGCAAAGCCCTGCAGGTGTACTTGGTGTCGCGCGCCGCAGCCTGCAACGCCGCCCTACGTCCACAAGGGTAAAAGGTCTCGAAGCCGTCGGCAGATTGAGCGCGGCCTTGCGAATGCCCTCCTTCTCAGGAAAAGGTGTTGACTGACAATCTAGGAGGGTCGCGCCATTCCGCGGGTGGAGCCTCAGCCCCACCAAAGCTCACCCAATGGCTGAGGGGTTAAGAGGCCGTATTAAGGCAAACAATGGGCCGGAGACCGGCTCGCGGCTCGCGTGTGGCTCAAGTTTTGTCCCCTGTGTGTTGGAAGGGCCACGGGTTTGCTGGGGGTTATTGCATTCCCGGCTCGGGCCTCGGATTTTATGGCGAGTTCGCAGCACAGGCACAAGGGATTCCTGGCCTGCATGAACAGTCCCCCTCCAGGAAACCCTGATGCCTGAGCAGCCGCGCCAGAAAGGGGTTTCGGCATTTCGTTGTATCAGTCGTGTTTTTTGCCGCTGAACATGTTAGTTTCAGCACATGTCTTGGTTGAGCCGCCAGTGTTTGACCCCGCGCCGAGGCCCAAGTCTCCCTGTGGCTACTGCCTTGGGCTCGGCGCTCAGCCGGGACCTTGCGAGTGCTTCGCCGGACTGAGCACTGCACTCCTGGTCGCTTTTCTGCATGTTGTTGAACCGTCTGTATCTAAATCGAGCACAGGCTAGGACCTAGTTGCAGATGGCCCTGGAAGGGCCCTCTTGCGCTTTGTCAAAAACTCCCGCTGGAAGACGACGAACTCGCGAGCTCGCAAACTTGGCTCGAGCTTCTTTCGGGCTGCGAAAGACCTGAGGCGGGGAGGGGGGGGGGGGGGACTGGCTGCAGGTTTTGTGGCAACTCGTGTCACCATTTCTTTTTGGCAATAAACGGGGGGCCAACGCTTGCGGAGGACAGAATCATGTGTTATTCGGCATTTGATCGTCTGAACCCATTTGTCAGAACGGAGAGGTCGGTCACCCAAATTGGGGCCACCTCGCTAGCCCTCCACTGGGAGTAGCGGCTTGTCCAGCGTTTGTAACACTTGTGTTGGTGTGCTTGCCTGATGGCCAACCCAGATTGTTGAGTTGTTGAATCACAAGTGCCGGCCGAACCAAGTTGCAGATAGCACAACCCCTACCGACTCAAGGCCCCCAGGCAGACCTTTGATCAATAGATTCTGAACAAAGGGTGCTGAAAGAAAGAAAGCCCCTTCTCACTAAAACGACACCCTCCTTAATCAAGGTACCCTCCAAACGGGCGCGCTCATGGGTGGCAGGCCGGCCGGAGACGGCCGCAGCCATGCGCGCAGGGAGGCCAAGCGCCGCTTGTTTTTGGAAGACCTCCGAAAGACCGTCGGTCGGCTTCCCCAGCCATCCCCTTAGCCTTTGGTCTGCGGGAAGCCCTTTGAAGCCCTTCTTGTGGGCGCGGGTTGTGGGCAGGCCGAGCGTCAGTGGGAAAGCACCAATCTCGCCAGCCAACCCAAGCCAAACCTGGAGCCCTTCTTGTGTGCAGGGTGGGAAACCACCAAACTTAGCCCCCCCAAGCCTCAAGTTCCAAACCAAGGGGCAGATCGGCTCTAAGGCGCTGGCCCTGGCCAGCGTTGTCCACTTGGCAGCAGCTCAGGCGGTCGCAGAAGTGGCGGTCCGATTTTGGTTTCCCGCCAAAACGAATTTGAGCAACCGGCTTGATAAGTATGGGGGGCATTTCACTTTTGAGAGGATAAGCAAGTTGATTAGTGCGGTGTCGACATTGAGCTTGAGCTTTTCCTGAGAAACATTGTTTCGCCACGCGCTCGCCAAACAAGTCAGGCTTTGCGGGTGAACGATGAACCCAGCGGTCCGAATAGATTCTCAGTCGCCAGTCCTTTATTTTCTTTCTTCTTCGGGGGGGGCAACCAAATTCGTTCAGTGTTTTTTATGGGGCCCTCAAAGAGGGAGTTCAGTTTTCCTTGAGTTTCCCTTGGCAACCACAAGAAAACGCGAACCAACTCCAAGAAGGCGAGCTATTCACCGGTGCCAGGCAGGAGTTTGGGAGGCCTTGGAAGAGGAGTGTGACCAGGGCCTGGGGCTGATGCAGGCGAAAGGGAGGAAGATCCACGTGAAGGGGAGGGGGGGTCGGTGGGTGGGTGCCTGACGTGATCATAGGACATGTGATAACCAGGTTAGTAATTATTCTGCCCTCTTTTTTTAGTGATGGATTGCTTTATGGGTCCTGTCGTGACAAACGCCGGGTTTGCCAGCAACTGAGGGCAACAATCCAAGACCCTGCCAGATCGCTGAACCGTAGTCCTGCCAGTGGGGGTACCAGGCAAGTCAAGGGGTCTCTGTCGTCCCCAAGACCACTCCCTTCAAGGAAAACGGCATAACCTGTGCAAAGTCTTACTCCTGCGAATCCAGGCTTTTTCGGCTTGTTTGGAGCTCGGAGGACTACCTAGGGTGCTAAAGTATACTTCCCAGGGATTTGGTGGTGACATTTTCAGTTTGCGTTGGTGCTAGGGTGGGACTGCTTTCTTCGGCCCGTTTTCCCCCTGGAACGCTGTTGCTTTGCCTCAAAATTGCGGAGCCAAACGGGCACCCAGGTTTTGCAAGCTCCGCTCTCGTTTTTGTTTTAAGCCAGGTCAAGTCGGGCTTCCAAGAGGTGGAGGCGGAGGAAAGCAACTCCCTCTGGCAAGGGGTCCGCGAGACGGGCACCACCTGCATGTTCAGCAACTGCCCAGACCGCGACCCGGCATCCTGTTTGTTTGTTTTTCTGCCCCTTTCTGTCTTTCTATTGGTCTGTCTGCGTCTGTCTGCGCTGTAATTATGTTTCAGACTTACACGAGTGGCTCGCCTTTGGCTCAAAACGCAGACTGAATTCTTTGCACTGCCTGGGTCATGGGCTTGCACATTTCCCCGCTCTCTTTAGGTCTCGGAACTTCAAGCACATCTCACTGACCGAAATCCTGCAGAGGGAGAAAGAGGGAGAGAGGGAGAGAGAGAGAGAGAGATGTATGGCTGTGCCTTTTCTGGAGGGTAGTGTTTTCAAGGGGAACCAAAGGGACAACCAAAGTCCATTGATGGATTCCAAATCCAAAAAAAACCGGCCACACCTATTTTGGAGTTTCGCGTGTCGGGGCCCAGCCAGATCCGAGGACTGGGGTCCGAATGCCATCACTGGCGCTGCGTTTGCCTCAAGGCCCCGAACTGCTTCCCCACCCCCCCCCCCCCAACGGCTCGTACAACCGTGGCCAAGATCCAAAGTACTGTGCTGAGCTGGTTATGTATCTTGTTGAGGTTGCCATGTGAATTCTGAAGGGAAGCCTGAGGCGGTTCCGTGCGATTCCCGCTGTCCAGGGCTTCCGGTACCACCCGGCGGGTGACGGCACCTGCGTGTCCGAGGAGGGACTGAGACACAGTGCCTCTTGGAGGAGTGTTGGGCCTTCTGTGAACTTTTAGGGGTGGTTTCCTGGCAACGCTTCAAGCCTGAAAGGGTCTTGAACAGGAGTGCAAGCAATCCTCTGGTGGGTTCCATACTGCGTGCAAGCGTCGGTCCGAACAGAGACCCTTCCCCTACCTTTTTCGTGTTCCCCCCAAAGAGAGAAAGAACCACAACCCCCCACAACCCCCACAACCCCCCACAACCCCCACAACCCCCACAACACCCACAACACCCACAACACCCACAACCCCCACAACCCCCACAACACCCACAACACCCACAACACTCACAACCTCACTTCAAGGAGTTCATGGACTTCATGCTTTTCCGTAAAAAAAGAGTTCCGTTTTGTGCCAACCCACTCAGGAAGTGAGTAACCCAGGGGAGAGACAACCAACGGCTCCCTTCAATTCTTTCGGGCACCTGGCCAGGGCTCCGGCCGAGCGCGGCAGTTCACGAATAGCACCTGCTTCCTGGCCAGCTGCCCGTCGAAGTACGGGCTGACCCGGCGCAGCGCTTGGATTCTGGGGGTTCCTTGCGGGTTGGGCAACGCGGCAAGGTCCAGGTCCAAATGCCCCATTTGGTTGAAGAGCCGCGGAACCCCCAAGAAGCCCCCCTCAACCAAAAGACGCTCCATATTTGCAGGCATTTTCCGGCCACCTAGCCTTCCTCGAGCTAGGTGCGTTGGGCACGAGTGCCTTTGCCTAGAAGGCTACGAGCTTCAAGGAGGCACCGTTTGCGGGCGGCAGGGGCGATGTGGGGGACCCCAAATAGAACACCACCATTTTGGGACCCCTTTGACACACAACTGCACCCATATGTTGGGAGGGTGCCGACCTCGAAAAATCATGGCCAGGCGTTTGCACCAAAACTGCGCACAGTTCCGAAGCTTGGCGGCAGTTTTTGGTTTGGCGCTGTACCCATCTGCTCGCTGTAATGCAAGGAATGCAAGGTATTTGTGCATATATATATATGTATATATGTATACATATACACATTTATGTGTATATACACCACACACACGTGTATATAAATGTACATGCTCTTATCTTGCATATGTTTCACGCCCCTATTTCATGCGTGGCAGGTCGTTTTCATTTCCTTTGGTCCTTCCACGACGCTGCCTCAGGACAGATCCTTTGGACGCGGCGCTGGTGGCTGAGCATGCGCATGCACCCCCCCCCCCGGAAAATTCGCCCCCCTTTAACCACCCCCCCCACACACACCCGCAAACACACCCTTGGGGAAGACCAAAATAAACCGAACCTGGAGATGTGTTTGGCGGGGATGCAGCCAGCAGCTTGGTGCAAAGTGCGTTTCGCTGCGCGGGAAGGGGCCCCAGGCCTCCAGCAAGTCGTGCAAAGACCACACGCGCTGCGCCGCGCGGCTCAGCCCGGGAGACGTGCAGCGGCCAAAGGGAGAGCGGTTGGGGCATGTGTTTCTTTGAGGGCACTCCTTCTTGGTTGAGTCACAAGGGAAACGAACGGACACGGCTCGTTTTGGGCATTTCCCCATTTTGAAACAAATCCAAACTCAGCTTAGGGACCAGGGACAGGCCCAGGGTCCAGTGAGGCGCCTTTCCGAAAGTGTTTTACGCCTGCCCAGGCAGAGCTCGACCTTAAGGGCGACTGTGCAGACCCAAGATTTGTCTTGCAAGGCGTATTGGCCATTTGGATGAACGCGTCTGCCATCCGAACCCCTGGAATGCCGACCAGACTCGGAGTCATTTTGCATACAATAGAATGACGCTGCTCAGCACAGCCTGAGGCTGTCCGAACCCTGTCGGCGCAATGCTGGGCTGCTGTGCGTGAGCCCGTGGAAAACGGGATGGGCTCCCAAAAAGGCATAGGCTTCCCTTGGAGGTCAAACTTGTCCCCCGGGGCGGGCAAAAGCACCGCCCTCGGCGGAAGAGCCGCGCACGGGACACAAGTTCGGATGCATCTCGCGAGAGCTTAAATAAGCAGAGCTGGTATCCCCAATAGCCCCCCTGGAACCCTCCGGAACCCTTCCTGAAAGCTCCCCCAAACCACCCCGTCTATCTGGGCAGAGACCCATGGCTTTCAGCTGTTGGGGGAAAACAATTCACAAAGCATGGTAGCGCCTGGGATCCAGCGCCCATGTGAAACACTCACTGGCGCCACATGACTCGGGGGAGGCCTCGCCTCACAGATAGCCCGCAGGCTCCGCCCAGAGTGGCCCAAGGAAGGTCAGCGTTGCGCGGATGGGCAACCTATTAGCGCGACTAGTCACAACGGGGTCCTTCATTTATAGAGTTCTGCTCGCTGGTCGGGGTCAGGTTGAAAAGCAACACCATGCGACTTCGAGTCTTGCCAAGTCTCTTCCGTCGCACCAGGGGTTGCATCAACTGCCATGGCGACCACAGCAGCGGCCGATGTGAACACTGCCTTGGCCATTGTGCCACCAGAAGATGTACTGCAGGAGGCAATGCAGTCGTGAGCGATAGGTGATGTTGGAAAATTAAAGGGACACCACCCCCCACAGAAATTTTGAGACGGGGCCCAGTCTTACCCGATCAGGGCACTCGCTAGGTGCAGCTGATTCGACAACAGCACGACCGGGCTTTCTCGCGATGGCCGCCTCACGTGCGGCTGATGTGGCCCTTCTTGCCGCTCCGGAGCGGCTGCGTGCTTGAAATTTTTGTTGGGGCAGTGGTTGGAAGCATTTCTGCGACAGGATAGCTTTGGCGCGGCTAAGCCGGCTGGACAGGCTTCTGGGCTGAATATGCACATGCCGGCAGGTGTAGCTTCTGATGGGCCTTGTTTGCGTGTCAGCATTGGGGTGTGTCTTTCTTTGTTGAAGGTGCCCCTTTTTGGGGTTGGTCTTGGAGGGGCAAAGGGCACCCACCGTTTTCAGGCCCCCCCCCCATCAGCATGCGGACGGGCCGGTGTGGGCATAGGGGGCGTTGGGCAGCTTTTGGCAGGCTGGACGTGGACTCCTTCGACCTGGAGCTGCCCCAGGTGCCGCACGGATCAGGGGGCCAGTCAAAAAGATCACCGGTGGCCAGCTGATGTGGAGTTATTTTTGTTTGATCCTTTCATGAGTGGATGGTAGTTGGGAGGATCCGTTCTTAGCTAATGCCCGGGGAAAAGAGGTGGGTTTTGGATGGTATCGTTTAAAGAACCCTCTAATCACCTGAGAAAAACGCGCCCCCGCTCGCACGCGGTTTTTCGGTGCTGCCGGTGAGCTCCTTGGAAGGTCGAGCTTCTTGCTGGCGGCGGCAAGGGCGAGAGGGACCGAGCGCCGCTGGGATAACGTGGGCGATTTGCATCGTGTCAAATTGTGGGACCCCCATCGACGTTTTCTTTTGGTTTCCCTTTGAACCAAGAAAAAAAGGGACTCCAAAGCCACAAAGCCACCTAGCCTCAAAAAATCACACCACTTGCTTTCCGGACCACTTGGGACCCCACTTGCTTTGCGCGGTGAGGTATGTGGGCCTGACGCCCAGTGCCGCCTCTTCCGATCATCTGAAAGCAATCTGGGAGGCGTTGGGCGAGATCTTTCCGGAGCCGCGGAGGCAGTGTTTAAGTGTGTTTTTTGAGGGCACCGTTTTTGGGTTGGTTTAATAACGGGAATCCAGCAGAAAGTCATGTTCGGGGCCCACTAGTTTGACATGTACCCCAGTAGGAACTCGCAACTCTTGGCGTAGTCATCTCGCTTTGTTGCGACTGGCAGGAGCGTGTCGAAATGGGAAGTGATACTAGGGCTCTGTTCGGGATGCGTTGGTTTTCCTGCTCTGGGGATGCTTCTTTTCCATAAGCTGCATGAAAACTGTCGTCCTTAGCGCCCGGTCTCTCTGCTCGCTCGCTCGCCGCTTGCATCACCTTTGGCGTGGCCGAGGAATGCGCCGAATGCGCCGAGTTTCACCTGACGCTTGGACAGCTCCCGTCCCAGGAGGCGGGCTCTCAGAGGGCCAGAAAGCATGCCCCCACCCCCTCCCCCCCCTCACCCCCCAGAAAGCGGTGTTTTTCGTCTGTTTGAATCCCGGGTGGTTTCCCTTGCAAAGTAAGAAAGTTGAAAGGATAGCCAAAACACACAGCCATGTTTGACCATCAAGCCAAAGTGAGAAGAAGGGACAAATGACCGACAGGCAGCCAGCCAGCAGACAATTCCGGAGCCATAAGGTTCCAATGGAGCAAGTTGCCCTCCCATGCCTTGGTATCCCAGTGGTTTCCCTTTAGCGCAAAGAAGGTTAGCCTTTTCCAAGCAATCGTGGACGCGGACAGTTCCCCCAAAAGAAAGCAATCTTTGCAGGGAAAGGGCCTCTGCGTGTGCCATTTACATTCACAGCGACAGGCGACCAACGCAAGAGAACCCAATAGGAGCTATCAGTGACCCAGATGCAGGAACTGTTGCGCATGAAGCCACAGAAACGCTTACATGGCAAATTGGTGCCCCAAACATTAGTGACCCCAAACAGCCAACAGGACCTATTAGGTAACCACGGCCATGGTTCCCCTTTGAATTCGTACACAACTAGGCGACCAATGTCAGAGTTCCCAAGGAGAATAGCCACCCTTCTACTTGAGGTTGATGGAAATGGTCATCCCTCCCCAAGGTTCTCTATGTAGACCACCATGGCAGCCTGCGCCCGTTGATCCTTTGCTCCGCGCGCGGCTCAGGCGGCGACGCTCGTTGGCGCCCTCGGATCCCTCCGGCTCTCCTGGCGCTGCTCGGCCGTGGCGGTGCTCGCCTGCGAGGGCAGCGGGGCGCCCATGAGGCCGCGAGTTGGGGAAGACGTGCGGGGCGAGGAAGCTCAGGACTAAGCCCAAAAGGGGAGGGAGGTTCACTGGGTGCTTTAAAGGCCCATTTTTTCAGTCCTGCTTTGAGGTTTGATGGGGGTTCCCATTTAAGCCACCAATTCTGTAGAGGGATTGGGCTTTCGTCCCAGTCCCACTAAGGAGGTGACTGGCGATCCTTGGGAGGCTGTATGTTTCCCTCTTAGTGGGACCTTCTGCCCGCTTCCATGTGAAGAAGGGTGCATGTCTATTACCTACCCAGTCAGCTGGGTGCAACCTGTTACCAATTATGCTTAAACCTTTTAAACCAAAAAAAACACGGATTTTGCTTCTTTCTTCCAGGCATTTGGCACCCAACAGACTGCGCTCGACAGAGAGGTTGAACGTTGACCCCGGATTAATAAGCCCGTCCTATTAATTGGGGGGTGTTCCCCTCCAAGAGTGATGATTCCCACTAGGCCCAGGGACGTTGACAATCTGGGGTGAACATTACCCTGGACGTAGCTTGGCGCGGATCATCGTCAACCAACGATGTCCACATTGGCACTTGGCGGACCTGACAGGTGTCACCGGACCCCAGATCGCAGCCTTTCTCTTGGACAGTTGCAAAAAGCACGGGAGTTGCTACCCCTCTTTGGTCTATAGACGGCAAGCCAAAGGACACCCGAAGCAATGTTGGGGGGCCTTCCCCGATTGCAACTTGTCAGGCCGGTGCAGTGGATCGCGCTGAGAGAGATCCTGAGCCGCACTTGAGTTCTCGTGGGGCCCTAGGGGGGGGCTATGGGGGGGCTATCTCTGGCTAAGCCCGTTAAATAAGGCTGTATTAAGGGGTTAGCCAGGGAGAACCCCCCCCCCTTTCTGTGGGAATCCAATGGGCACTGAAATGGGTCAAAGGGAGTTTGAAGCTGAGACCCAGGTTGTTGACTACAGCTGGGGCGACCAAGCCGTGGTTGGTAGGATTCCCCCCTTTTAAGGATCCACGCGCCACCCCTCGATTTTGCGGTGATTCCCCTTTGCTTCCCCAAACCAACCTCAACCCAACCCTCCAATCCACTCTCCAACCCCCCTCCCATTTCCTTCCATTTGCTTAAGAATATGTTTTATTTTCCCTTGTTGGCTTTAAAAGGACATTATCACTACAGGACATATTTTCTCATTCTTTCCAGAAGTCTTAACCAAATGGCAGCTTCGTGTGGTTTCCCTTCGGCCCCATCCAAACCAACGGCCACCCAGGCGGCCTCCAAGTTCCTTTGGCGCCTCGCTGCCGCTGCCGTCCCTGGCGTGGCGCAGCTTGGTGGAGGCGTGGCAGCAGTCAGAGGGCGCGACGGGGGAGGATTCCCGGGCTGGCCGCGGAAAACGGTGCCCAAAACTCGGACACCACACAAAACCATGGGTTCATGCTTTTGATTTTAGAACGAGAGAGAAGTTACATTTTGGGACCATCGAACAGATGAAGCAGAAAGACAAACAGAAGACAAGCCCAGGCAAAGGCAACGGCTGCAAAGATTCTGTTCCTGCAAGGCCCTTCCCCTGCAAGATGCGGCCAAAGTGGCCAGGATTACCCGGCACCAGGACGGCTTCGCGTAAGCTTGTCAGCATCACATCCCATGAATGCATGAGTTGCGGGCCATCCCACTGCCAGGACGTGCCTGGAAAAGCCGAGTGGTGGTGCGACCTCGCCCGTGCACATTTTAGCACAGACAGCGCGCCACTTGCCAGACTCTGGCTGGTCTTGTTCGCGTCTAATGGAGCAAGAGACTTGCCCTTTGCTTTCTTTGGTGTTCTCTCACCCCATTTCACATTTTCAAGGTCCACACAACATGAAGAAGGAGTTTCGCCCATTTGCAGCGGCCCAGGCACCCGCTGCCAGCCCATGCTGCTGGCTTTAGCTCCCTTGTGGGTGCTGCAGGTTCGCAGCGCAACGCAAACGGCTTTGTGTGTTGATTCGTCAACCCCTTTCGTATCTATCTTTCTATCCATCCATCCATCTGTCCATCTGTCCATCAATCTATTTTGGTATTGATTCATCCATCTAACCATCTACCCATCTATCCATCTGCTCAAGTATCCGTCGATCCATCGATCCATCCATGCATCTATTTCTCGATCTACCTACCTACCTACCTATCTGCCTATCTTCCTACCTATCTATCTATCTATCTATCTATCTATCTGTCTATCTGTCTATCTATCTATCTGTCTGTCTATCTATCTATCTATCTATCTATCTATCTGTCTATCTATCCATAAAATCTGACCTGGTCTGGTTTGATAGGATTTGAGTTGATTTTATCTAACCTATCTGTCTATCTATTGATCTATTTACCTATCTACCTAACCATCTATCCATCAGTCATCATTTGTCCATCTATCCATTTATCGATCTATGCATCTATCCATCTATCCATTTATCCATCTATCCATGTATCCATCTATCCATGTATCCATCTATCCATTTATCCATCTATTGATTTATCCATCTATCCATCTATCCATCTATCCATCTATATAATTTATTCATTCCGTTTTTTTTTTTTTTTTTTTTGGGGGGGGGCTCACGTTTCGATACATGCGCCTGCATAGATGTGTGCACCTGTGCGTTTGTATCCCTCGTTTTTGTTGCCTCCCCGTTTCTTTCCGGCTTTTGGGCTTGGGGCTTTCGGGTGCCTTTCTTGTCGCTCAAGAGCTCAAGAGTGCGCTTTTGGCAGGCTACATGGCCAGCTTGTGTTGGACAACGCTGCCAGACAAGGCGGGCTGTGCGCGCAACAAGCGCCCAAAAGTCTGGTGTCGTTTTTCAAGAGGTAGGGCCCCCTCCCAAGGTTCTGCCAGAAAGGTGAGCATGGAAGGCGGAACTCCAAAGTCTCCCTGAACGCCAGCATTCAGTCCACCGCTGCGTACATGGCTTAGGCCACACCCCACACAAACCGGCCCCAAGATGATTCGGGTGTTGGGGGGAAGACCTCCAATACCGCACGATTCCCCATACACTTTCCATTTGCATCCCCACGCGCGCGCGCACCAAGCGAGCTGTCTCGCGAGCGAGGCGCCGAGTCTCTCGCTGTGCCCCGGCGCCGAAGCCATGCGACGCACGAGCTCGTCGAACGTGCAAACTCTGCCGGTGCCCTTCGGCGGCGCGGTGCGGTGCGTGCGCCACAACTCGGAGCCTCGGTGAGGAAATGGCCCCCGAGCTTCTCTTTGGATGAAAGGTGGCAGTTTTCGTGGAACCCGCTTGTTTTGCGACGCAGGTGGACGTTCGGTGACTGCTGCCTTTTTGATCTGTCAGCCTTTTTTGGGTCTGTCGGCCGGTGGCTTTGAACCTTGTAAAGAGAAGCACTGAGTCGCTACGAATGTCAGCCCCCGGATGAATAGGGTGATCACTTTTGGAGGGACCACCGGCCTATGGGCACGGGTTCTACTTGGATCCGGTCTCAGCGCCCAGGAGCGTCTGCTGGTAGCGGGGGATGCCAGTGCCAAAGAGACAGGCCGCACGGCAGCAAGTTCGGAGGTTTTGTGGGCTTGGCACCTTTTCCTTTTTCAGAGAGTGTGCTCTTAAACGTGCACGTCGTGTTTTCCACCTGTTTCCCGATGTTTCTGTGCTGTCCAGTTCTCTCAATTGATGTGTAGCAAAGCCTGAAAAGGTCAAGGGCCTATCCTCCCACCAACATGGCACCCAGAGAGGGTCCCTTTCAGGGCGACGTGATCCGGGCGACCTAGAGTTGCATAAAAGCCAAGTTCCTAGTCTTAAGATAATTTTCACCATTGATATGTCCACTCTTTTAAAAGAAATCCCTCACAGGTGCAAAAGCATACCGCTAAGTTTCCCCACCTCTGAGGGCTCGCCTTGTGGTCCTTGGGCGACCTCAAGGAGAAGCCCCGCTTCAGCAAGCTGCGGGGCCACGTGCGGGGCGTGGATCTGTGGGAAGAGCTGCTGCTGGTGCAGGCCAAAGGCGTGGGGGGGTGGGGGGGCGGGGGGGGGGGGGGGGCGGTGGTCCGAGTTGCCGGGTGAAATGTGGGGGTGGGGGGTTGTGGGGGTGTGGGTGTGTGGGGTGTGGGGGTGTGGGGGTGGGGTGGGGGCCGGGGGGGGGTGCGGGGGGGGCGGTGGTCCGAGTTGCGGCATGTGGGGGTGTGGGGGTGTGGGGGTGTGGGGTGTGGGGGTGGGGGTGGGGGTGGGGGGTGTGGGGGTGTGGGGTGGGGGCGGGGGGGTGCGGGGAAAAAGGGCGGTGGTCCGAGTTGCCGGGTGTGGGGGTGTGGGGGTGTGGGGGTGTGGTGGGGGTGTGGGGGTGGGGGGCGGGGGTGCGGGGGGGCGGTGGTCCGAGGCCGGGTGGGATGTGGGGGTGGGTGTGTGGGCTGTGGGGGTGTGGGGGTGTGGGGGTGTGGGGGTGTGGGGGTGTGGGGGTGTGGGGGTGTGGGGGTGGGGGTGTGGGGGTGTGGGGGGTGTGGGGGTGTGGGGGGGGGTGTGGGGGTGTGTGGGGGTGTGGGGGTGTGGGGGTGTGGGGGTGTGGGGGTGTGGGGGTGTGGGGGTGTGGGGGTGTGGGGGTGTGGGGGTGTGGGGGTGTGGGGGTGTGGGGGTCTGGTGGGGTGGAGTGAGTCAACACAAGTGAGGGGGTGCAAGTAACAAATGAGGAGCCAGTCGCTGGGGACACTCTGAACATTGTTTGATGTAGTTTCCCAAATGGCATGAATAGATGGACGTAGGAATTGAGCTGACTTGAATTGAAATGAATTGAATTGAATTGAATGGCAAGGTATGCATGGCATGGCATGGCATGGCATGGCATGGCATGGCATGGCATGGCATGGCATGGCATGGAATGGCACGAATGAATGAATGAATGAATGAATGAATGAATGAATGAATGAATGAATGACTGATTGACTGGATGGATGGATGGATGGATGGATGGATGGATGGATGGATGGATGGATGGATGGATGGATGGATGGATGGATGGAGGGACGAATGAATGAACGCCTGGTCGATTTTTCAATTGGGACGAGTCAGGCGGCGTTCCAGTTTGGCCTGGTCGATTTCACAATAGATCTCGTAGCAACATGATGACATGCTTTGGAAGGAGGGCCGAAAGGCAACCGACCGTTTGCTGTTTTTCTTGGACACATCCATGTCAAGCCCAGGATTTGTAACTACAGGGTTGGTTCATAGGGGGAGGTGTCCCGATTTAGATCGGGGATCTGGATCACTTTGAGGGGATCTTTCTGCTAGGTTGTCGGGTGTGGGGGCAACATTGCAGATATGAAACATGAAAGCAAGTACAAGAGAGTTGGTTTCCATTTCCCTTCCTGCCTGTTTCCGCGCCGCGATGCACATCTTTGGGCGTCTTTGCTTAGGAACACATTTTTTGGTTGGCAATCCTTGTTTTCGCGTATGTAAGATATGCCTGGATGCTCGTCAATAGGTTTCAACGGAACTGCGAATTCTAGTCTGCACGTTTTCCGTCCCAGGAGGGTCCTTGTTGGTGCACGACCTGGCCGACCCGCGGGCGCAGCCGAGCGCCCTCGGCGGGGACCCCCAGGTTGTCTCGGCGTTTTGTTGGGAGCTGGGGTAACCAGGGTTATAGGTTCCCTGTAGGCAAAACCCATCCCATTTGGTAAATGGTCCCTCCCAACTATTACAAGGATCCAGGTTTGGGCGGAGAGGGAGGTAAGGTTTCGCCTTGGAACCCAATGTGTGGCCAGCCATCCGTTTGTGGAGAAGGCTGAGCCAAGTTTTTTGGGACCCTAACCCCCTCCTCCCAAAGGCCGGATTTCCAGTGGGACGTCGGCTGAGGCAAGAAAGAGGACGGCCACGTACGAGACGCCCAGTGGATGCCCGGTGGAAGCGCTCGCGCGCTGGCGGCTTACGAGTCGCGGGTGGCCATTTTAGATGTTGAGGCTTGCTTCAGGAAATGCCCCCGGACCCTGCGAGCCAAGTCTTTGAGAGAGTCCAGGGCAAGAGTTTCATAAGTCACGCGCAGGAAGGTTCCCTAATTTCTCACCTCTACCCACTGACATGGAGCACTGACGACAGGAGCAGGGTTTTTCCAGGGGCCACTGACATGGAGCCCTCTACTGTGGGCAGGGGAGAGGGAATGAAGCTATGAAGCTATGAAGCAACTTCTTGATGCCCAAAGCGGGGACTGCGGCTTTTCTTGGGCTTGCCCTTTCCGCATTGAACACCCCTTCGCCCTTGGGCCGGGCGCTTCGCCCAAGCAGATGGCGAGGCCGGCGGCGTGGACTACCTCCCGCTGCCGCTGCGGAGTCCGTCGGTGTGCAGCGTGGAGGCCCAGGTGGCCGTGGCCACGTCCAGCGCCTGCTGCCTCTGGGACGTGCGGAGGCGGGCGGCGGGCGGAGGGCGGAGAGGTGGCGTGAAAAAAATCGGCGACCCAGTGGCCCGGTGGTGCCCCGTTTGTTTGTTTTGTTTTCTTGTTGGGGGGAAGGGTTGCGTCTTTAAACTCAACCAACCAAAAAAAAGGAAAAATAAAAAAAGATGACCCTTTTTTCCCCCTGACCACTGGGTCGGAGGCAACGTTGTGCTTCGGCATTTCCTTCAAAGAGGTGCCATACAAGAAGATTGCACTCGTCCCCGCCGCAGAAAGCCTGCGTTGATTCCCTGATCGATGTTTCAGGCGCAGGACTTTAGCTCCTTAAGAATGTCTGACCGCCCCCCTGCAAGCTATCACAGGTGTCCAAAAGCAAAATTGATATGATACCAGTGGCATCCACCAAGCGGTACAGGGGAACTCTTCTTGGATGAAGCAGAACTTCTCTCCGCCCGTTTGTTGGATGCTTCAAGTCTATTTTGCAAACCAGCTGGTTGATTTTTGGATGTTGGTTCTTGCAGTTCTTGGCTTCAAATCAGCTCCCCCTCCCCCCCCCCTCCCCCCCCCCTTTCCCGCCCGCCCTCAGGTCGGCCGTGGCCCTGGAGGTGCCCTTGAGCTTTTCCGGCGCCTGCCTCGCGTTCGCGCGCGGCAGCGGCCTGGTGGTGGGGGGCAGCGGCGGCCTGCAGCTGGTGGACCTCCGGATGGGCACCACGCGGCCGTTGGCGCCGGCGCCTCTGGCAGCGCTTGGAACGAGAGGGCTTTGAAGCCCCCCGCCCCTCAACTTGAGCCGCCTTGAGGCCAAGGGCCGCTTGGTTTGGGCATTTCTCGCTGGAAGAACACCGAAAACCAACCGTGGTCGTGGGTTGTGAGTGGGGGGTGGCTGGAGGGAGTTGAAAGCTTGCTTGGATTGAACACCGCAGCCCTCGACTCTTCATGGACTGCCCTTGCTGAGGTGCAGTTGCCGGCCAGCTTGCGTGAGGGCAACGCTGAAGTGCAGCGACTTCTCACTGGGCACGGTTGCGTGACGGCCCAGTCGCTCAGATCAATGGCGGGTTTGAAGCATGCATCAAAGCCACCCGGCTCAGCCATCCGTCGGGTAGCGAGGCCAAACTTCTGGTAGGGTGCGGCAACTTTGGGCCCGGAATTTAGCACACTTTTTTGAGGGTACCCCGGCCTCAGATGGTGCCCCATAGACACAGACCTCGGCCAGGCTTCCGGGCAACCTCGGGGGAGAGCCGGGTGTATCTTTACAGGGCCTAGGTCTGACAATCCCCCAAAAAGGGCATCCTCGAAAGCAGAGACCTCCATTTGCGCCGCGCGTCGAGGGCTGAAACCTTGCGCTCCGCTGTAGGTTCGAAAAGGCGCTGGCCACTTGGCACCTCGAGACTGGCGCCCTGCTGGGCTGGTGGGAGGCGTCCAGATGCCGCAGCCTGAGGCAATCCGAGCCCAAGCAAACGTCTCAAGCAGAGAGCCCCCCAGACAGGTTCTCCAAATGGTTGGGTGCTTTTTAGGGCCCCCGCCCCGCCCCCAGCAAAAAGCAAATAAAACAACCAAGACCCGGGTTTTCCTTTAGCGTCCCTTCTGAACGCCAAGCAAAAGCAGATGGGGGGGACGAGCCTCCAACAAACAGTATATAATTAAAAATACATAAACAAATAAATAAATAAATAAATAAATAAATAAATAAATAAATAAATAAATATCAAAACCACCAGAGGTTGGTGTTGCCTTTGGTGTCCCCCCAAAAAGGGGGGGTACCTCACCCCAGTTTCACCGAGGAACTCCATCGGCCCGAGGCCTTTCGGTGCCCACGGGCGCGGCCGAAGCCGCGGCCGCGCCTTGGGGCCTGGCGGCCGCGGGCGCCGGGCGCCTGCACGTGGCGATGCCCGGAAAGCCGGGCCCAGGCCGGGGGCTCCGTTGGGTTTTTTAAAATGTTTGCCTGTTTTTTTTTTTGGGGGGGGGGGGGGTGGGGGGTGGGTGGAGATGTTTTTTTGTTCTTCCTCGGGTTTTAGGGTTTTGGGGCAGGTGTTGGGGCGGTTTTTCTTTTTGGTATGATCTCCTCTTTTTGTTGGTCTTTTGAATTGGGCCAATGACAACGAGCCCCTTTCAAGGCGCCGGCAAGAAGTTCGCCGCGCCGAAGAGAGAGGCCGCGAAGAAGGCAACGCAGGCGGAACAGTAGGTTGAGCCTGCAAAAGGCGGCGCAGTGGTCCCCCACTTTCCTGGCTGGGGTAGGCTCAGGATACATTTTACATTTTACCAGTGACTCCATGCGAAGCAAACAATTAGAATATACATTCTAGAACTGGGCCTAACTTTCTTCATGCTGGGAGGCGGGCCCCACCAAGCACAACCCCAACCTCCAAACCCCTCGGTGTTCTTCTTGTTTCACCCCGCGTGCTTTTCAATCTGATGGCGAGGGGGTGTTGGGATGAGGGGGGTTGGTTGGGGGGACGCATCGCATCGAACCACATCACACCGGTTTTGCATCACACAATGTGAGGGTTCCGAGTACTGGGTATGGATCGTGCAACGCAGGCGGCGCCGGCACCAGCTCAGGAGCCAAGCCGGAAGCGCCTGGACTGAAGAACGAGCCACTGAGATGGTCTGAGGTTAGCTAGTGAGCAATCCGGACTTATTCGGGGAGCTAATCGGGGGTCACTCACCTCCTGGACCATCAAGCAGTGCCTTTTTGCTAAGCGGAAACCACAAATTTGTTCCGGAAGTGCTCCCGTGGAGACAGCCATGAGAAAACGGAAGGGGTTTTTGTTTGACTTCGTCTGGCTCCATGAAGCAGTGCTCCTTCTATGCCCCTGTTTCGGGAACTTTGTGACTCAACTTGACCCATAACCTTTCTCCTTTCAGAACTTTCAGGTGACATTAAACAACAAAAACAAACAGCAGCAACAGCAACACAACTGCAAAGGGGGCACCTCCCTGGGAGTTTTCCTTTCGGACGTTCCGAAGAGCCGTTCCGGACGCACCGCTCCTGAGGCTTCGCACCAGCGAAGACGTCTACCACCGCATTTTGCACGACTCCGTGCGCTTCAGCCCCGAAGAGGTGGCCATTGGTCGGGGCCCAAGGGGCCGGCGGGGTGTTGAGGGTGGGGTCGGGCCAGGGGGGCATCGTGGAAGAAAGGAGGGTGGACTCAGAAGGGATAGAAGGGTCACTGGTACATCCTAGAGGATCGCTCAGAGAGGGGGGGGGTAATTTCAAGCAGTGTTTTGCTTATTTTGGATGCAGAAACTTAGCGGATTAGGGGGCGTGGCTTAGTGGGTCTAGTGTCGACCTCCGGACTCATGGGGGTTTGGGGGGGGGGGCAAGGAACATTTCCCGGTATTAATATTCACCGGGGTTTACATGGAGATATCTTTTCAGGGGGACCCCCCCCGCGGCGTGGTTTTTGCATTTTGAACACGACCAAAAGAGGCGCACCCATATTAACCCGTCTCCAGGCAGCAAGTATTTCCATGCCCTATGCCAAATCTCATCTGAAGGGTTTTCGCCAGCTCATTCTTGCCAAACACCCCTTGTGTTGGGATTTCTGATTTCAGGCCGGTGAATTCTTCTTTTAACCCTCGGCATTTTGTGGCGATCCAGCCTGGAAGTCTTGAGAGCCAGCGCAGATGATGACCTGCCCCCCCATCCCCTCATGCGCCGCGAAGGTAGGTGTTTGAGGCTCGCTACCCTTTTCAGCTTAGTCAGCTTGGTTTAAGTACCCTTGGCAGCTTACGCCAACAGGAAAAAGCCGAACTACTTTTTTTTTGGTAGCCCCGATTTCGACACCTACCGAATTGAGTGGGGGGAGCAGCCTTTTTCGCTCGAGGCTACGAGGACCGGTTTCTGGGGCCGATGGAGGTGAAGCTGCTGGACTTTACACCAGGCGAGTGCCCATGGGAAGGGAGGGGGGAAAAGAGTGGTGCAGAGACGGGGAGAGGTTTGGTTTGGCGTCAGCCTGCAACCGCGAATCCACTAGTTTCAGAGGCAGCTTGGCGAGATGTTTGTATTATTGTCCCAAACCTGCTTGTTTCATTCATCTATCCTCAGTTGGAGAGCAACGCCTCTTCTCCGGATTTTCACAGCGGTCGGGATTGCGGGGCTTTGAGACCCCGCACGCAGGCCCACTGTTAGCACTGTGGGTTTTCATTCATGTGGCCCCTTGGATAGGTTGGCCGTGTTTGGCCCATTTGTTGCTTCATGTTGACCCTGGACAACATCAATTTGGCAGTTTTGCCAAGGTTTTCCCTCTAAAAGTGGGTGGTGTGCAACCAACATGAATTGGACGTCTCACGATCTCACGGTGGAGCTCGATCGAAAGGCCCGGGCCAAGTCACATGCCGTGATGTGTAGACAGCTGATGCGAGAGCAGGTGTATTTTAACAAACTATGTCTATGTGTGTATATATATATAGATATATGCTATAGTATGTATATGTAGATACACGGGAGCAAGCACCTGTCAGGGACGGCTGGGAAGGCATGCTAATACTTTGACGATGCACGCGGTTGGACACGGGAAACAATGTTGACCGTTGTTTCTGTGTAGGCAGTTCTCTATGCAAATGATGACTTTGGGTGACATTCAAACAAGTCTTTGGTGTGAGTCACTTCAGCGATGAGGGCTTCGGTGACATCGTAAAAGGGCGCCTTTGGAGCCCATTTTCCCAGGGCTCCCCGGCTGCTTCCTGCTTCCCGCCTTAGAGCCGCGGTCCCCGCCCGGTGAGGCGGGGACATCCCCTTCCACCGGCTCTTCTACTTCCGGCGGGGCGAGGAGATCCTGTGGGACCGGAAGCACCGCCGGGACCGGGTCTTCGGGGAGTGTGCTGAGGCCGAGGTCCGGGGTCCGCAGAAAGAAGCCGTGGGAAGTTTGAAGGCGTGCTTAAGCCAGGGGCCCCTCCAGGTCCTCGTTTTGGACCCTCCAACGTGGGAGTTTGTTGGACACCACCCGTCATTTGCAACTTGTAAGGGCGAAATCCAGCGACCCCTGCAAGTTGAAGGGCCAAGGTCCGGTTGTATTTAACTGAGTTGGTCCCAAGCCAGCTGTGGGTAAAGCCGGAGGGGCTTGGGGCTTTGGCTGGGTCCCGGCATCCTGCTGTTTGGCTAAAGCGACGGCGCTCAACAGAGGCGCTTGACTTGCTCGTTCTTAGGGTTTTGGGCTGGGCGAACCATCCGACCATCCCTTCCGGCGGCAGTTGGGTTCTGGCAGGCCATGGCTGGAAGGTTTGTTCAAGCATATTCCCATAGCAAGTACGCCTAGGAAGATTAGCAGTACGCCGCACATAGCATCTCGAAGCTGTTGTTTTCTTCTGGTTCCCTCCAAACTTAGACCTTCTTTTCACCTCAATTTCCAACTGAGCCCCAATCAAAACCCGGGTGCATGAAGGTCAGTAAGGGACACTCCCAGCCAGAAATAGCCGCAGCCGCTTTCTTACTTCTTGAATTCTGGGTACTAGGGCAGTTTTTTCTTTTCTTTTTTTTATAACATTAACAAAATAAATACATAAATGAATACACACATAAATACATAAATAAATATATATATATATATATATATAAGCCTGGTTTTGATGACTGAACTGAAGTCGACGGAGAGTTCTCCGGAGGGTTGGGCTGCCGGGGGCTCTCGATCCAAACGCCTTGAGGCGGATGCCCCCGAGACGGTGGAGGCCGTGCGCCGGGCCAAGGTCACGGCCTGGAAGATTGAGCAGGGCATCATCAAGGCGCGGGGGTCCAGGGGGGATGGGTGGTCTGGCCAGGTCTCATGATAGCCTTTTGGCCTCGGGAAAAGGGTGCTTTGGGCTTTGGGTGTTCGGGCAAGTGAGTAAATGGTGAGTAACCTGGGCGATGATCTACTTGTAAGTCCCCTAAGTGGAGTTAGCCCAGCTGTAAGTAGGTTGTGGCCTAGGTTGCGGACTACTTTCTAACTTGCCCGGCCACCCAAGTGTGTCTCATGGTGACCCAAAAATGGTTGATTTCCGTTTGGCTTCCCTTTGACAACCAACCAAAAAGCGCTGCTTCTGCCCCAATAAAGGCAGACCCATTTATCTGAAGGATTTCAGCCGGGGCCAGATAGAAACTCACCCAAATGCCGCTGATGCAGACGGCCCGCATGTACGGGCGTTTTTTTAAATGTATGGTGCCTCTGGCCCGTCTTAGCATCGACACCAAGCCGTGGCTGAAAGCCGAGCTTCTCACCTTGACACCCCGAGAGAGTCAAACTCATGGCAAGCCCAGGGAGTTGGGAGCCGGGCGGGTGGTTGCATCAATCCCCTGGCATGTGCCTGACGCTCACCAAGGGCTCCTTTTGTAAACAAATCAAACCCCTCAATGGTGACTGTTCTGAATGACAAAGGCAGTTGGTTTTTGGCTCTTTTCAAGAGTTGAGTTTGATGACTACCCACTAAGCCCCCCAGTTAAATAACTCTCTCTCTCTTTTTGTTTTCTTCTTTTTTTCTCTCTCTCTCTCTCTCACCTGCGGTTGCAGGAGTGGGGTGGGAGACCTTTCTTGATGAAAGCTTCTTGTCTCCTTGCCTTGACTTAGGTTGGTGAGCATCACTTCGTCCCTCGACGCCTAGTTTAGGGTCGGGTCCCTTCAAGGCTCCCTCTTGGCACACTCTTTGTCACTCCCTTTACGGCCTGTTTGAAGTTTATGGAGTCCTTCCGGCCCATGACTATCGCACGTTTGCTTCAGACTATGGTTCATTCACCCCTGTTGGTTTTAAAGGGAATCCATCACCACTGGACACATGTGTTATTCAGTCCAGACTTTGCACATGGACGCTTTATGTCAGCAGCCTGTCAACCGTAGGTGCGCGGCAGCGGCAGGGGCCGTCGCAAGGCACCGCGACGGGGGTCGCGGGGGGGTTGCTTGAGGTTTGTGCAGTGGAAGTGAGGGAGGGTGGGAAGATTGTGGACACCAATAGTCGGTGTGACTGCGGCCCCCATCAGAATCTAGGTGCATTTTGGTGCCGTTTTCGGGGTCAGAAGTTCACACTGGCCTGTCACAGTGCAAGCTTTGAGTCCGCGCTTTCTCAAGCATATGCTGCCAAGGGGGGGGCGGGGAAGCAAATACCCGTTCACGGGGCAAGTAGTAAGTCAGTAACTCAATTGGCTGTGGGTCAAAACCAATGGTACTTTTTCTGGGGTAGGTGCACCACCCATTTTAGTCTATTTTAGTTGGGATTAAAATGTTCACTGGGGGTACACAATTTTAACCCATGGCCAATTCTCTGCTTGGATCTCAGTGGGAAGGTGCCGTGTGCGCAAGGCGACCGTTGCGGTGGACGAGGCGGCAGGGCTGCGATACTCGAAGGACGAGGGCTGTTGGACATGCTGCCCTGCTTCAAGCCCCGCGCGGGCGAAGCTGAGAGTGCCGTTGGCTGAATTGGGATCAATGCAGCTCCAGGGTTCCTAAAATGACTGGTTTCCTCTTGGATTGCGGCATTCAACAAAGGAGGGTCCACCATTTTGAGAGACCCACCAATGGTTCTTCAAGTTTTAGTCCTGGTGTAATTACAAGCTTTCATTGAAGACTGCCCTTGGCGAGGTTCTCACACTGAACGTCCTTTTCGAGCTCTATGGCGATGTGGAGACGCACATGGAGGCCCCTTGATTTCTGGGCCTTTGCGCTTAGATGGTCTGGGAGTGGCCAGTGGCCAGGATTTGCCCAGGGAAATCGTCACTTTGCTTGGAACAGGCGTGGGCTGTAAATCCCGATGCACGCCTTCAAGTAGCTTTGTCTCCAAGAGGAAGCTGCAAAAAGCCGTCGGGTTGGCCATTTCCGCAAGCCCAAAAGAGGGTGCCAGCCATCCCCCCCCAAAAAATGGATACCACACGTGGGAATGCCAGCTCCGCCGGGCCCAGGCGCGGATGTCTCAGATGTTCCAAGACCTGGCGGCGGCGGAGCTAGACGTCATCGCGCTCCAAGAGGCGCTGGAAAAAATGACTCCATCGTCCAAGTGGCCTGTAGAGACAATGAATCCCAAATCGACCCGGAAGTAAGTAGTGGATCATTGGGGGCTGTTGCCCCGAAGGGCGATCCAGATGGGGTTCTGGGTTCTCGTTAGCTGGCTTGATGGGGGTAGACAGGACTATGTGTGTCTTAAAATAGGGGAAACCCTTTGAGGAATCGTTCGTTCAAAACAGGCACATGTGGGTGTACTCCAAAACTCGATGGGTTCGGTCTTCATGTCCGTTCCCCCCAGAACCATTCCACCAGCTTTGACAGAACAATTTTGGCCTTGTACGGTGTTTCCGAGGTCCAATTGCTGGTTGTGTGGCGTTCCAGGACCCACTGGGAAGTTCTTCAGCCGAACAGCGACAGGTGACGCCCTTCTTCGCGCAAGCCTTGCTGGCAGAGGTGTGGGTGAGGGAGGGCTATTGGTCCAGCTGCGGCGATGACATGGCCGCGGGGCAACACTTCGGTTCGAAGGTTGGTTGGTGAATGAGCCTTTGTCCGTGCACCGGGGGGGGGGGGGGGCATGATCTTGAAGGTCAGAATCTCGGGCCTTTTCCCTTGCCTATCACCTGGGGTGACTATCGGGCTAGCCAACGCAACTTGCAACTGGCATGCCTCGTAGCTAGGTCCTGGCTTTTTGTCTTGGAGGAGGTCTCGGCGCGTTGTACGGAGGGACTCGAACAGGCGGAAGACGAAGAGGAAGAAGAAGCAGCAGTAGGAGTCGTCGTAGTAGAAGAAGAAAGAAGAAGAAGGAAGAAGAAGAAAGAAGAAGAAGGAAGAAGAAGGAAGAAGAAGGAAGAAGAAGGAAGAAGAAGGAAGAAGAAGGAAGACGAAGGAAGAAGAAGGAAGAAGAAGGAAGAAGGAAGACGAAGAAGAAGAAAGAAGAATAAGAAGAAGAAGAAGAAGAAAAAAAAGAAGGAAGACGAAGGAAGACGAAGAAGACGAAACAAGAAGAAGGAAGAAGAAGAAGAAGAAGGAGGAGGAGGAGGAGGAGGGGGAAGAAGAAACATAAAAATAAGAATGATAAGAAAATAAAGAAAAACAAAAAAGGAGAAGAAGAAGAAGAGGAGGAGGAAGAAGAAGAAGAAGAAGCAGAAGCATGAACATATAAAGAGCATTTGACTTGCAAAGATTTATACCCCGCCCCACCATGTCGACGTTCCAGCGAAACCACCGAGGCCTCGGTGGATCCATCTGGGCAGCTCATCCTCTCGCGCCTGCCCATGCGCTCGGTGGCCTTGGCCCGCCAGGATGCCCAGTGGGTGTCCTCTTTCGGACGTCTCAAGGGTCGGGGAACGAAAACCATTTGGCCGTGGTTGTCAAAACCAATGAAATCCCATTTTGGTTGGTAGATGAATTCACCACCCATTTTAGAACCTATTTTAGTGGGGATTGGGATGTTCACTGGGGGTACAGGGTTGTGACCCATGGCCATTTGAGGGGATGTACCCTCCGTGCACAACCATATTTACCCTCCTCCGTCTCAGCGGCTGAATTGTCTCAAGATTCGACAATCAGAAAAACAAACAAACAAACATTTGAGAGGGCATCCGTCTCCTTTGATGCCTTGAGTGCCGTTTTGTTTGAGGGTGATCGACAACGCCGCAAGCTGACCTTGTCTCAAAATCATAATAAAAGAAGCCTTTCGAGGTATGATGAGTTCAAAAGGTTGGATCAAGGAAAAGCCGGCGCATGAATCCTGATCTCAGACTCATTGGGGTGTTTAATGGAAAAGGTAACAGTTGAAGGGGTCCTACTTTTGAGGCATACATGACACACCCATGTTCAGACAACCCTTAGTTGGTGGTTTCGATTAGTGATTTGAACCCCTGGTTCTTGTGGTTAGATGGGAAACCACCCCGGAACACCAAGCCAAATTAGGGGGATGTTGATGGGCGTATGTTCTTTTTTTGGTTCCGGTTTCGGGGGCTGGGTTTAGGGAAGCCGTTGGGGGCAAATGCACTTTTGGGATCAAACAGGCAGGCCGATTGATATGGTTTTTCCTGGCGTGCTGCCTATGGCAGTTAGGGCAACATTCAGACATGTGATGACTGGGGATGTCACCCGCCAGAGAGCACTTGAGAGCAAGGAGGATTTTGGGCGACCGCGCCTCGCCCCATTGAAGCCCAACGCAAGCCAGATCACCTGTACAGAGTCGAACGAATCTCGACGCACGGCCGGCGGCCAACGCAGATTGAGGGTGCCATGCCATGGGGCACAGGTACCAAATTAGCCCTGACGGGAACTGGGAACCCAGGATTCAATAGGTTGGCTGGCTCATTGGGGGAGGGGGGAGCCATTTTAGGGGGTAGAGGTTGTGAACAGCGCCGGCAAATTCATCTGAGATCAGAGATCCGCCGTAGCCATCGGGACCGTCGGTTTTAGGGCAGTTGTTTTGTGCTAGCAAGAGCCCAAAGTGATCACACAGTGGCAGACGTGGCTCACTTTGGTATCGCAGAAAGAGGCAAAGGTGCGAACATCTGTGAGTCGTAAGCCCGCGGGACTCAAAACGGGGCTTGACAATGAGCCTGACCTGAATGGAAATCACCCGTTTGTTTCCTTGAAGTTCAGACTCCCGGAACCGAGAAACCGAGAAGTCGAGTTCAGACTCCCGGAACCGAGAAGCGTTCGCTGAGGAGTCAGCCAGCACAAGAGCCTGGTTCTGGCCACCCTGGCCACGGGCTCGAGCCGCTCTGTGCTTGGGCTGAGAGAGGAGACGAAAAATCGCCTGAAGGTTTCAGCTTGGAGGGGCAAGCGTGACTTTTTCGTTGAGTCAGCTTGGTTGAAAGCAGCCCGGTTCTCTGTGCTAGTGCCTCCTTGCTCCAGCAAGGGACCTGATCATAGGATCCCCACTTCATTTTTTTACCCCCACTGGTTTCCCCAAACATAAGCCCCACGGTCCAATAAGGGGAGGCGAGTTGAGGAGGGTGTTGGGATCAAGGAAGCCACAAATCCAACAACATTATATTACCCCAAAACATACCTATTAACCAAAACCATACCTAAAATACTTCTCTAACCAATTACGATTATACAGCCACCTACTATCTCTTACTAGCAACACTCAATCAAAAACAAGGAAGCCAAAAAGAAGAAATGGTCGGCTTGCAGGCGGTGGTTGCCAACCTCCACCTCTCGGCCGACTCGAAGGACGCGCGGAAAGATCACCGGGCGGAACAGCTGCGGGCCTGCGAAGCGGCGCTGGGAGAGAGGCGCCGAGACCGAGCGCGACGTGGGCCTTTTTGGAATCGAGCCTGGGACTTCCGGTTCTCGTTGGCTTATTCAACAGCGAGGTGCTGCGTCGCTAAGTTGAGGTGGCTGAAGCAGTATGTTGAACCACCTGTTTGAGGATAGAATGTGAATTTTGTATGCAAGAATCCCCTCGGAACTTTACCAATCGAAAGCCATGGTTTAACCAGGGCCGTGTAGTGGGGTAGCGGGCACCCTTTACCGGGCGCTTAACAAATCAACAAGGCAGTGGGTATTCGTTTGTAAGATTATTTGAGTCACTATTCGGACAGTACTGCGCGCACACACACACACACATATCTCTTTATATATACATGGGTAAATCGTAGGTAAAGCATATATATTTATATAGATATATATGTACCTCTACAAATGCATTCATACTGATTGTATATATGTACCAGCACCATTATCCTTAACTTATGCATTTGCATGAATCTTTTGTTTCAATTTTACAGACCAGTGTAGCACTCAGCTCACACATCCCAGATCGTGGCCCAACTTGGCTTCGCCCGCAGGCTGCGGCCGGGGGACCTGGGGCTCCTAGTGGGGGACTTCAACGCCTCGCCGGAGGCGCGGAACCCTGACTGATCGAGGGGGCGTGGCTTCAACACTGAAGCGGTTCTCTGGACCCCGGTCACGAGGTGTACCCCTACCCGTGCTGTCTGGGACCCACTCTCCCCACTTGGTTTGCTGGTGTCTCTGGTTGTGGGTGACTACGACACTTGCCGCTTATTTGACGTTCCATGCTGCTCCTTGTTCTTTGCGAATGCAAGGCAGCGCCTTGTCCTTGGCAGCTTGGCTTGGCTGCCCATCTCCGGGTGTTGGCAATTTGCGGTTCAAGTGAAACGTGATGTGCGCAATTGCGGTTTGGGGTCGCTGGCTGAATTTTTCCATGTCCGCGAAAGTCTCTCCCATCGGAAGCCTCCAGGAGGAGCCCCCGTTGCTGCAGTTGGGCCTGCGGGACGTGTGGGAGACCAATGAGGAGCCCGGGTACACCTTCGACCCTCTGACGCGCCCTGGGCGGCATCGGTGGATGTAGGGACACCACCCGAGTGGCGGAGCCATTGACTTGGAACATCTTGGAACTGACTTTCCATGTTCGAGGGACACCTCACAGCTTTGCCCTATTCCATGGCACTCGCACGGGTTTGGTGGTAACACGGGCTTGCCATGATTGTAAGTGGGGCTGGCACATTTCAGGTTTTGGAATTAGTGCAGAAATGCAGAAATGGTGGAGCCACGGCCTTGTGGCAGTAAATCATAGCGACCTCAGAAAGGCTGTTGGAGCAGTTTCGCGCAAAGGGCACTTGTGTTGGCGAACGGTGGGGTTCGCCCAGATGGGTTGATGTTCGAACAGCCGACGGGTACTTGGGCAAGCTGTGCGGGGTACATGCGCTCTTCAACGCCCGAGGATGAATGCCCTTGCGAGGAGTCCCAAAGGACAACCCTCCATGAATTGGAGGCGGGTTTTCCTGGCGCCACCGAAGGGAATTGTCACCCATGGTGTTCCATGGTGGGAGGGCACAAGCTTACCGCAGCTTGGTAGGGAACATGAGGGCCTTGCATTCCCAAGCTTGAGCGCATCACTGGGTTGAATGCCAGCAAAGGCCCATGCTCGAAGGACCACTTGGAACCGTTGGCAATCAGGGTTTGGGGGCTTGCAAAGGTGGAGGTGCCCCCCGCGTAGCACCCGCCCGGAAGCCCCAGGAACACGGTGGCCCGGCGCGTGGTGGAGGCTGTGGGCGGCTCAAAAACCCCCCGGCGCCTGGACCGGGTCTACGCGACGCCGCCGACGATGGCGGGGACCGCGGGAACTGCGGCGTGGCTCTGGGGCACCAAGCCCTTCTCGCTGGACGGCGGTTGGGAGGGGGTGAGTGGTGTTGCTTTTGGCTTTGGACGAGGTTTATTTTCCTGCAGCTGTGGGGGTCGGGCAACTTTGAGGCTAGCTTCGCTGCCAGAGATTCCAGAAGCCTCTGCAAATGACATGATTTGAATTGTGAGGTCCATGGCAGTATGGGGCCATAAGTTAAACATAGAATGAGCTCACGAATCGGGGGGAACAAGAGCTAGCCAGCTCGGCCATGAGGGGGGTCCCTTGTTTCGGGAGTTTTGATTCATTGCAGATAGATCTGGGCCGGCAACTGTCTGGAAGACCCGCCAAAATGGTTTGGGCAAAGCGAGCTTTAGTGCGGCCAGTAAGCCAAGCATTGACTTCTTGGAATGCCTTCCAAGATTTGGTTGTGCAGCTGACAAGTCGGAGTGTGTCACAACTAGCTAGACCCTGCTCTTAGGTCACGTCAGGCTGGCTTTTCTTGTCCTTGCCTTTGAGCATCATCTCAAAACGGTTCCCAGTTTTCGAGACACTGCGGATCTGCAATAGTTTCAGTACAGGCACATGGTTTTTGCTCTAGAGGCTCAAACTGGGGTTAAAAAAAGAGATGCAAGCTCATGTCAAGTTTTGTTTGCAGGTTTGTCCCCCTTGAAACTTTTACGTGTCCTCTTTCTCCTTGGCCTTGCTTGCAGCCGAATCTGGCCCCAAAAAAGGGCGGGGGCAGCCATTGTGAGAAAAGAGCCAACGGGTGTGTGTCCGAAAACAGCTTTGCTCCAGGATTGGAGCCAGCCCCTCACCCCTTCAAAGTGAAGTGCTTTGAGGCGGTTTGACCAGGTGTTTGCACATGAAGCCCGTGTACCCCCCAAAAAAAAGACGGGTTCCACCCGTTTCCATTGCAAAGGGGTTCCCAGTCGCAGCTGCTTACCCTTGCAGGAGACCCTCGAAAAGGAGGACTGGTGGCTTCGGAAGCACTTGGCCCCCTCCTAAATTTCCTGCAACTTGCTGCCCCCCCAGCCATCCGGTTCCACTTTTTTTGCCTTTTCGTGTTTACTGGGGGTTCCATTTAACCCACCAAAAGTTAAACTTTTAGCAGGGGATCTGAGGGCAGCCCAGTCAATATGCCTGGATAACAGGGCCTGAAAAGTTCGAGGAAGCAGCGCTCGGCGGGTTTGCCGGGGCGTGTCTCATCTCTGAACAACCTTTCAAACAGGGCCCGCCACTCGGGAATGCAACGGTCTTTGAGTAGGAGTCGCATGTTCATCCATTGGGGCAATTGGAGCCATTTACTACGGTAAGCGGAGCTTCCTTTTGATGGGAAGTCAGGCCGGTAACGGTCCTTCACGACCCACACCGCTACATGGCCACAGTTTAACCGCTTTGGCGCTGAAAGGTTCATCTCCGACCACTTCGGTGTCCTCTGCGAAATCGAGGCTGCGGATACGGAAGAGCACTCAGGCTGCCGCATGGGAGGTTGTCCAGAATATGAGTCCCTGCTGCGGCCTTTAGAGGGGATGCAAAAAAAGGCCCCCTCCTCAGGTCCTCCGGCTATGTGGCAGTTTTTCCAATGCCTTCCAACCCGCCTGTTTTTGTACAACCGCTTTGCTTGGAACCGTTTTGCCCTTCAGTTGGCGCCTGCTTTTGTGAACACGTTTGGCGCCTTTTGCTTGGAAAAAGGGGGACAATCCTGTTGGTGGAGTTTCCTTGAGCTAGAAGCTAGGGGGTCGGTATGCCCAGAGTTCATTTGGGGAGGCTTCCGGAGATTCGGTTGGGGAGTTCAGGAGCTGGGGATATTGCCTGGGCTTTGTGGGGACACCGCCCCCCCCCCAGCGCTCGAGGCGACCTGGCGCTGGCCAAGCTGACTCCCTGTGAGGAGATCCTGGCGCCGGAGATCTTGGCCGCGCTGTCCTTAGGCGCTGGGTCCCCGCATGGGTGGCGCATGGAGCAAAGTTTTTGCCGTGCCCTGCTTTGCATGGCAGTGGTTGTCAAAACCAAGGGTACCAGCTTGGGGTAGGCGCACACCCAGTTTAGAACCTATTTTAGTGGGGATTGGGATGTTCACTGGGGGTACGGGATTTTGACCCATGGTCACGTGGAACAAAGTTGCACCAGACAATCCTTCCAAAGATGCTCCACTTGGTCAGCCTCCCCTCTACGCATCTTGCATGTCTTGCTGGTTCTCAGCAAGTGCGGAAATGGTGCCCCTACAAAGCGTGTGTGGCTTCCGGGGGCATCCCTAGACCACTCTAGGTGCATATATACGTGTATATGTATACACTTATTGAGATGTATCGCGTAATGTGAACGCTTGTTGCTGCTGCTGCGGCGAAGAAGGAAAGCAATGGCAAGAAAGATGTTACTGTACTCAACGGTAAAAGGGTGCTACCTGGAAAGCCCTGGGTTTCTGAGGTTTCATTGGGAGCCTTCCGAGATCAGTTGGCGCGAGTTGTATCGAAGTCAGGGACTAGCTTTGGGAAAATCATCAAAATGAAAGGAGACCAGTTTGCCCAGGGGCAAACCCCGCACTTAAAAAGGGAAGGCAGGGACTGAACCCATATTTTTCAAAACCATGTTCGACCTTGTTGTCTCAGCGCCTCTCACCGATGAAAGCTTCGCCTCTACGTCCCGTCAGGCGAATCGCAAGCCGTTGAGCTGGTGCTGTTGGGCTCGACTGCGCTGGGCATCGCCGACGCGGCTTCTGGGGCTGAACAGGTTGACTTTTGGGACAAGCTTCAGGCTGCAAGCTAGGGATTTTCGGGTCTCAACTGGGGGCTTGAGACATGGACACTCGTTTGGTGAAATTGGCCGCTGGAGCATTCAAAAAAAAGAGGCCTGAACAAAGGAATGCTGCTCTTCGTTTTTGGGGGGCTGGCTTTTCAAGGGGGACCGCATTGGGCATTGGAGCACAAAATCCAATTCGCTCATTTTGCCCATCGAAACGCCTTAGGGCAGCGACGTGGACGTCCTGGCAGCGTGCGCCGGCATGTCCTCCGCCGCGTACTTCGCGGCCGCGGCGGCGGCGCTGCAGGCGACGGGGACGGCGGTGGAGGCGGCGGCGGACGCGGCGGTGCCGCTGCTGAGGTTCCAGGCGCGTTGCGTGGTGACGGAGGGACTGCAGGCCCCCCCGCCCTCCCCCCCCCTGCAACGCCCTTGTCCTGAGGCTAAAACAGGCCTCCAGGCAAAGGGACGTTCTCCCAAAAGGAGTTAAACAACAACACAAAAGGACACTGCATGCAAGATATGAATTGTTGCGGAGCCTTGATTTGGCACATGGCTCAATCAAAACACGCCAAGAGGACGATTTCCTAGCTTAGAACCTTGCAGACCACTTGCAGGTCGTCTACAATCAACACCTGGGCAGTAGTGTGCAGTCCCAGCCATGAGTGATTAGGTGTGGCTCGTGGTCTTTACGTGGCTTGGAAGGTTGGGTTGACAGCAAGAGGAGCCCGCAGTTGGAGGCAACCAGGGTATCGTTCCATTACTTGGAAGACCCACGTGGGTGTTGGGTCGAGACGAAAAGTGGTGAGTACACTAGGACGTAACCACTTGCGACCGGGCAAGCACCACTTTCCCTAGGTGACTAGCCACTGGCCACCTGGGCCCGAACCCCAAGAATCATGCAGCCCGCCACCCCCCCAAGCGCTAGAGTCTTCAAAAGCCCGGGCACCCCCATATTTCTTTTGGGCTCCCTTGAAAATCATGCAACAGGCGGACATCGCCAATTTTCGGCCGAACCCGCATGTTTTCCCATACGTCCTCTGGTGGTTTTACACATGGCCAATTGGTCTGACTGAAGGGAAATGTGGCTAGGAACGGACAGCTGGAGGACAACCTCCCCCCCCCCAATGGCCACCAAAAGCGCCACCAAAGCGCCATCATAATGTTGACCCCATAGTCAACCCCAGTTTATTACTAGAGGGGTTTTCCCTCCAACTGTGATGATTTTCCACCAAACCCAGGGATAAGCCTGGGTCCGGCAAAGGGGCATGAGTGTTTTTTGCTTGGGACCGCTTTGGTGGCCACCAGACCGCCAGGCCAGCGGCCGAGAGGTGGAGCTGCAATTCGTGGAGCTGCCGGCGCCGCAGCTGGCGCATCTCCGAGCCGACGCCGAGGACGCCTACGAGTCCCTGGAGGCCTTGCTCTTCGCGGGCGAGGCCCGGCGGTTTCGGTCCACGGCGACGGCGACGCGAGAGGGAGAGAGAGGGAGAACATCCCCCCCGGGTTTGGTCACCCAGAATTGACACGCACCCCGTTGTGATTTGTGGAGATGAATTCGTCCAAACAAGGGAGGCAGTGAAAGGTGGGTGGGCATAAATCCCTAAATGACGTCCACGCAAGGGTTTTCCAAGAACAAATGTCGCACCCACATGGAAACAATGAGAGCCGCTTCCAAAAATTGGAGAGCTTTGGGAACGTGAAGCATTTCTCAAGTTCCATTTCCCAGGAAATTCCTCTGCAAATGCTGCTTCTTGTTGTGCACGTTCGGGTGGCCAAGCTTGCTTTTGCCACAGTTCCATCATCCGACTCTTGCAGGCTTGGCTTGTAGAAACAGGACACGCATATTGGCATGTGGATGTCCAAATTGGGTGACCCCAAGAAAGATCCTGTTGGGTGTCTTTTAAAGCAACCCCAGAAAGGGGTACCAAGCCTCAAAAAGTCGCAGCCGTTTTGCTCCTACGCTGGGCCCGGGTGGAGCCCTGCCGTCCGGTCCACTGACACGGAACTCACCAGAGGCTCCTTTGTGATGGCAAGTAATGTCAGGTCCCATGTGAGGGGTACATCCACCAAAAAGGGTCCCCAATTCCATTATCACATCTCTTTGGCAAGACCATTTTGGTAAACAAACATTGGGGACATTTGTTTGGCCCATCCACTCAAGCAACTCATCCACTCAAGTAACTTAGTTTGGCCAACTCAAAGTGGCCCATCTGGTAAGCAACACGTTTGGCTACTTTTTCTGGCCAATCCACGGAAAGGTGAGTCTTTGAGTTTTTGCACCCACCCCCGTTTTCTTGCTGGTTCTCAGTAGGGAATGACCTTCCGGGTGTTGGGAATGAATCGTTCGGGGATTCCCTTCAAGAGAGCCCTCGGATTGCCTCTGAAGCAAGCAAGGGTGCCCCCAAAAAAGGCCCCTCCCAGGGCTCCAGCAAAAAGAGGGTGTGGCTCGAAATTCAACCGCAGGGTCAAACCGCAAACCGCAAGGTTTGGTCCATTCCACTTGCCAGGGCACTCCATTTTGGCGCCGGTTTTTTGAGCCACAGGCCCACGGCCTCAGCGCCGCGCTGGACGCCTGGGCGCTGCTGCGCCGCGTGGCCCAAAGCGGCGGCGCGGAGGGCCTCGGCGCCTTCCGTGGCCTGGCCGTGGCGGTGAAGACCTGGGCCAGGAGCTCGCGGAGCCCAACAAAAGTGGATATTGTTTGATGCTCCCTCACATGTATACATACTACACGCACGCATAGATGGATATATATGTATATATATATACATATATCTCCATTTGTTCATATATATATATATGTATATGTCTAGTATAAATACATATAACTATATAACTGTAAATATATATATATATATATATATATATGTGTGTGTGTGTCTGTGTTTAGATGTCTAGTATAAAGGCTGTATGTGTATACAGAAAGCAGACCACACATGCCTTCGTTTCGCCACCGGCACAAATTGGATGCGACAGGCGCCGCCAGCTGCTGGGCACCCCCTGGGGCTTCCCCGGAGGCTTCGCATGGGCGCAGCTGGCGGCCAACGAGGCCTTCGCCGATGCGACGCATCGGTCCGCGACCGCCACATGGGTGTCTCGCCCATTTCAAGGTTGGTTTCAAGGGAAGCCGGACGGAAAATACACTGTTTGTTGGGTCCCCTTATTTTGACACAGGGTCGAATTTCCGTTTGGGCATCAGAAGGTCGCTTTTCCACGAGCATGCTAGGCTCGTATGCATCAACATGCGTAGGTTGTGTTGACCTCCCCCCATTTGTTGATCTCCCCCATTTGTTGTTTGTTTTTGATTTCGGATTTTGCAGCGTTTTTGTGGAATTGTTGAAGAAGATGAAGCCTGTCTCAGTTTTGGTGTTTGGGCTGGTTCTGCACTCGGGTTTCGCCCTTGGTGGCTCCGGGCATTGGAGCGTATGCCGCTTGATTGCCCGCAGCCAATCTGACTCGAGCGGGGGCCTCCTGACACCTCTTTTGTGCAACTTCCTGTGCAATTCGCCGCTTGGCTGCAGCCCAAAGCAACACAAGTGCTCCGCCCTCCGGCCTTCCGGCCTTCCGGCCTTCCGGCCTTCCGGCCTTCCGGCCTTCCGGCCTTCCAGCCTTCCGGCTCAGGTCATGGCAGATGATCAAGCTTCAGCGTTGGGCACCCATGGGGTTGGGATGGATGTCTTCAAATTGAAGCATTTTACTGGTGAAACTGGTACTTTTGGAGGTTGGAAGGAAATGGAGGGATGGTTTAGACAGGCCTTTTGCCAGAACAACAGTGGCCACAAAAGCGAGGCAAGGAGAGCCCTGTCTCAGCCGGCGGGCTGTGCTTGCAGTCTGCAACTGCCCCCGCCTGGGTAACAAGGAAACCCATTTGCTTGGCTAAAGGGGAGACAAAGGAAGCCCTTCAGTTCGGCTGCCCCAAATTGAAATTTGGGGAGGACATGGGACAACCCTTCACATATGATGGGGCCTTTCTTGTTGAACAGCCTTCTCATTCCAGGGCATTTTCCAGGTATGGGTTTTGCAGGCCTGCTTAAACACCAATACAAGCTGGTACAAGATGTTCGCCCTTGTCTAAGTGGTGTTTTTCGCCTCCCCTCCAAAGCCACGCCGGCATTTCCCGGCCAACTTGACTCCACCCGCCCAAAGCTGCAGGTCGGAACTGCGCAGGCGCTATCAGGCTGGAGGCGCGGCCCCCGAGGGACCTCGCGGCCTCAAACATGGCTGCGTAAATCCGAGCGAACTGATGTCCGTCAAAGGGCTTGAGCCACGAAGCAAGCAAGATCCAACGCAGACAGGCTTTGCCTTGGAAGCAATGCTTTTTTTTTTGTTTTTGTTTTGGTTCCTGTGAATTTGCAGGGGTGAGCCAGGGTCAGGGTTTGGCTCAATGATTGCTAGCTACCAGATTTTGCAAGACCTTGTACTAAGCCACCTGGCAAACGCCACAATATGGAACCTTGCAGGGTTCTCAGGACTCCTGCAACGATGGTTTTCGTCCTTTGGGTTTCACAAGATTTTGGTTTCCTCCCTGTTTTCGCCTTCATTACATTCGGTTTCTCAACCCCCCCACCCTCTTTTTTTCCCGCAATTTGAGATGCCTCTGAAAACGGATGGCTTGTGTGGGGTTCTATGTCAATGACCCCCCCCCCCCCTCCCCGTGGAGGTGACAAGGACGACCAGCTCAGCGCCTCCCAGCTGCGCGCACGCCACGGGGTGCAGGGCGGTACCGCGGGCAGTGGGGATGGTGGCATGCGGCTCGGCTCAGCCCATGGAGGTAGGCAGAGGGAGGGGGCAGAGGGGAGAGGGGGGAGGGGAGAGGGGGTAGGTGGAGGGGGAGGGCGACTACTATAGGTATTAGGTACAGCAGCCAGTGATGTTTGTTAAAGCTTTCAAATGGTTCAGGCACAGTTGTATTCTTTTTGGTCGACCATGTTGAGCAAACGCCGCTGTTAGCTGGGAGGTTGCATGTTGCACGGCGCACGGGTTGGGAAAGGCGAGTTTGGCAAGGCCGGATGAGCTTCCGGGGTGAGGAGTTGCCCGTGGCTTGCAGCGCACCAAGGAGCCCCGTGATTATCATTGGCTTGATCGCCGTGGTGGTGGCGATCGTGGTGATCGGCATGCAGATGTCAGGGGGGTCGTCGTCATAAGTGCCACAGTTGCATTTGGCTGTAGGCGAAGGTGGTAGGTGAGTCGCCTTCATGCGCCAAACCACAGCTCACCGCCTCGGGACGCTGAGGAACACCAGACAAGACCTCGAGCCGATGTGCAAGTGACCGCTTTCAGCGGCCCGGGCATGCCAACATGAGCGTGCCTACAAAGCGTCCTGCAGCCACTGCGGCGCATAGCATCAATGACAGCATTCATGCACCAAGACACCTGGCCAAGATGCTGATCTTGTCATGCTGATGCTATGGCCACTTGCCCATGCACATTATAACATGTTCTTCAGGGTGTTCGGGTTCAAGATGTGGAGCCGCAGTGCCTCAGTGGCTCACGGAGCTAGCTGCAGGATAGTCACTGGGCCAAGTGCCAAACGCAGTGAAAATGGAATGCTTGATGTGCGAGGTGCCATCAGCTGCTTTGCTGGGCCTGCCGATTTGATTGGAGCATGTGCCAATTAGGCTGTACTGAGCGCAGGTCGAGCGAAGCTTCGCCCGCCTTCGCGAAAGTGAGGACCCTGCGTGGCTTGGATTCATATCACAGCGGCACAGAAAGAAATACAAAGCCCAGGTTTCGCACGTTGCCGCACTGCATGGGGATTTTGTCACCCATCATGATGGTGCACCGCACAAAAAAGGCCCAGAGAGATGTGATGTGAGGTTCAGTCTCTGTTTTTGTTAGCATGGCCCAGTAGAGAGGAACATGGGGGAGTCACTCAGGACTTGCTCGATTGCCCCGGGGCTCGTGTGTTTTGAACCAAGGCGCAGCCTGCAAGAGTCTTTCTTCCAGCATCTGGCCACGAGTCAGGCTCCCTCGCCGAGCGCTGTGTGTGAGACAGGGTGGCGCTCAGTCTTTAGCTAATGGCCCCTCAGGGTGAGTCGTATCGTGGCTTATTCTGCGCATAGACGCAGTTCTGCACCAGTTGGTAGGCGCCGCATCCCAGAATTTTCAAGGCTTCATCCATCCCAGCTGGTGGAGTTGCACAATCCATGTCCATCCACCGTATCTACGTTGTTGTCAACCAACACGGCGCAAGTATCAATTGCATGGAATTCCTTGCTTGGACCGCATGGTCAAGATGACTGGGTTTATGCCGGCAACGCCAATTACCATGGGTCAGGCAGGGGTCTCGTATTTCCTCTTTTCGGCCAATTTTGGGCTAGCTGCCTCTTGGTCGGCTGGTGCGGAGTGGAATGGGGCTATGTGGAGACCTGCGGGGGGAGGGACCCTTGCTGGGCTTGTTTCAGAGGGAATCCAAAACGCACCCAACTCATTTTGTGGCATCCCTAGCTCCAGGCTTTCTCAGTATTATTTCCTGCCCCAGGTGAGGCTCCAATCGCCCAGCGCCGATCGCCGGCTCGCGCCATCTGCCAGGACCTGCAGGGTGAACCCCCGAAGCTCTGGTGTCCGGCTGGGCCCCAGGACCGGAATGCCCTGCGCACCATGACGCGAACCACCGCGCGGATCCTGCAGGCCTCGAAGGATGCATTTTTTTTCTTTTTCTGAGGGGTCGCTGTAACAAGCACCACTTGGAAGGCGATTTTTGTTTGTCCCGGCATTCTCAGGGTTTTGAAACATTCCAGGCAGGATTTTGTCCATCTACAGTGTGTCGGGAGGAATCTTCGAAAGATATTCGCAGCTGTGTGAATGTGCCGGCTCATGCATCTGCGGGGTTTCAATCCGTGGGTAACCACCAAACAGTCGTTCCAAGGCTTTTTAGCGCCCCATCCAAAACCGCTGCTAGCGGATTGCCAATGTTAAGGCTCCTGTGGGGCATTCCAAGCTGATCAGTCAAGTGCGCATGATGTGGCTGCCAATGTGAGCTTCAGAGAAATCCGCCACTAAAAAGGACGGTCATTTCTCCGCTCAAAGACTCTTGATCTCCGGATTTTACACGACGGCATTACTCCCTTCACGCCCACCCAGAAAAGTGGATGATGAGAACTGAATGGGGAGATTGTGGGAGGATGTGTCATCTACCCAACTGTCTGAAGTTTGACATGTGTGTCAACAATGGCGGACCCCCCACAATGGCAGAGTTCCTTTTGGTTCCCCTCAAGCCGATCTTGAACACCATACCCTCAAAACTGAACGCCCAGTTGCTGGAAGCCGAAAGGATACAGAGCATTCGGTCCCTATCCAGAAAGCCAGGTTCTACCTGGCGAGCTCCACTTGGACGTGGATGATACCCTAGGTGAATCTGGCCGCAGCCCGTGCCAGGCCCAGCTGACCTTGGCCGCCCGCGGGGAAGCGGATGACGGGGTGTTTGCCTCCCCGCGGCCGCGCGCTGAGCCTGTCGCGAAGGATGGTTTCGTGCCATGCGATTTTGTTTCTCCACTTTTTGAGTGTTCCAAGATAGACGCAGAGACCCAGGGTTCTTTGTTCTCCTTCGGGGGCGTCTACCCTGGGGTACTCCAAAAGTGGACCCCTAGGCTTGTTTGCTTGAGGCTTTCCAGCTGCGGGTCAGCGACCTCGGATGTATCCGGACCCTGCTAATCAGAGGAATCCCCAAACATGTGAATCATCGCCTTGCATGAAAGGGAGCCGCCCCAAGTCAGTACGGTCCTGAGGAATGTGCGTTTGACATTTGTGGTAGCTAGCTAGGGTCGGAGCTTGCAATCGTCCTGCAGTGAGCCACCAAGGGTCCCCTACAGAAAACAGCAGAGTTCAACCTCATCGCGGAGAAGCAATGGCAAAATGTATGAACCCCTTGCACTCAGCTCCCATTCGTATATACTGTTATATACTTGTTTTTTCCTGGAAGATCGTTTTTTTTTTTTTTTCCATCAGGAAGTAGGTGTACCAATGGTACAATTCGCTATAGACCATGGCTTTTCTCTCGAGAGCTTCGCTGGGGCTGTCCGCAAGATAATTCATTATATAATACGAACGTATTCAGTGGAACATAACGACCCCTCCCAGTTGATTGTCAGGGGGTGTCCCAGTTTAAAGGGAATCCTGAGGACTTTTGCGGGAAGAAACACGCATTACTCCGCAGGCCGGCATCAACAGTATGCACCCCAATATTTTTCCCGGCAATCCAGGGGAGAGCGGTGAGAACATAAGTCTTTATCTCTGGCCCCCGCCGGTCCAACGAATCGAACTGGAGTTGATCTCCAGCTCCTTCAAGTCAATGGGAGCCCATTTTCTTGAGGGCCCGGCCCTCCCTAGAAAAACAATGCAACATGACGTTTCAGGTTTCACATCCATCAGGGGATGCAGCGAGGTTCTTGCTGGTCGGCCTTGGCGGCGGAAGCGAGTGCAAGCCGCTGCTGCGGAGGTTCGATTCATATGCCGTATGAGCTTGTCTAAAGCAATCGGGAGCCCCTCTCCCCCCCCAAAAAAAAAGCGAAAAGAAGGAAGGGGGGGCAGGGGGGAGGGGGGAGGAGAGAGGGGGGGAATGGGAGGGGGTCTTCCTTGAAAGCCAGCCCAAAAACGGGGGAGCTCGACAAAAGGCGCAGCCATAGATAAATCTTAGTGTATGGGTGGCCCAGAGGGAACCATCGCAGGAAGGCCGTGACCATCCTTCTGGAGGTGGAGCGCTGTAGCCAGGGCACTGTGTGGCCGCTGACGGCCGGGGCCCAACGTCGGTCTGTGGGGCTATTTTTTCTTGAGGCTCGGGATGGAATTGCAGGGGAACCAACGGGACACCTTTTTTTTTGTTTTTTTTTTTTTTGGTTGGTGGGGGGGGGGGGTCTAAGGGTTTTTCACGCAAAAAGCCTTCGCCGGCCGCCTGTTTGCTTCGCTTCCCGAATGGAGCAACCAGCCACCCGCTTCTCCAAACGGGGCCGAGGATGTGCACACCACACGCGGGGGTGCACCCTGCATCGTGCTGGGTGGCGGGCCCAGAATTTGGTCCGCATTTCTCGGGACAACATATGGCCCGGTCCCAAGAAATGACAGTTTTCGGGCGAAAAAAAGTGTTAAAACTGCGCACCATCAACATTGCTGTTTGGCTTTTGGTTTCCCTTCAAAACTATCCCCACAAAGGGTACCCTTTGAAAAACCGCACCATCAAGGGGGCAAAAGGGAGTCTCCAACTGTGCACCCCAGCTGGTTTCAGCATTCGCTTCCGGCGAAATGGGGAATGATTTCACCCGAAGAACCAGTTTTGACTGCCAAGGTTGGCAATCTCATCTTTAGTGAGCGTGGTTTCTTCATTTTTTCACCCACTTCAGAGGATGGTGAATCGCCAATACCCTCCCCCACATCCGCCTACGACCTTCGCCCGCACGAGCTGAGGCACCGGGTGGGCGCCCACGCCCGGCGAAGTGCGCGCACTGGCGCAGTCTTTGAGGGCGCTGGTGGCGGTTTCGGGCCTCGAGATCGAGGCTGGCTTCCGGCTTGAGGCTTCCGGCGGTTTTCGTGGGTGCGCAGCACAATTGCCCCTCTTCAAAAAGGCCTGGCGGGGTCCATCTTTGTGAAGACGGCTTGCCCTCAGTGGGCTCGTGCCATGCTCGACACATATTCCAGACTCGACATGTGTGCGCGGTATGTCTTTTGTGCGGCAAGCACATATGCGCGAGGTGAAGGTGATACCAGCTGACAGCCTGAGCAGCGAAGTTCCCAGCTGTCAGCCAGAATGAGGGGTTTCCATGCCCGGCAGAGCCGGCCCCTTTGTACAGGAGGTGTGCCTTCACGCAGTGTACAGCTGAGAAAAAGCACGTTCGCACATCCACATCGACGGGGGATCCCCCATTCTTGGAGAGACCTGTGCGCTGGCAGCAGGCAGGCCACAGTTTTTGTGTTTGTTGCGGGTTGCAGTGGGCCTGACTTTTGGACGACCACTTTATTGCCTTGCAAAAAACTGGGGTCAGTCAATGGCAGGCCCTCAAGACAAGGGGTTTGGATCTGGATCCAAAAGCAACCAGGGTTGCTCTTCGGGGTTCAAATGGCCCATGACCAGGGAACATTTCCGGTCTTTTGGCACATATGTCGTTTCAAAGTTGCCATGGAGGGACCCGTCCCATGGTCTTCCCGCTGCTGACCGGACCAAGGGAGCGGTCCGACGAAAGTTGCGGACCCAGGCGGGAAAGGTGACGCCATGGCCACACTCACCATGAGCACCCCGCGCAGCGCGCGGCAGAACCCCACCGCACCGTTCCTGCCCGGCCCGGCCCCCGAGCCGGGAGGGGTGGCTTAAGCTCCACCCGTGAGGTGCAATCTCGTTGTCCGGAGGCCAGATTTCCTCTAAATGAGACTCGCCCCTCAAATCTGGCTGTACTTCCGGCACATAATAATAAGTGCCGGAAGTACGAGGAGCCAAACAATTTTTTGGGGGGGTGGCACTCCAAATAACTAAGATTTCGTGTCGAAAAAATGCATTTCTTAGTGTCGGGTTCTATGTTGGCGGGTAACTATGTGTGGCACTTGGTAGTGCTGATTGATGTTAATTGGGGAGATGTTTTGAGGGGTACCTGCTGTGGATGGACAAAGTCCTGCACCGGTTGGGATGGATGAACCTGAATGAATTCGTGGGGTACTCCACCTCCGAGTGGTGCAGGAGTTTGTGGACACAGTATGAGGACGCGGTTGCCCGTTAGATATTTAATATGTAAAACAAATGGCGACCGACTCATTGCCTTGTGTTATGTTGGTATCAACTCGAGGTTTATGGTTTGATAAACCATGTCGTGTTGTATTGATAAACCAGCCACTGGGCTTAACATTGCTACTGGTTGCCAAAAAGTTGGGCCGTCGAGGCTATGTCCCTCACGAGCTGCGCACGAACCATGCAAAGACGCGGCTTGGCTGTGACTGCCTTCGGAGATCGAGCGTGTGTCTTGCAGCCAGGGGGCAATTCCATCCAGGCTAAAGGTTCTTTTGTGGAGAAAAGAAACACCAAATGTCAACCCTAGATTAATAAAGCCCTCCAATTAATGGGGGGGGGGTGTCCGCTCTAAAAGTGATGAATCAGCCCCCACTAAGGGCCTACTAATCAACCAGGTTCGTTAATTTGGGGTCAACATTGGTGAATTGTGGGTGCACACATACTGGGTAACGCACCCGTTTAATGTGAGACCAGCTGGCCTCATTCACATAGCCAGAATGATGCTGCGCTCAAACGTGCATGGCAGAAAACCATAGAAGCACCTGCACACAGCCGTTTGGCAGTGAATGGAGCGCTCTTTCGCTTGACCTTTTGAGCAGCAACTCCCTTTAGAATCGACATTGTTGGGGTTCCTTGTTGATTAACAGGCGGGCTGCAGACGTACTCGCAGGGGTGGTTGCGTTGTGGGCTTTGGTTTTGCGCTGTGCGGGTTGAGGCAGATGCTGGCCTATGGGCCGGGTGGGTCCATTGACAAGCCCCTCACCTCCGCAGGGCCTCTTGTTAGCAAAGAGTGCCGTGGCAAAGTGCGGCTGGTTCTGCATGGTGTCTTTGCGTTTGTTGTTCTTTGGTAAGTTTGACAGATTTTCGTAGATGTGGTAGGTTTGGCAAGTTTGGCAGGTTTACCGGGTTCAGATGGGTTGGTAGGCTAATGGGTTGGTGGGAGACTAGGTTTATACCCTCCCATCAATCAACATGGAACCTGACAGGGGGTCCCTTTAAAAGGAAAATCGTCTTCCAGGACCTTGTCAGGTTCCATGTCAATTGGGCATGGGTCAAGATGAAACCACCAGGGGACCGCAGGTTTCGGTCCATGTTTCCACTTACTAGGGTTCCAGTTGGGGGTTACCCTACTTTCGACTCACAGCCAATTGGTGGGAGGGTAAATAGAACCGAACTCGCGCAAAAACAACAACACCCCGCCAGCTTGGGCTAGGAAGCTGCTGCTCCCGAAGCTGGACCTGCAGGGAGCCCGAGTTTTGAGTTCTGAGGTCAGAGACCTGACGCCGGGATTGAAGAAGACTTCATTCCTTAAAGATGGGCCTTGAGGCGTGGCATGTTTGGTTTCATGTTGCTTCTTTTTTTATTTTCTCCGGGGGGGACGACAAAGATATTTGGCTTGGAGCGGCATCTTTGTTTGTCCAACTTTTGATGGCCTTTGTTTCTTGGCAGGGTTTAGCGTCCCGAGATGGGGGGGGGGGTTGCCCCTCTTTTCCCACGGATACGCCGTGCAACCGCGAAACAGGCCGCGCGGCACTGAGGTCGGTGCTACAAAACCTGAACGACCCCTTCCACCGCTACGACCTCACCAACCGCTCAGTGACCCATGACGAGCGCAGAGACATGAAGGAGAACATCCCACGCGACATGGTGGGACAGAGTACCTACAGAGTAGCTTCAAAGGGTTTCTGTGTCCTTGGGTGTAACATGGTGTAACCTTTAAGGGACAGGGGGTGCTATGATCACATCAATTTCCTCCTAAAGGGAACCCCCTGGTCAGGTGGGCATGGCTTATGCGACCAATGTGGGGAGTACCCCTTGACCACATGAGCAGTTTTGTTGCGTAAAGAGGAAGCCGATGACCGAACCAAAACGACAGTCCCCATTCAACAAAGGGAACCAAGAAAACATACAGGAACCGATTCTTGCCCAAGACCAGCTGAAGGCTCAGGGGTGAACGAGTGGGCAACAAACCAGCCCAGCAAGCATGCCTTTCTTGAAGACTCGTGGCCAGGACTCCTCTCGCAACACCTATCGCCCAGCACTGCAGCCGGCCTGGTTAAAGCACGACCGCCAAGTGCTGCGGCGCCTCGGCATTGGATATCGAGATCGATCGTTAGCCACAACAACACTACTGATCACATGTCTTGAAGAAACTTCATCATTAAAAAATATTCCATGCAATCTTGAATGCAGCGTGGTTTTGGATTGGTCATTTGGTGGCTAAGCGGGGAGGGGGGGAGGGGGTCCCATTTGCCCTCCACAAAAACCAGGGATTCAGTTCTCCAAACCACCAATCCAAACGACCAACTAAGGGCTACCTGAACATGGGTATGTCATGCATTCTCAAAATTGGACCCCCTGACTAGTAGACATGTTCAACATTTATTGGCGTTTTCCACCCAAGCAAATTAGGGAAGAAAACGCAGCCAAATGGGTCTGAGATCGGACATGTGGCGGCGGCTGCGCTTGAAGTCAACCTTGCAATCACCCTGTGTGCCCTCTCGATCTGAGGTTTTTCGGATATTTTCAGGCGCGAAGACTTCTTGGCATGCAAAGAGCATGTGGGGTTTCGTTCCTCGTTTGCTTCGGTGGCGAATTTTCGACAGGAGCCTGTCCATGAGAACCCCAAGGACGCATTTTGCGATTGCAAGCCACGATACGCATCGATGTCATTCAAGGGCTTAGTATTGCAAGTATGGCCAGCCGGCCAACTGCAAGACAAGGCCAAATGCAGGGCTTGCCTTGTTCCCTGCTTGCGAAACTTAGGAATCAAAAGTAAGGGCATGGACCCCGGCACCATGGATTCCCTTGAATTCTCTGCAAGGAGACCTTCAGGATTCGTACGTGCTGCATCCTGTTCTACTTGGCGCCTCGGATTGATTGCTGTGGGGGCGGGGGGTTTGTTCACCCCGGAAAGAAGTTTTGACTCATGATCGTCAAGGAAGCTATCCGCTCATGTCAGATCGCAGTCTGGGGGGCTTAAGCAGGCGGTGCATTTTTCCGTGGAGTTGGTGGCGACTGGGTTGTCAAAGACTCGGGCTGAAGGGACGAAGGGTCGAAGGCCAGCGTCCGGCGCGAGCCGCCCAGGAAGACGGCACGATGATGGTGTCTGACGCTCGGCCGAGATCGGTGCGAGTTACCTGTGCGGGGAAGGGAATCGGGGTGTGCCGAAAAGGAGGCTCCTTCATACATGGCACGTTCAACGTTTCAGCTCCCACGTTGGTTTGAGGGAGCGTAAGAATTGAGGCGTGTCCAACGCCAGTGCTTGAAAGTGAAAGACAATCTATTCAAGCAAGCATGTAGCGGGTGAAAGGGTTCCTGCCTTGTTCGGTTGACCCTCACTGTCGGCACAGCTCCGTGGCAGGAGCCGAAGTTGGAGAACTCGGGGCTGAACCAGGGCACCTTCGTGAAGCGCCACCGCATCCCCAAGCCCCGGTCCCTGGGAGGCCGCAGCTTTAGCGGCAAGCGGAATGGGAGAGGCTTGAGGGGGGGTTGTGCTTTGCAAGGCGATGTTTTTTTTTTTTGGGGGGGTTTCCGCCCGATGGCCAAGGCCGCTGCGGAGGTCTTAGTTGGGTGATGCTGACCCTCCCATTTACTTTCGGAGAAACAAAGCACTCGCACCTCTCGTGCTGCTGGGTTTTGACTGGTTGGGGAACATGCCCCCTGCTTGGATAAAAAACAGCGCATGGCCCGCCATCCCCTCCTCGGGTTTCCCTCCCCCCGATTTTCGGCGCAGGCGGGGTGTACGGCTACGAAGATCTGCGGGTGGGGCGATCTGTGAGCATCTACTCCCGGGTCTTCAAACTGGTGGGCGCGGACGAGTACACCCGCCAGTTCTACCAGGCCGGACAATTCGGCGTGTGGGTTGCTTCCCTGTTTTGGGTTTTCTCTTCTTGCCGGTGCTCAGGGAATGGGGGAACGAACCTAGGGAATTTGTTCAAAGGAAACCAAATCGGGGATGGTTTATAGGGGTCGTTCCCTACTTATCGCACCAGCAAGTCTTCTTGTTGGAAGGGGGTTCCTTGAGCAATCGAGTAGTCTGGGCCGCAGGCTCGAGACTCTGGAAGACTGGGACCTGTCACATGTGATTCATCAGCCGGGCGGAGGGGGTGCGCCAACTGCGCGACAGAAAGAAGCTGGGGTGGGGCAGAACTTGGAGCTTTTGCAGAGGAATTCACTGGAAATGAGGGTGTCAAATAGATCGGTATACCTTTGGAGTCTGTTCCGGCCACTCCTCATGGTCACGTGAGCAGAGGGTTGCCCAATGGACGCATGATGACGCATGCTACAAGCTTGTCAGCTCTCATGGTGCTCAGTGCTGTATGCTGCAGGCGGTCGTGGGCGAGAGAATGATGGAGAACGAGGATGTTGGCTCTCAGTGGAGCAAGGGCTGGCCAGGGTAGGAAGAACAATTCTTTTGGCACATTTTGCTTGGATGCTAAAACTTTACCGTTTTGCCAACTAATGGTTTTCCATTAGACCACTAAAAGTTAAACTTTCAGCAGGGGAGCAGAAAGTAACCGAGATTCGGTAGGTGCTCACAATAGCGGTGGCTGAATACTTTTTCCTGTGCTTTCTGTTTCAAAGAGCACCCGTCGAAAACAGCATGCCCCGTTCAGTCCAGCGTTTGGCGTGGGCTGGTGGGGGGCTGGTGGGCTGGTGAGGGGGAGGGGTGTTGGGGTGCAGGACCCGCCCATGGACTCTTTCCGCGCAGCCGACTTGCCTGACCCAGAGGACCTGGTCACCGCCAGGCTGGGTCGCTCCAAAGTCCAAGCTCTTCGTCTCACTCCCCAAGTCTCTGGGCGGTAGATTCTAGGAAGATCGGTCCAGAACAAACCGCCTGCAAAGATGCCTAAGCTTCTTGGGCCTCGAGCATTCGAGCGGGTTGCCCCGCGCAGTTGGGAAGATCGTTGTTGGTGGCAAACCACAAGTCCTTTGTTGGCCCATCCACGGACGTGAGTTGTTTTGAGCCCAAAGGTTGACGGCTCACTCGCTTGTCTTTGAATTTCCGGGGGACATTGGCCAGCTCTTTACCAGGAAGGTTTGACCACCTCCTCAATTTACGAAAGGCCGGTGAGGGACCCAACCTTGTTTACAACCTTGTTGAGAAATAAGGTCCTCCCGGCCCCCCCGGTGGAAGATATCTTCCCCAACTTTTTTTGGGCAATCAGATTGAAGCATCGCCTTTTGGGAGCATCTAACGCGAGATTCCGTTAAGGGGAGTGATGTTTCGGGAGCCCGGTCAGATTTTTATGGCACTGGCAGGCGCGCCGCCCTACAGGAGGCGAAGGCTTGCGGCCTGGGGGCGGCTGGGGGGGGGGGGAGTAGTGTGCCGAGGGCGTGCGCGCTTGGCGGCAGACTGGAACTGGGGCACGTGCGTAAATATGTGGGGCATGCGCGGGAAAGTTCCAGCCGGGCCCAGCAGCTGTACAGCCCCTTTCCGCTGGCAAATTACGATTCCCGGTCACTTGCTCCAGTTGTTACCCGCACCGCGTCACTCAGCACAAGGATCTTTGTATGTACGCTTGCTTGGTGATCTAGACGCCACTTGTTTTTCCGAAGCAGACGTTTTTTTTCTCCCCCCCCTCAGTGAGACATATTAAATTATACTCTGCCATCGGGACCCTGGCAAGGCGTACAACGAGATCGCGGTGGGAGGCTGCTGCCGAAACGAGAAGCTGCAGCAGTACCTGGAGAATGACCGGAAGGCAAGCGGCGTCGGTCTCACCAGTGGGCCCTGGGAAGAAACACCACACAAACGCAGACAACGGTCACTGAGCCATGCGCGGTTCTTTCTGGGTCTCTTTTTCTTGGTGACTGGTTTGGGGTTGTTTCAGCCTGGTCGCCTGGCTGCTTGGAAATCTCTATTGCCCACTTGCCTCTGAGGGAAGCTCAAATAGGAAGGCCCCCAGAGCCCAACATCACCCAGGTTTCTGGGTGAAAGTAGACCGTCCATCCCCTTAAGGGAATGGTCGTCATTTTCTCCGAAACGGACCTGAACGAATTACCGTGCGGAAGGTGCTCAGGTTCCATGCCTTTTGGGACGACCACACCAAGTATGGCTCCCGCAAGCCGCTGGGCTGAGAGTCTGAGAGTCTGACAGGTCCTCGATTGGGTGGGGGCATGGGTTCCGTAGCATGCGTTCTTTTCATTTTTGGTTTGGTCAGTCCTTTGCGGACCATATGTTTACCATTAACGAAAATCCATAAATCGTTGGTCCTGTTCACCCTGTGGTGGGAGCCTGCAAGATCTGCAAGGATCGGGCAGCTTTTGCTCACACCATGCGAAGCGTGGGTGCGACGGGACCGAGGTATTACACGCTGCACTATTACTTGGCGGATGACACCATCGAAATGCTCGAGAACCTGCCCAGGACAGGTGAGTTCGCCAATCGACCCCCCTCTGTGGAGATTTCTTTTGCGCATAAGCTCTGTGGTGTTATGCGCCGATTTGCACCCCTATTCCAAAAGTGTTGCAGTTGAGGCGGTGTTTCAACAAGCCAGCCCAAGACTTAGCTGATGAGAATTGATTCCTTTTCACACAGTCGTATACTTTAGGAGTTTTTTGTTATTTTTTGGGGGCGGGGGGGGGGAGGGCGCGGGGGGGGGGGGGGAGTTGGGGAGGTGTTTGGGCAGCTAGGAACTCGGGCTGCGCGCCGTACCCCATCTTCTGGCGGCGGTCGCCTCTGCGGAAGAACCCCCACATCTCCCCGACCCCCGGCATGCTGGAGCCGCCCCCGCAGATCTACAAGCCCGAGGAGCCTGGGGAGGGTTATGAAGTGGGACCATGAACCCTGAAAACGGGGGGTGGGGGTGGGGGATGTTAGGAGAAGCGCCATGGCTGACCGTTCAGGAGTTTCATGTAAGTTGGGGCCTCGCCATTCTTTTGAGGGTTCGATTCCTTGGAAGGTTATTCCATTTGCCAAGCTTTCCTTTCGCTCGGTTTCCACGCGGCGCCTGAGCCCGAATGCGAGGATCTCATCTGCGGGCAGACCATCGATGTCCTGGGGCGAGAGATTGTGCTCTACGACTGCGATGAGTTCACGCGAGACTTCTACGTGCAGTACATGGACTTCGAACAGGTCTCTCAGCCTTGCGAAACGTCCGATGGTTGGCGTCGCGCGCGACGACCTGCTCAGGCAGGTGTCAAGATTGACCACCCGCCGCTGACACATGCCCCTTGGCGCCAGAATACGTTTGCCAAATGTTGACTGAGGCAGGCGAATTCAGCTGGTTGATTGATGGTTCAGATCCTTCGCTTTTGGAGGGGACCGTGCTGGCCCGGCATTCTACAGCCCCCCCACCCACCCCCGCACCCCCCCACCCCCCCACCCCCCCACCCCCCCAGTCGGAGCTCGACTTTGGATGTAGGTGAAGCTGCAGTTCCCTCCCTACAACGGCTTTGGCTCGGAGGACTTGCGGGCGGCCATGACCGAAGGGACGCCGCGCATGTCCAACGGCTCGTCCAATGTTGTGGTCACCGATTTGCGAGGTGCTTTCAAAGAGAAACCAAAGGGCAAAGCGAACCCACTTCAGGTCTTTATTATTTGGGTCTGAATTGTAAGTAGGGAATGTTTGGTGGGTGGGGACCAATGTCCACCAACAACTTGGGGGGTGTCCCTACTAAAATTCATCGCCATTTCAGAGCCCTGAGTCACTGAATCACTGACAGGGACAGGGCTGTGGCCCAGGAGGATTCGCTGGCGAGCTGCAAGGGTTTGATGCCCAAGCAGCCCCGGCGGGATGAGCAGAAGCTCCTAGTGGATGCGGACAAGGCGGGGAGCTCGGCCCGAAGAGAGGGGGCTATGGCTATGGTCCATCGGCTCGGATTCAACATGGAGTTGATCAATATGGAGTCAACGTGACTGGATCCAACGAACAGCAACCACAAGAAGCGTAGCAGCAGGCAACAGCAACCACCAGTACTTTGGTGCATGTTGGCAAGGGATGTTAGGACTTTAACTTTTTGCCAACTAATGGTTTCCCCGAATTAAGCCGCAAAAAGTTGAACTTTTAGCAGGGGAGCAGAAAGCCACCGAGTCACCGAGCAATGGCCTAGTGGCTCGGATTCGGGATCAAACCACGGCACCGCAGCACTTCTGCCTTTGGGTGGGGTTGCTGTTGTGCCAGCTGTCCTTTGGTACAGTCCTATCCTTTGAAGGCTCTCTGAGAGATGTTTTTTGAACGAAGTGCAGGTTCCTTGTGGGAGGCTTGCTCCAAGCTTGCTCCAAGCAAGTTGGCTGTGGGTCAAAACCAATGGGATACCATTTTGGGGTAGGTGCACCACCCATTGTTTTAGTGGTTGGATTGGATGTTCACTGGGGGTGTGGGTTTTTGACCCATGGCCAGTTGGCCAAAGGATCGCCCTGTCCTTCGCTCAGGGCCGCCATAGCGGCCCCGAGGTGCTGCGGTTCGAAGCACTCCTGGCGGACGACGTGGAGGAGAACGAGAACCGGAAGTTCGTGGTGGCCATCTACCTGGGTGACGACAGCGTAGGGGTTTCCCGGCTGCGCTCAGTTTTCTTTACCCGGGGGAGGGGGTGGGGGTGTGGGGGGTGGGGGTGTGTGTGGCAGGGGATTTTTGACCCCGTGTTCATCAACCCCAGTTTTTTCTATGGGAGGTTGGGGGTGTTCCCCTCCAAAAGTTGTTTGATTCTTTATATTTCCTCACATTTAACCCAGGAATGGACAACCCCCTATAAATTAAATGTGCATTAATCTGGGGTGGATGAATATGGGGTGAACACTACTTTGGTTTCCAATTCCCAGGTTGCTTGAACAAGGGCCGGGGGGCGGGGGCTTCCCACATGTTTGACCCAGTGGATGGCAGGTCTGGGAGCTGAAGCAGCGCAACTCCGGGCATTCGGAGGGCCACCCGGCTGCGGGCTGCTCTCGGGCGCGAGCGAGCGCGGGAAGCGTGCGCGGGAAGCGTGCGCGGGAAGCGTGCGCTGGTTGTGGGTGTGGTTCAGAGCCATGGCAAGGGGAGCCATTGCAGCCCTATCATTTGGTGGCTAGTAGAGAGGATCTGAGAGAGCGAGGCTACCAGTCACTATGAGAGCGGTTGAGGACAACTGAGGGCCAGGATCTTCCGGCCAGCCCCGCACTAGTATTGGAGTTTGGGCGAGCAAACGACGCGCGAAATGCGCGCGAAATGCGCGCGCTTTGCGGGATGCGAGGCAAGTTCGCCAGCAAGTCCCGGAAGAAGAACCCGGCCACACGGACCTGGTTCAAGTGCCGACCCCAGGAATGCGGTTTTGCGCGGTGAGAAAGGCGGGTCCAGAGAACCTGTTGGCAGAAAGCTGCACGGTTTTTTCTTAACAACCCACAAAGGATCCTGGAACCGGAAGTGGATTTCCATGAGCCTACGAAACAAAGGGAAGGAAATGACATCCAGGGCGGTGGATTTCTATGTGGGCGCGGAAGTCAGCATCAACGCCAGCCCCTTCCTCCTGGTGGGGGCTGATGACAAGGCCCGTTGGATTCGGGGGGGGGGTGATGCATGCACACAGATTTATGTATATACAGTACATATGTCAAACTGGGGGGCCCCCAAAATTTGTGGTTTCCGTTTTAGGTTCGCCCGGCTCCTCAACAGACGGCCCATTTCTTGACAGGCGCTGAGCTACATGGAGGAGCACCCGGACCAGTTCGAAGTGTCAAATGCGGCTTGGCTTCCTTCCACCCAGTTGCTTAGTGGTGCCCCTTCTCCCCCCCTTTTCTTTTTAATGGGAAGGGTTCCCTTTAAACTAAAAAAACCAAACACGGGATGCCCTTATTTTCCCCCCTGGCATGCATCGCACGAAACGTGTGCTGCACGTTGGCGAGGTGAGTGCCGTGGTGGGCAAGTTGCAGAGCTTGAAGGGCTGGCTGCAAAAGCAAAGCGGGCAGATTAGCGGTGCTTAGCTCAGAGAGAGGGATGTAGAGCGCGAGAGAGAGAGAGAGAGAGACACAGCACATTTTAGGTGCTTACGTTTGGCCTGTCAGCAGCCAAACTTTCCAGAGAGGGATATAGAGAGTCAGGCAACCAGATCAGCAGATCCCAGCCCAGCTCTATTCTACGCTTTCATCTCTTTGTTTTCAGACAGCTCCTTTGGCCAAGGAGATTCTCTTTAGGGCGAGAGGTGATTTTCTCCGATTTTTTTCGCCGGGCGGGTCGGTCGCAGGTGCAGAGCTCCAGAGAGCCGCGCAGGAGTGGTGCTGCATGTGGGTCAGGGGATGAGAAATGGAATGACCCCGAGAAAAGCCATCCATCCGATTGGTTTCCTTAGTTGAACTTGCGACGATGTGTTCTTGAGCCGCCTTGAGCGCAGGGGCCCCTGTCAGCTCCGTCGAGGGATCAAGCATTGCAGTTTGGAATTCAAAAAGGTTCCCCGCTCAAATGGTGAACGTTTAGGTTGGACATGTAGTGTTTTCTTGGTTTCCTCAAGAAGCCTGGTGCCGGCGTTCTTCGGGGCTTTTCCCGGTTTTCCTGGCAGGACAGCGGTTTGTCCCTGTGTGCCCACGAGGTGCTGACGCTTTCGCGGGCCTTTGGCCTCTCAGTTCAACGGTTGCTGTGACCTCGGTGCTTGGATGATGCCATTTGGCTGTGGCTCAAAAAAGTGGAATCCCAAAATGGCACTCTGGTAAATGGAGCCAAAGACTAAAACCCGCGTAATTTCAGCTCTTTAATTTTCAGCCATGCCCATTTTGGGTGTTTTCCTTTTGAGGGTGATGTCGAAAGGGGAACCAGGGGCCCTGACCCATGGTTTGCCCCGTGCTTGAGGCTCTGCTAGTCTGCTTGGGATCCATGAGCCGAACAAAATCACAGCTGTGAACATGAAGATCTTCAATGTTTGGACAAGATTGTCCCCCTGAGTCTGTGTGTTTCTTGGGGCCAAATGTCATTTTGACAGCCCGCCAGCCCGCCCTTCCCCAAGATCAGGCGGCCACTGGACTAAACTTGCTACCGCTCTTGGCTCAACGAGCTTTTGGTTTACCTTCAAGGTGACTCCTGGGGAAACCGGCCGAGGACGGAACGTGTACGTGGTCGCGGAGGCCGCCGTGGACGCCAGCCAGCTCTTAGGGGCCTTGAATTGAGCGCCTCGGTCAGTGGCGAAGGAGTCGGAAGGAATGGTCTTGGACGCGTTTGGCAAACCGCCTCGCCAGTTAGATCATACCTTTTTTGTTGTTGTTTTTCTTTTTCTCGTAAATTGCCGGGAAGACGCATGGAGCCTTCAAAGAGGAGGCTAAATAAGGTTTGGCCTTCCGTCATATCCAACTACAGGCCGTCGGGCGTAGGCACATCCGCCCTGCCACTCGGCGACTGAGGCCGCTTCAAGCGCTCATATGTTACATGCGTGTTTCACCCGAGTTCCAGCTTCAGAGAATGCCTGGCTCTGGGAATCTTTGTTGCCAACCATTTTGCCGCTCAGATGGGACCCATGGAGCTGCGGGCAGTGGGTTGGGTGACTCGGAGCCAGGGCGTGTCACGGACTCGCGGCCCGCGAGGCGCTGCCTTGTGCAACATGCACGGGGGGCCCTTCGGCCGAGAAGTCTCTGGGTGTGGCCACCACGGAATGTGTCGAAGTGACGCAAACGCCCACGCGAAGAGCAGCAGCTTGTGTTATCTTTGTTACGTGTGTTGGAGATGGCCGATGCTCAATGCAGACAAGTGCCATTGCTGCAGCTGGGAAACATGGTGCGTGCGCTTCTGCCAGTGCCCGAGGTTTGATGTGAATATGAGTTGCTTTCTGCCTCTGAATGGGGAGGTGCTTCCCCTGACTGCCTCCCTGTGAGAAACACCAAGAAAGGGCACCTGGCAGCAGCCTAGGTCGATGATGGCATGATGCCTCAAGGGTACGGCATCAAGGTGCAGGCGCCCGCTTGGTGTTGCTGCGGGTTCTGAGGGACACCTTTTGGAAGGACGCCCGGGCCCCAAGCAAAACCCAAATCTGGACCCGGCACATTTGGAGCTGGCGCGAGCCGTGAGCCGCAGCTGCGGGCCCGATCGCGATGGGGCCGGATTTGGCAGCCCTGTTTGGAGAGGATGTTGAGCCGGAAGAGGTCCAGGCGGGGCTTCAGGGCGCCAAGGTCGGGTTCTGTTGCGTGCTTCCTAGGGGTTCAAGTTTGCTTCAAGGTTTGATGTTTAAGGCTTCAGCATGGCTTTGGGTGTTGAGCCTTAGAGGCTTAGCGCACAGGGAACGCTTTGCACCAACCAATCAACCAACCAACCCCCTCAACCGCGACCTCAGCCCCAACCGGCCTGAACCAACCAAACAACCTACCTACCTACCTCAACCAACCAAGCAACCAACCTACCAACCTACCAACCAACCTACCTACCTACCTCAACCAACCAACCAACCAACCAACCAACCAACCAACCAACCAACCAAGCAAGCAAGCAAGCAAGCAAGCAAGCAAGCAAGCAAGCAAGCAAGCAAGCAAGCAAGCAAGCAAGCAAGCAAGCAAGCAAGCAAGCAAGCAAGCAAGCAGCCAGCCAACCAACCAACCAATCAACCAACCTCAACCTGAACCTCAGCCGACCTCAACCCCAACCAACCTCCACCAAAGTATCAACCTCAAGCTGAGCCACGCAGCTTGGCCAGGTGCACCCCGCGCTCCTCTCGGCGGTGAGCGCCTTGCTGGGTGAGGCCTGGCCCGTGGCGCGGGCGGAGCTGCTGGGGGAGGCGACCCAGGAGGCCAAGGACAAGGACCGCCGCGCGCCGCGCGCAATGAGTGGAGGGGGAGGCCCAAAACGATATTTGTTTGTTTTGTTAGTTGGCAAAGGTGCGCCAACCGGAGCACTTTGGAGGACAAAGAACCACTCCTTCAAATAAACACCCCCTAGACCCCCTGCTTGTTTTTCCTAATGAGGGATTGAGCCAAGCATTTGCTTTGTCTTGCCCAGGTCCGGTGGTTATTTCCCTTTTGTCCAAGGTTTTGCTGTCGTGAACACTTAATGAAGGTTTGTTTGTTTTGCCAGTGGGATGGAGGCCAAGCCTTCGCAAGGGCGTGTTCGCCCGCACAGTTGCTGAAGAAAAGGGAGCTAGTGTTTGTCGCCACTAGATGTCTCTTTTTCTCATTTCCTTTTTTGTCACCTTCTTTCCCCACGCCGGGGAGTTTTACGCCACTTCAGCAGTGGATTCATCTATAGTTGCAAACAGCGCCAGGGCCTGGCGGCTTGCAATGCATCCCTGACTATCACCAAGTGGGCCAAACCTTTGGCCCACCTTGACTCATCTGTTTTTTTTGTTTCTAGCTGCTAGCTTTCCCTCCCCTTCTGCCTCGTTATTTGTTGCTTGTTCATTTACCTATGGAAGTGGCGCCCGATTTTCGGTTTCCCTACGAGGGAGGGCAACTTGGGTGGGGAGTGGAAGCTTGGACGACTGACTATCGTCGGCGCAATGATCGCACAACCAACAGACAGGGCACACCACACCTACGGAATACATACCAAACACACAAACATATATACCAACCATACCTAAACGCGCATAATTTTTCGATTCTCCCTCTCCAAAAACGCGGAGAAGTCTTCAAAACGGGCGCCTGGGCGTGGCCCAGGAGCCCCGGCTGCCTCTGCCGCCGCGCCTGGCGCGGGACATGGACGACGCGCTGGGCGCCCTGGAGCGGCGCGCCTGGGCAGAGTGCGCGGCGCAGGCGGGGTTGCGGGTTCGGTTTGGAGACGGCTTCGGTTTCGGATGTCCGGTCTGAGGGTTTTTTGGAATATAGCCTTGAGAATGAATGACCCGGAATGGTTCAAAGTAGCGCGGTTTCTATCCGGAAATGAGCCTAAACCCGGTGGGTGTATTCCCAGGGTGTAATACAAAAAAAAGAAAAGAAACCTTAGACCGGGGATGGCTTCCTTTTCAAGGGGCCGTTGCTGGAACGTCGAAGGGTTCCATGTCAAGGTGGCTGGTTTGGACCATCTTCCCTTTTTCAAAGGGGCCGTTGCTGGGGCATCGAAGTTTGAGGGTAACTTGTTCTAGCAACATGATAAACATCTTGGCTTGCTGGTGCGCTAGGCAGGGAATGAGACATGGAATGACCCCGAGAAAAACCATCCCCCACGGCTTCCGACTGAGCTGTGTTTTTTTAGACTAGTTTGTGACACATGCGCACTTTGCCGGACTCGATCCAGATTCTTGCCCTTTTGCAGTTTGTTCTAGCACATGCCAATGTGCCAAGCATGTTCCAGTATCTTCCAAGATGTCCCGACGTGTTCTGGAAACATGCCCGACGTGTCCATATCTCCCCAACTATCCTCGATGCGATGATACTTTCCATTTCAACAACATGCCCAATGTGTCCATTTCCTCACTCCCTGAGTCCCTGGACATGCCAGCGGTACCCCAAGAAGTTCAGACCTTCCTTTGCCCAATCCACGCAGGAAATGGAGTTCCACCAGCTGCTTTGTCTTGTTTTCTTGGGGGGGGTGGAGGAGTTCCACCATGTGCCTCTTTTTCTTTTTCTTTATTTTTTTGGGGGGCACGTGGAGGGGAGGTTGGTGGGTTGGCGGGCTCTGGCCTTAGGCGGAGAAGATCAAGTCGGAGGCCTGGGCGGCGCTGATGCGGGACAAGACTTGGCAGAGCCTCCTGGCAGAGCACCCGGCCTTTGCCCAGATGGGCTTTGGGGAGGTTTGGGGCAGCTTTCAGGGAGGGTTCCGCTGTTGGGGAGGTCATGCGTCTGTTTTTTTTTCTTTCTGGAGTTGGGTCCACCAAAATGATGGGTTCCTTCTGGTTTCCCCTTGAAACCCACCAGCAGTTTTTGGAGTCGGTAATGCTTCGGTCGGGTTTCACGGGGGGGGAGGGGGGTCCAATCCTTGGGCTTCCTCCCCGCCCCTTTTTTCCTCGTTGCCCCCCCATGATGGTTGCTTGAGTTGTTTTCTGTCGGTCAAAGAGTAGTTGGAGGAGAGACACTTTGCTTGATTCTTTTTCGCAAGCCTTTCTTTTTACCCAGACCTTGCTTGGTTTACCCAGCTTGGCTGACATTCCGATTTTGAGTCCAATCATGGTCGTATGAGTGCTTGACGGCTTAGCCTTTCTTTTTACCCAAGCCTTCTTACCCAAGGCTTGCTTGCTTTGGATGTCTTTTTTGTACCTTTCCTTGGAGTTACCTGACTCACATTCCGATTTGGAGTCCAAGCATGGTCATGGTGTGATGGGCGCTTGCCAGTTGAGACTTTTTTTCCCATTGCTGTGAGAGTGACAAGCAAGTATTCACCCGCTTGGCAGGAAAAGTAAAAAGGTTTTGCCAGGGCAAAGGCCAACCAACTCAGCATTCCCCACATCAAAACACAAGCTCAGGATCCATTGATCTTCTATCGAAAGCTACAAAACAAACGTTTTAGATGGATTGGCTCTGTTTCAGCTGGTTTTCCTTTTGGTTTCCCTTTCAATCAACCCAAAAGGGGGGTTCCCTAAGAAAAGACACACCCCTTGACGTTTCCCCCTTCCAGTTGGTAGCTTGAAAAGAGCCGCTTCGCTTTCTTCTTACTGGGAATTGAAGACGTGGCCGTTTCTGGCAATTTCTTCTGAAAAGCACATATCACAGCTGGTGCAGAACAAACGGGTGCTTCCGAGCACATGGGCGTTCGGCCAAGTATCAAAGTGGGTACGCAACCAACTTCCAAATCTTCAAGTGAAGTTGACCCGGTTGGTGGGTTATCACCCAGGCTGCTGGTTACTTAGTTGTGTGTTAGTTTGTTTGTTTGCTTGCTTGCTTGCTTGCTTGCTTGTTTGTTTGTTTGTTTGCTTGTTCGTGTGGTTGTTCGTTTGTTTGTGTGAGCGTGCGTGTTTTTGAGGCTCAGTGCTTTGCAGGGTTAGGGACAAACGGAACACACGAGAAAGTCCAATTTTCGGGTCCCGGTCCAAATGCCATGTTGGCATATGGCTGTGTCGTTTTCAGGGGATCCCATCACATCCCCCCCCCGAAAAGAACACAAATCACTTTGCCCTCAATTGGCGATGTGGTTTGGTGGTTTGGACAGATTCGAGGGTACCTTCCCCACTTGATTTCAACAGGTACTGGCGTTCAAACCCCCGAACCACCACTCCAAACCACCAAATAGGAGTTACCTGAAACTTGGCGGTGTTACCTTTTGGTTCCGCTTCAAACACTGACCAACACGGGCTACCAGCCCAACCATCAAAGCAAGAACCACACTCTTTTCCCTCGGACCCTGTTTCCTTTTGGTTCCCCTTTAAGCACCGACCAACACGGGCCACCAACTGAAAGCAAAAGCAGCACTCCCATTTTATACCTCAAAAGCCCCCTGACGGTTTTCGGCTGCTTGAGGACCAACTCAAAGAAACAGGGAAGCCAACCCATATAGCTCGAAGGCCCTGGCTCCCAGCTCTTGAAGCCACCCCATATAGCTCGAAGCTTGTGGCTCCCAGGGTAGCTCCCAGGACCCTGCGACAAGGAGCTCTTCATCTTGGTGCAGCTCCTCCTGGCCTTGTGCGCCCACGCCTCTGCCTCGCCGGCAGACGCCATGCGCCACGTGGACGAAGCCTTCGTGTTCGCGGCCGCAGGCCGGCGCGACGCGCGCGAGACCTGCGCGCCACGGGGTGAGACAGGTTGAAACCTAGTGATTTGGAACATATTTGCTGTTAAACCTACTTTTCAAACCTACTGATGAAAAGGCGCTGCTTTTTCCCAAAGGGAGCGCACATGTTGAACCATGGGTGTCCCTTTTCGGCTAGTTTGGTCAGAAATAGATGGGATCCGCCGCTTTGGAGGGGTTTTACGCCCCATTGACCAGGGACATCGGTTTTGCCAAAAGGTCACCAGCGGTTGAGACGATGTTCAAGCCTACTGACTTCGAGAAAGTTTGAACTTGTTCATGCAAGTTGAAAGATTTCGACCCGTTGAACCGCTTCAACAGCCACTTGTTTTTTTGGTTTTCCAGCAGTGCCCATAGAGGCCCCTTTCGCTCCTGCGCGCTGCTCTTCGTACGGCTCCTGGACGAGGACGCAGCTGCGGCAAGGCGGAAAGAGGACAGGTGCACCGGTGGAAGTCTGAGGTGAGATTTCCCCTTTTTTTTGGGGGGAGGGGATGGGGGGAATTCACATTTCAGGGTTTGGGGTGGTTTCATTGGGGGCCATGGGGGGGGGGGCCCACTTCTGGAAAGACATTGCTTGGAAGTGGGTTTTGCTGTTTAGGGCAAAGGAGACGGCCATTTCATGTTGGCGCCCGAAAAGGGTGAGGTGTTGGGGGAAATGTCCGCCATGCAAGCCTCGGTTAAGCTGGAGGTCGAGGAGGAAGGGATGGTCAAGTGTATGGTTAGTAAAGGAGTCCCAGCCTGCAGTGGAACTCATTTTGGTGGTTATCCTCGCACAGTTGACTCCGCCTTCACTTGCGGATGTAGATTTGCGATTTGGTGGGTAGGGGGTGGTTCCCCGTTTGCCTTCAAGAGCAAGGTGCTCAAATCCCCAAGCCACCACTCCAAACCGATTGAGACTTGAGGCTATCCTCCCACCAATGATTCTTCAAGGGTCAGTGTAGGACTCTGACCAAAATGCGCCTAGTTGCTCAAAGACAACTGATTGGATGCAGGGAATTTCAGTAGACTTTTGATGGAGCATATGTTCCACTTACTTTGGCAGCGCGAACTGCGTACACCCGTGTTTTTGGGTGGCAAAGGCAAGTGGGCTTCCATATCCCCAACACTGCTTGGATTCCCTCGGAAGTGCTTTCGCTGCTTGGTTTCGATTTGAAGCCATCCAAAGAGGGTACATACCCTCAACAACAGATATGCAAGAAAGACACGTCCGAGTAATATTTGCTCCAAGCTCCAAATTAAGAAGCACTTCCCATTAATAGAGGAATGTTTTTTGGAACAGTGATGAATTTCCAAGGGCGTTTTCCAGCCACACACTGGTGCACAAGCCTTTTTTTTCTCTCTCGAAATAGGAAGGACCCTTGCAAAACTGTTTGGCAGTGTTGCCGAATAAATTGAGGCGCCGGGCGTACACTGAGCATCAGTGGTTTCATGTGGGTCCAAACTTGCCATTGTCTTAAGGTGCACTTCCACGTGTCTTTTTTTTCAGGGCACCCCTTCAAAAGGGGCAACTTGTTGAATTCGTTTTTTTTTAGAAATTGGGTCTAGAAAAAAGACGGCGCGTCCCCACGTTCCTTGCCGAGCCGTCCGAGCCTGTCCAGGATCCGGTGGAGGGCTCCTTCCCAGCTGAAACCCCCGCGGGCTCCACGTCCGGGGCGCTGGAGCGCCTGCCCGCGCCAAGCCCGCAGGAGCTGGGGCAGCTGCTGAGTCAGAGGCCGCGTCGGTTGGTTTGGTTTTCTTCCCCGCCTGTCTTTTCTCTTTTTGGTTGCGCGGGAGGGTTGGTTCTTCTTCCATTTCCTTAAATGGAATTGGGGGAGGGGGGTGACTTTCTGGAAATCCAAGTTTCTGGCTCCATGCTCCCTTTCTTTGAGAAGACTGGAGAAATGGAAGTTGGCGCTCCCCACCTCTCCCCCCTACAGCAGGGAGGATGTTTGGTCGTTTTCGTAGCCCACAGTTTTCTTGACATGCTGGCGGGTGCCAGCTTCAGTATGAAGCTTTCAAAAAAAGAAGCAAACCTTTTCCCGCGCCAACCAGCAACAGTTAGTTGTTTCTGCAGGGGGCAGTAGCCACATACTTTTTGACGAATCGGGGAATTGCACATTTCATGAACTTTCATGACTCGCCTAATGCAAGCCCAGACCTGGTCGGCCTTAGAGCGTGTGAGCTTGGCCATGTTTCAGGATTGTCGGGCTATGCAAATCCGTGCTTTCTCAAGGGCTACGAACCATCACCACAAAAAAAACACCTGTTCCAAACATCGGGCCCAGGAGGCCAAGCTAACAACCCCCCGCCACCCCCCCCCAGAGGCGCCTCCCCCCCCGAAGCCTCCACCCCTGCGAGGCGGCCCTTCCGCTTTGGAGGGGCTCTGGAGGCCTGGCCCGCGCGGAAGTGGACGCTGCAGCACCTGGACCAGGCACGGCGGTTTCTCCAAAAAACACATCCCAGTCAGAGGTCTCCCTCGCCGGAAGGCCAGCGAAAAAGAACCTTGTTCGCAAGTCCAACGAAAAAGGGGGGGTAAAAGCAATGGCAAGCCATGAAGGTCCGTTTACCTGGGATTTCTTGGCTTTCAGGTCTTGGACATAGAATCCGGGTGTAGGGCGTGGCCTTTTGGTTTCTTTGGGTTTGCTCAATTTGAGTCATGGCCCCACAACGACATGGTCGGTTTTGGGGATGCCAAGGGGAACCCATTGGAAATGACAAAGTGGCGCTCCCAGAAGCGATCCCAGAAAGGTCATAGCACGTAAAAAAAGGGAGCCTGTCAATATGGCAGTGAAGTTTTTGAGGGGTCTGTAACAGAGCCGCGGCGGACATTCGTTACAGACCTTGTTACAGACCTTTGTATCTAAACCAGCTGGCTCGTTACACACCCCTCGCTACACACCCTCGTTACACGCCCTCGCTACACACCTCAGATGAACAAACCGGGCCAGTGACGTGACTGCCCTCTTTTTGCAGCAGCTTGGCTTGCGTTGAATAGCTGCAATCAAGTGCTTTGCTTTGCCTCGTTGCAGACCTCGTTACATAGCCGTTACATACCTCGTTACAGACCCAACCCCCAGCCCGGGCCAGCGACCCCGCTTTTTGCCGCAGCTTGGCTTGCGTTGAATAGCTGCAATCAAGTGCTTTGCTTTGCCTCGTTGCAGACCTCGTTACATACCTCGTTACAGACCCAACCCCCAGCCCGGGCCAGCGACCCCGCTTTTTGCCGCAGCTTGGCTTGCGTTGACTAGCTGCAATCAAGCTGGAGCTGCGGAGGCGCGCTTTGCGTCCTGCGCTTTGCTTTGCCTTGCCTTGTCACAGACCTCGTTACATAGCCATTACATACCTCGTTGTGCTGCGCTACATTGTGCTACTGATACTGCTTGTCAGGAAATGTGTGTCCCGTTACAGAGCTGCGTATCAAGGACCTCCGTTACAGACCTCCGAAACAAGATTCGTGGCGCGTCGCGCGTTACAGACCCCTAAAAATATCACAGCCAAAAAGGAACGGGTGTGTTGTTTCTTTTCGGCGGAATGCCTTTCAATAGCTTTGAACACGGGAACCAAAAGGAAGCCATGTGAGGCCATCCTTGACTCTCCAAATTGCTTCCAGAATTGCACCCATACGATTCCTTTCCAGGTTCCAGATGGCTTGCTTCGAACAAAGACGGGTTGAGACATCAGAGTTCCCGCCACCTACCAACCACCTACCATAACAGAGTGACTTTAAAAGTAACAACATATATAAGTTTAACAGATCAATAAATGGAGAACCATCAGATAACTCGGACTTCGCTTTTCAAGTTAGCACGTCATCTCCTTTTGGGCCGTTTTATCCCAAAGGAGATTCCTGTACGGGGTCTTGTAGGTTCGAAGTTAAAATCTGGGGGGGGGGAGTTGTGAGGCAATTAGCTAAAGATCCAACGCCCTCAATCCTTGAAACCAGTACAGTTGGGTGAAAGTAGATGGCACAATCCTTCCCCCAATTTTGGCTCAGTGATCACTGTGACCACCTTGCCTTACCAACGAGTTGTGCCATCCAACTTCACCGCGGCTACCCTAAAACAAGGCGGTCGCAACATCAAAAAGAAAGAACTCCGCTTTGTTTCCCCCCAACAAAGCCGTTTGGCCTCTTTTTTTTTTTTTGGGGGGGGGGGGGGGAAACGCCTTTTTTGGGGGGACCTCCTTCTTTTTGCCACTTCTCCCGCTTCGCCCCAAAAAGGGCGGCTCCCCCAACCGGGAAAAACAACCCGACCGCGCGCGGCGGAAGTTTTTCCTCAGGTGGCGGGCCACCGCCTGGTGCCCACAGAGCTGGGCCGCGCGGATTCGGAGTCGGGGGAGCTCCGGGAGGAGCTGATGCCCTTGGGGCGCTTTCTCCGGGCGCCTCGGACCCCGCACCCAGGGCGTTTTTGTTCTTCCTCTTTTTTTCCTTCTCCCCGATTTTTCCTTTTTCGGGGGGTGGTGGTGGTGGTTCGGGGTAGCTTTTTTTGTTGTCCGGTGCGTTTGTTTTCTTCTTCTTTTTTTCCTTGGGGATTTTGGGTTGTGTCGATGTCTTTTTTGGTCCTGCAGTGGTTAACTGGCTGTTGTTTTTCGGCCGAGATGTTTTTCCTTGGGCTGGATATTTTCTCCTCATTGGGTGGTTTGGATGTGGGCATTTTCTACGGGCATACACATTACCCCAACTTGGTGATTTGATTAGTTAGTCTCTGGGGTGAGCGTGGGGTTCCATGGGGGTAAGCTGGACCCCATATGTCCTAGCTAGTGGTGGATGGCTTGCAGGCCTATGGCTCAAATTGGCTTTGGTTTCCCCTCAACCCCAAAAGGGTACTCAAGTTGAGGGTCTAGTTTGCACATTTGTTTGAGGTTCGACGGAGGCTCCATGCAAGAAATGGCGGGGAAGATTCAAGGCAACCAGAACCCAGTACCGCATGATGGCGGAGCCATCTCTATCTTTTGAATTGCAGTATGGTTCACCAGTAGCATGTTGAGCTGAGCGGATGAGGCTAGCCGCGGAAGAGCCGTTTGCTTGATGTAGAGGGCAGTAATCCACACATCAGAATCCTGTAAGTTCATTTGGCAGCCAGGAACTTAGAGGTAAGTCTGTGGGTTGTACTGCGTGGCTTCATGAGGCGCAAGGTGAGGCCGATATAGACTTGCACAATGCTGGTAGGACCAAGAGTCCAGGAACGCAGCCAGGAACATCTACAGGAGGTTAAGCAAAACCTGGACAGGTGGATGTGGCCTTTTTGTGTGGTTTGATTGGGCTGGTTTCTTTGAACCAAATGGGATCCAATGGGTTTGGCTTCAGGACCACTTGGCTCCCAGCTGCAGAGGGGTCACAGGGGCCACGACTTCCACGGCGTACCTGGCCCAACACGAGCTCTTCGAGCAGTGCCCTGTGCTGCGGGCGGACGTGCCGGTGCCGAGCTGCTGGCAGCAGGCGAGACATGAGCCCGTAACCCACCCGTAAAGGTCCTAAGCCAGGTTTTCAGTATCCTTTTCACGAAGGTTCTAAAAACCTTTCCTGGAGGTGGGGCCATTTTTTGAGACCCCTCAAAGGGTTGTAAGCTAGTGACTTCAGGCAGTGTTACGAGAGACGTGAATGGTAAGAAGCAAGCCAAGTAGGGGAAGCCCTTGTAAATGCACCCTTCGTCGGGTCCTTTCGCCTTCCGTGCCTCTGCGTGGTGTTGGCACTTCGGGTCCGTGAGTTTGCCAGGTGGGTCAGTTTCACCCATCTCTCGCTCCCTTGGCCTCCAACCCCTCGTAACTCTCTTCGTCATCATGTATACCCTGCAGATTGACATGGCCATGGGTCAAAATCAATGGTACCATTTTGGGGTAGGTGCACCACCCGTTTTTCGGGCTTTTAACCCATCCATGTGAAACACCGGCATTTTTTTCTGGAGGGATCGCTTCTGGGCCGGGCCCCCAGGTGCTGGGTGCGCCCAGCCGCTGCAACGCCTGGGTTGGCACCTCCTCCACAGTGACGCCCTGCCATTGGGACTCCTACGCCCGGAACCCGGAAACCCGGGCCCGGAAAATCCCACGGGGTCCCAGTGAGAACCAAAATGGGAAGCACCCACGGCACCAACGGCACCGGCCGGACAGCTGGACACGGGGCAAGGTTCTTGTAACAGCTCGCAAGCGACTGGCCGAAACTCCCTCTCTGAAAGCCTGAGGGGCCAGCGAAAAACGGAAGGAGTGGTTCCCACCCTCCCCCCAAAGAGCCATGCCGCTGAGCCCCGAGCCCCCCAAAACCTTCCAGCCCCGAGCCATGCCGCTGAGGACAACTTCCTGGCGCAGGTGCAAGGCTTCAAGCGAGTGGCCGCTCGCCTGCCGCTGGAATAAATGGGACCCGGAGGCCCAAAACCCATTCAGCCGGCCTCCATGCAGGTTTTGTTGATGATTTATTCAAAGGGATATGGTTTTATTATTGTTTGTGTTCTAGGCACGGTCACTTGAGGTTAGCTGCTTGAAGTAGAAGAAAAGGAGGCTCCCATAGGTCTGCCAGTTCTCGGGCTGCTGTATCCAGGACACCTCCTTACATCCCGGGCACTTGCTTGCTGAGGCGTTGCTGGCGCCGGAGCAGCGGTCGAAGCTGTATCTATGCTGTCCCTGGCAATGTTTTCCTTTCTTTAGAATCACATGGGTGTGGCTCAAATTAATGTACCAACATCGCACCATATGGAAATGGGACCAAAGACTGAAACCTGCGTAATCCGCCACAGCCACATAGCGAAGGTGATGCCTTGATGTTGGGACCGCAGTCGCACGCGCTGCACTCCAGTGAGCCTCCATTCTTATTGGAACCCGCCAGTGAGTTGACTTCCGGAAATCCACGCACCCCTCTCATGCTATGTCCATTTTTTGGGTTTCACGTGTATCACACGTTTTCTCTGACATGTTTTCAACATTCTAGGGGTTGATCCCCCATTCTTTTCAACCATCGTTCTTACCAAAAACCGGCCGTTTTCCCTCGGCTTCCGGAGGAAGAAGGATCCCTGGAAAGAATGGGGGAGGTACCCCAGCTCCTCTGACAACGGTTGGCAACCGCCGTCAGCGACGCGCGCGCGCGAGCGCGCCTCACGCGACTTGAGCGTCGAAAGTCGAAGGTACGTGGAGGAGTCCGTGGGGCGCACGGCCGCCCAGGGCAACCTGAGCCCGGTGAACGTAGAGGACGGAGCTTGGGGCCTGGGAGCGGCCGCGTTTCAGTTCTTGTTTTTTGTTTGTTTGTTTTTTTTTTTGGGGGGGGGCGCACCCAAAACGCCGGGCCTGGGTTTTCGGGGTTGCACTAGGTGCCGTTTTTTTGGGGGCGGGGGGGGGCGCCCAAAGCGGGGGCGGAGGGGAGGGGTTGCCGGTTCCAGGATCCGGACCTGGAGAAGTACCCCAACTTTGCCGGAGCCGCCGCTGGCGGCAGGGAGTGGTTGGGTTTTTCGGCATTTCAAGAAGTTTCGGCGCGCACACCCTTTCCAAGGCCTCTGCAAGCCATGCTTGGTGGGAGGGATCGATTTCCTCTTGAGGCAATACGGCGTCCGTCACATTGCTTTGCTTCCAGCCGCCTGGACCGGTTTTGGGAAAAGCATGGCTTGAGGCTTCAGGCTGCCACTCTCTTTGATTCGGGCAGCCCTTTCATCCCTCAAATGTTTGAGTGAAAAGGCCTGCTTTTCACCCACTGGACCTGGAGAGGATGGCCGTTCACAAGACGTGTTTCCCAACCCCGGCCCCCGGCTTCTCAACCAAACTATCCGCGCCAGCCAAACCAACCAGCGAACCAACTAACCCACCAACCAAGCAGCCAACGAACCACCCCAGCAAACAAGCAGCCAGACAACCCAGCAACCAAGCAGCCAGCCCAACCCAGCCGAAGTATACACCATGACAGCATGAGCCGAGGAGGTGCTGGTCTTGGACCTCTCCCCAGGTGATGTGCTGCACATCCCCTCCGGGTGGTGGCATCAAGTCCGGTCCCTGACCGCCTCCATCTCGGCGCGCCCGGTTGGGTTTAAATCGATTTGGTGTCGCTTTCTGGGGGATCACCTTGTTTGGGTTCCAAGTGGTTTTGCTTTCTTCCTGGTGTCCAAGAGTTGGGACTTGACCTTGGCGACGCCCATGGCTTCCAGCTCCAGCTCCTTAGTCACCGCTTCCTCGTCGATCCAGTGCTCTCTTTTTCTCTCTTTTTTTCTGTTTGGTTTGCTTTATCAGGGCCTCGAAAGGTTGGCGGGCCTGGGAGATAGCCAAGTTTGTCTAGCAACCCCCGAAGCAGGCGACCCTTATTCGGTTGTTCCTCCCCGTTTCCTTTCATTTTCGGTTTCCTGTAAATCGACGGACACTTCACTGTGAATATGACTTCATTTTCGACAGATCGGCAGTGGGCGCATTGTGGCCCCGACTGCCTCGAACCCGGTGGGTCGGGTCCGGAGCAAGTGGCCAGGTGAACTTCTGGTACTGAGCCGGTGCAACTGCTTGCTGCCAGAGGTTGGTGCCTTGCTCTGAAAGGCGGGGGCGGTTCCCGCACGTGGCGCGGCAAAAAAGGCGCAGAGCACGAAGGGGGTCGGAGGGAGCCTCTGATTCCGAATGTCCTTGAAACCTCGTGTGCGACAAAGGTTACTAGATGGACCCACAAACAGCCTCATGAAAAGAATATTACTGCCCCAAAACAAATAGGGTGCTTTCCCTTTCTTAAGAGTTTGAGGGTCCAGGTAGATGGATTCTCATGTTACTTTGGCAAGCTCCATCCGGAGTTTCCCTTTTGGGCAGCTTCCCTCGGTCACTAAAAGCCGTGGAGCTGTGCAGGGCGGCGGGATTTTCCGCGGGCGTTTTTGGCTCAAGACCCGGCGCAACGTTGGTGTCCATTTCTCGCAAGCGAGGACACTCAGCTGGGCGCGGCGCCCAGGAAATGGATGGGTTTTGGGGGGTATCTGTGGATGCGGCGCGGCCGTGAGGGCGAGGCTTCCGTTCCCTGGCGGCCCTATTCATGGTTGTTGTTGTTGTTGGGAAACTTTTTTTTGCTTATTGTGGTTTGGTGGGCCAACTTTTTTTGTTGCTCCCCTTCCAACGTCAACCGAGTATTTCTGGCAATGGCTTCTTTGCCGCGCCACATTGACCTTCCAAAGTGCGGTTGCTTGCGTGGCTCGCGGGCGCAGAAATGGGGGGGGGGTGCGGCTCGCTCGCTCCGAGCGCCCGAGGTTGCGTCATGAGCTTCTCGCGAGGAGCGATGGGGGGGGGAGCGCTTTGACCTTGGATCATGGGAGACCCGCAAGTTGGGCAGTCCTAGTCCCTTTGGGTACCTCAGGCCGGCCACAAGCCACGAAGGAAATGGGGGGCCCCGTGCTTCAGCTCTTGCAGATCATGGCTTCGCGGACGTTTCTTGCCGCCCAGCAGGGAATGAGAAATGGAATGACCCCTATACACAATTCCTATGCTTTTCTTTGAGGGAATCCATAGGTTCATTCCCAACAGCCTGGGGTCGTTCCCTCATTCCCTACTGAGCACCAGCCAGTTTTGCAGCCAGGCACCCGGTTCCGCTGGCTCCGGTTTCGTCCTCTTTTCGCGCCGCAGGCCTTTTTCTGGGCCTCCTGGCGCTGGGTGCGGCGGATGATCGCAGGCGAAAGAAATTAATTTTCGCGCTCACACTTCGTTTCCTTTGTTTTCTCCCTCTTTTTTCCAATATACATATATCTTCACTGTTCTTGGCATGTTTTTTGGTTTTTTAGTTTTTTGGTTCTGTTCATTTTTACTGGGGGTCTGCAAAAAACAAAGTTTTTCGCTACCAGTAGAGATGATATATATGTTTGTTCAGAGACCCATGGAAAGCGCCTCGAAAAAAGGCAGGTTTCTTCACTTTGAAAGACACACCCCTTTTTGAGGTGCGGTCGACATGTCCAGGCTATGGTGCATTTGGGGACGTTGGAGACTCGAAAAGACAGCCCAAACGTCAGGAAACAGCCGCAATGAGCCATTTAATAACGGCACAGTTAGATATTCTTTTGAGGAGGGAAACGCATAGATCGAAGCACACAACAAGCTACATAACGCACACCTAAACCTCATGAATGTGCACCTGCGCATGAAATAGGCATAGCATACTTCACATATTGCACATGCTATTCAGCTTTCTGATGAATTCCCCGATGCATGTCGATCGAGGTGGCTGCCTCAAGACTTGTCGCCAACGGGTAAGATGATCTCCGGCCTTGAGCCGTTGTTTGGGGTTGGATCTTGGCGCTTGCTTCGTGGCCGCTGGCACAGGGAACCTTAGGGCCTGAATGTGGCCCTAAGGTTGGGATGCCCTGCACTCCGCAAATGCAGCTGGCACCAGGGTGAGAGTAGATGGCACGAGGCCGTTTATATATTACGATGCATGTGCACATGTATATATATATACACATACATGTAAAGATCTGTTCGTATATATGTACATGTATTCTGTCCATCTATCTATCTATCTAGCTAACCTTATCATATCTTATCTTATGTTATCTAATTTGTTCTGGTCATGTCTTGTCTTGTCTTGTCTTGTCTTATCTTATATTTATCAATCAATCAATCAATAAATCTATCTATCAATCAATCAATAAATAAATCTATCTATCTATCTAATCTATCTATCTATCTATCTATCGATCGATCTATCTATCTATCTATCTATCTATCTATCTATCTATCTATCTATCTATCTATCTATCTATCTATATAATCTATCTATATATCTATCTATCTATCTATCTATCTATCTATCTATCTATCTATCTATCTTCCTACCTACCTATCTATCTATCTATCTATCCTATCTAATCTAATCTAATCTAATCTAATCTAATCTAATCTAATCTAATCTAATCTAATCTAATCTATTCTATCTATCTATCTATCTATCTATCTATCTATCTATCTATCTATCTAATCTATCTAATCTATCTAATCTATCTAATCTATCTATCTATCTATCTATCTATTCTATTCTATTCTAATCTAATCTAATCTAATCTAATCTAATCTAATCTAATCTATTTATCTTTCTATCTATCTATTTATCTATTTAGCAAACCTATCTATCTAGTCCAATCTAGTCTATCCGCTTCTAACATCATCTAATCTACTATATCTAATCTAAGCTAAGCTAATCCAATCTAATCTATTCCAATCTAATCTATCTACCTACCTACCAATCTATCTATCCATCCATCTATCTGTCGATCTATCTATCTATCTATCTCTATCTATCTATCTATCTTCCTACCTACCTATCTATCTATCTATCTAATTTAATCTAATCTAATCTAATCTAATCTAATCTAATCTAATCTATCTATCTATCTATCTAATCTATCTATCTATCTATCTATCTAATCTAATCTAATCTAATCTAATCTAATCTAATCTAATCTAATCTATTCTAATCTAATCTAATCTAATCGAATCTAATCGAATCTAATCTAATCTAATCTAATCTAATCTAATCTATCTATCTATCTATCTATCTATCTATCTATCTATATCCATATCTATATCTATATCAATATCAACATCTATGTCTAGATCTATCTATCTATCTTCGTTTGATTGTGTATTTGTTTGTTTGTTTGTTTGTTTGTTTGTTTGTTTGTTTGTTTGTTTGTTTGTGTAAGCAAGTAAATGTTTGTAGGTACGGGGGTGGCCCAACCGTGGGTGAATTTCACCCAGCTTTGCGAGAGGCTCCAAGCCTACGGGGGATGCCCGCGCTGGGAGAGCACGACCTTCTCGGATGAGATGTCGCCCTTTGGGTGGCCGCTGACGCCCAATGACTGGAGCCCGGGGGCCCAAAAAATATGTTTCGGAGCCAAAGTTGGTTTTTGTGCGGAAGGGGAGGTGACCTTTGAGCGAAATTTTTTCGGGGTGGGGGGAGGGGACGTCGTTTTAATGGCTTCCAAGCCCAGAGGCTGAATTTGGACTCCTTGACCACTTCTTGGTTTTGATGCTCAGCAAACGGGGGGGGGGCGACGGGGGGATTGTTTTTGGTTGCAAAGTGATGTGTTGTGGGGCAGGGCGGGCCATGAGAGAGGCCTAGGAGCGTGAAGAGCGCGCTTTGCGCCAGGCTTTGCAGAGGAAGGCAACTGGCCAGACAAGTATTTGGCCACCTGGCTGAGAGGGGGGCGGGGGGCGGGGGGGGGCTGGCCTGGGGCCCGGTCGCAAGGAAGCCACCTTTTTTTTTTGGTCCCCGAATTTTGAGACAGGTCCACTTGCATGGGGGGGCATGATGGACATTTCTATGGGAGCTTGCCGGATGGCCGCTGGCTGAAAGCCCAAATGCCCTCCGAAATGCTACCTCCACTGTTTGGCTGCAACCATGATTGGCGTATGATGCGAAGGTCTCGATGATTCAAAGGCATGGATTTCCGGGTGGTGGAACCAAGCCATGCTTTTGGGCGGGGGAAATTGATTGCAGATGCTCCTGCTGCAACTAGGGGCCGTGTTCAACCCACGAAAGTCGATTCAAGCCACATGTCCCTTTAACCGGAGGTTGGTTTGATCATACATTTGCAACCTACTAGGTGGGTAAAATGACCACCCATGCTTTTTCCCTCGCAAGGATGGTCTGTCCTCGCACTTGTGGATCAAGGGGTTGATTTCCAGGAGGATATTGGGGATTCAGCCTTGCCGCTTTCAAGAACGAGTATATGGTAGCAGGGGGACTCGTGATTTGGAAACGGGGAAGGAATCTGGGTGCTTGGCATGACCTGCGGTTTCCGTGCTGGTGCTCAGTAAGGAATGTGGGAATGAAACCAGAATTCCCCTTAAAGGAAACCACAAGGGATGCTTTATAAGGGTGTTTCCCTCATTCCTTGCTGAGCACCAGCAAGTTGCCATTTGGCCTCCCCCATGCCATACTTTCAACAAAAACCGACGCTTCCCCTCGCCCCATGCCCGGGTGTCGTTTTTCGGAGGCCTGCGGCGGCATGCGGCAATCGCCCATCTCCATCCCTCTCCATGACACAGCCTGCGGCATTGACAGGTGCGGGACGGGGGACAGAGGCCCCAGCCCACTCTGAATTCGGGGTTATCTAGCATTCTTTTCAACCATCGTTCTTTTCAACAACCAGCTGAATCCCTGGTTTTTGATGGTTTCCTGGAAAGAAGGATCCCTGAAAAGAGGTTAGCGTATTAATATGCTAGTGTTCAAATGTCAGCAGATCATCCACCTCATTGAGCAGGCTTGCTGACGCCTGCGTTGGGGAGCAGGGGAGGGTTCCCAGGGTACTAATCACCCCAAAGCCCCTCCTTCTGCGGAAACTGGGGCATTCATAGAACATGGACACGTGCGGGCCCTCCGAAAACAGGGTGGGCGAGCCCGACGGCGCCTTGAAGGACGCGGCCTTCTACACCGTGCCTCGGTCCAGACCAACTGAACCGACACAAAGCAGAAACAACCAGCTGGCGCTTGCCCGGCAAAAAAACAAAAAAATCAAACGACCGCCTGGAAAAAGCACGGACAGCACCTGCAACGTGTGGAGACCGCTTTGTTGGGGCAGTGCTTGACATCTGCAGATCTTTTCGTTTTCTTGGGCGGGCATAGGGCCATAGGGCACTAGGTCTCGTCTTCCCATGTTCATGTAGCCCGCACGGCGCAGCGAGGTGGTCTCCGGCGCTGACGTCAAAGTGAGTTGCTTGGCACGAGAATCGCACGCCTCAAGGGGCCGATGTTGCGGCTGCAGCGGAAACGCAGCCTCGACTTGCATGCATGCATTACATGCATGTAACGCAAATGTAAAGCGAGTGGTACGCGCGTAGTGTAGCGCAATGTATGGCGCGAATCTGATATAATTTGCGAATTTCAATGTAGGGTAATGCAATATAGGCATGTAAAGGGAAGGTAAGGCAAACAACAGTACGTACGTGCGGTCCGCCTGTATTGTATTGCAATGCATGTGTGTAAGTAATTCAACAAAATATGACGAAACATGTTGAACATGTGATGCCATGCGTGCAATGGCAACTACATGTTTTGTATGTACTGCACTGTAATGCAGGGTGATGCAATGCAATCTAGTGTGGAGTTCGGAATTGTAACGCAGAGTATGTTTCGTAATGTCTGCACGTTATGCCTACATGTACGCATGTTGGCCAACATGTGTGTGTGTGTGTGTGTACGTGCATATGCATCATGCAAAGCAGTGCAGCGTAGTGTGAAGGAATGCATTGTTTGCAATGTTTTGTATTGTGTTATGCCAATGCTATGTTCTGTTGTGTGATGTATGTAATCTATGTAAAGCAAGCAATGTACGGTATTGCTATGTAAGGTATTTCGGTTTAGTGTCAAGCATGATGAATGCATGTATTCGTGTATGCATTCACGGATGAATGTATGTTGTTGTTCTTTCTTCCTTTTTTTTCTATTCTTCCTTTCTTTTATCATTCCTTCCTTTCTGTTATTCTTCATTCCTTGCTTTTATGCTTCCTGCTTTTCTTGCTTCCTTCCTTCCTTCCTCCCTCCCCTGTTTGATTGTTTGTTTGTTCTTAATCTTCCTGCTTTTGGCATTGAAGGACGCTGTTCTGAGCAGGTGGCGTTTTAGTCCCAAGTGCTACACATGCAAATGCCAACCCCACGGGGATGGGTTTTTGGCCGCCGAAAGCCCATAGGGTTTAGGGTACTTTCTGGGTGGGAGTCAATCAGACCCCACATGGATGGAGCATTTTCCTTTTCAGGCCACTACATGCGCACCATCCACGTGGATGGGGCCTTTGGGATTCTGAAGCTGAAGGGCGAGTCAGGCGGCACCCGGATGGGCTATCAACTTAATGACGTTTCGGTTCCTTTTGTTGTTACTGACAAAAACCTGAAGGTCGCCTGCCTAGGATGCTTGGGGGTTTTGACCTGGTTTCAAATCTCGAAATCCCGTTGAGCCAGCCCCAGCGAGGAGCAAGCTGTGGTGGCAGGGATGGCGCGGCTTGCTATTTGCGCGCGGTGCCGGTCCAATGCTGTCCATAGAACCCCTGGCATTGTCTTTGCATGTCTGCATTTCCCGCTCCCTCTTGCTGAGGCATTTCTTTGTGCTGTTTCGCTCAGAAAGCCCACCAATAATTAGACCATCGCTGGCTAGAATCAATGTGGGACCCCGTGTGTTGAGCAAGCGAAGGTTAGTGCTTGCTCATGAGGAGCCAGCCAGTGTTGATTGCCATGATGGATCCAAATATGGGTGTGTGCTTCGTGTTGGATGCTCTTTTCTCTTTGCTAAACAGGCAAGCCAGAAGGAAGCCTACGAAGCGTCTCATTCGTGCCAGTATCTTTCCTTGAAAAGTTTCAACTTCAAAGAACGCGCAAAACCATAGCTAATCAGTTGTTCCGCCTTTCGTTATCTGAGCAACATGTTATCTATTTGCAGGGGGTTCTGAGTCTGGGCCAGAAAGTTGTCCTTTGGCTTCCCTTTGACACAGCCAAAAATATGGATGTGGGTCAAACTTAAACCACTAGGGGACGGCAGGTTTGAGTCCATGTTTCCATTTACCCTCGATTTCTGCACCTGCTGTAATTTGGCGATGGATAGGCGAGGAGGTGGAGTACGAGGCGATCTCTGCGCACATCACCGCGCCGAGCATGCACAAGATGGACGACAAGCATTACGCGGCCCGGCCTGGGCGAACTTCCCGGGGCCCTGATGTTGGCTTACAAAAATATGGAAAACCTGGAAGGCCCCTGCTGGAAGAGTGGATATCTTTGCCCAGGTTGAGGGGTGAGCATTGACCACAGGATAGCTGGGCTTTCAGCATTCCGATTGGAAAAGAGATCCCCTGGAACCGTGTTATCTATAGATGAACCCCAAGCAAAGCACAAGACCCGCCCTCTTCAAGATCTCAGCTGATACGTCCAACCCCCCGGCAAACCTCTTGCCCTCCGGTTGCCAAAGGCCGAGAAATCCAGGCCGAGCTGATGCTGTGTCCGAGGTCTCTGGGCCTTCGGGACGGGACAGGGGGAGAATATGTAGAGAAGTTGCAATTAAGGCTGCGGAGCTTCTGGTGCTGCACAAGCCCAAAGGGGCCATTGACATGGTCAACGCGGCTTGGCAAGGTGCAGAGGCTTGTCTTTGTTCTCACCTCAGCCATCGCTTTGATGGGAGTGGCCCGCGCGCCAAAGACGAGCCGGGCAAATGCCCAAAAGCAGCCGGCTGCACAAGCGCTGGGTTACCTAAGTGGGCCGCAATCAAACTCTGGGAGTGCAGGCTGGACAGTCCGCAGAAATGGTGCGGCAAGAAGCCAAGCTATGGGTTGATGGGGGTCCGGGCTGGCCAACCGGTCGTGCTATCCGGTTGTCGATGTACGGTTGCAATCTACTGCAACAACTGTACAATGTAGGTTGAGCACCCAAGCGAGTTCAGCTGGCCATGGTGTTTCATGTGTCTACACCCCCCCTCCCCCATGTGCAACGTTGACAACGCCACTTTCACATTTTTTCAGAGGGCTACAATCTCGCAACGGCGAATGGTATCATTGCTAGTTCGCAGGAGTGCCCAGACTTGCTCTGGATATTTTCATGGAATCCATCAAGCCGTCATGTAAGAATTGTTGACCCCATATGAATCGACCCCAGTTTATAAATTGGGGGGGGTCCCTGGGTTTGGTGGGGAATCCATCACTTTGGAGGGAAACACCCCTTTGCATGTATAAACAGGGGTTGAGTAATATGGGGTCATCATTAAAACAGCAACCATGTGAAGCGTAACTTGCTAGCCTATTGTTTCGTGGAACCCAACATCAGGTCGAAATATCAGCCCCAACGAATCTTCTTTTTGGGACAGGGTCCCCCCTCCCTCCCCGGTTTTTTCGGGAATCTGTCAATCTCTCCCCCTCCTTGTCCGCCGCATCCGAGGAAGGAGTCATCGTGAGTGTCCTGTTTGATGACACGAACGGCTCCGAGAGCCACCTCTTCGCCCACTTCGGCGCCTTGGTCCTTGGTTGACGACAGGACTCCCCCAGAATTGGTTCCCATTTTCATTCGTTTTCCGCTTTTTGAAGGTCCCCTTGGTTTTCCACTAACCAGGCAAACAACCTAATTTTTTCTGGGGTGTCAAGTCCACCCAAGAGGAAAGGATCGGGATAGTGGCGGACTTTTCAGGCCACTTTTGGTGGGTGTCCAGGACACAGCGCCTCAAAGTGACAAAGTCGAGTATCACACCAAGTGGTTTTGAAGTCACCTTCCCACGCCTTGATGCATGGGGTCCATGAACCCTAAATATTCCAAGTAAACCAACCATACTCAGCCACCAAACCCATATTGACCCCGGACTACTAACAGCCCATATTCTATTGATAGGGGGTGTTCCCCTGCCCTATTGTTCTAGGGGTGCCTTCCCCATTCTTTCCAGGGATCCGTCTTTTCAGGAAACCATAAACACACAGAAGGAACAAAAACAGCCGGTTTTTGAAAGAACGCTGGTTGAAAAGAATGGGGAATCAATCCCTAGAATTGTGCCAAATCACGGTGCGTTGCTTAAGGAATTTGCATGGAGCTTGTTTTTTTCCAGGCTTCCCCGCTGATGGCACGCCCAGCCCTGGGAAGAAGTGGCCGCAGCCGCACTACATCGACCTCGCCGAGGTGCGAAAGTCGACAAGAACCAAGAAGGAAGAAAATGAGAGCTGAGAGGAATAGGGTGCTGTCCATCCTTTTGTCGCGATAGGCCAGATTGTTGTCCTGCTGCTTTGCAATAGGCCATCTTCTTTGCAATAGGCGTTTGGAAGCTGCTGTGCAGGTATTTCTGAGGTTTCGGGCGGTAAGGTGTGTCTTTTTGGGGCATCCTATCCACTTCCGTGGGGGCAAGCCAACTCTCAGGGGAGGGTGTTGTTTTTGCAGGCGCCCGTGCAGCCAATGACGAGGCTTCCAAAGTGAATTTGTTTGACGCGTGTGGGACCGGTTAATGTTTAAAGCGTCAGGTCCAAGATTGGGACTTGTCATTTGAACAACCCCTTCTGGGTTTCCTTCATTTCCCCATATTCCCTTGGCCAGGATTGAAGCCGATTCTTTGCAGGGGGTGGATCTGTGTTTGGGGGAACCGAACCAGGATTTCGGGCCCGACTCTTGGAAGCGGTAAAGCAGGCATGAGAATGGCCCCCTTTGGTATCACAGATCTAGGGGCAACTTCCCTATTCTTTCTTTCCAGAAAACCACCAAACACCCCTGGGGAAATGGCTTTTGAAAAGAACGATGACTGAAAAGAATGGAAAAGGAATCAACCCCTAGCACAGGAGGTGATTTTCCGGGACCCGTGCAGCTTTGACATGTGCAGGCTCTGTCCGAGGCGCTGGAGGGGTCTTCGTACCAGCGGCGCGGCGGAAAGAAATCTCGGGCGGCAGGGGTGATGATTTGTTGCGATGGGACTTGAGCAACCACCTGGCTGTGGGTCAAAACCGTTTTGGGATCCCATTTGGTGGGTAGGTGAATTCACCACCCATGTTAGAACCTATTTTAGTGGGGATTGGGATGTTGACTGGGGGTACGGGAGTTTGACCCATGGCCTACGAAGGGGCTAAATAGATTAACATAAGTTAAGCTGCTGAGCGTTTGCTCTGCTGGTCACGGCTTAATTTGGATTTCTGGCACTCAAACCCCACTTTCCAAACATTGACGCCTTGGTACCTGGTTCTAGCCAGACCCTCCCCATTCCGTTCAGAGTATCCTGTTCAGAACATGGAACAACACCCAGGGAGAGTAGGTTTCTGAACAGAAGGATGCTGAAGAGACTGGGAATTCAACCCTTAGATTTCGAGCAGCCCGCATAGTTGTTGAATTACCCTGAACATACACTCGCCAACATATGCATTGCTTCCAGGGTCTCCTTTGGGAACCCTCTTAAAGGCATGACTGATCGCTTTCCTTTTTCACTCGCCTTAAAAACCCTTGCTTTTGCGACCACCCCCCTCCCCACAAACAGCACATGGGTTCCATGCTCAGACCGTTAGGTACGATGGCAGCGTGCCAGTGCCGCCGTGCCACGAGACCATCAAGTACTTTGTCCTGGGCCAGGCCTGGTCCCCCCCCCCCCCCCCCGTCAAGAGGCGGCCTCAAAATAAGAGAAGACCCCGTCAACGAGGCCTGTGTTTCCTTCTGCCGCACCTGTTGGCCACAGCAGTCATTTTTTCATAATCTTGTTTGTTGGTGGGTGTTGAATGGCATACCGGGAAGAGGTGGTTGAAATGGACATCGGGTCGACCGTGTTGAGTGAGAAAATGACTTGCGTTCCCAGTAGGGTATCAAGAAGGGCTTTGAGAATGAACCGCAAGACTGCCCTAAGGAACCCACCAGTTAGACGGCGGTTCAGTTGTGGGTCATTTCTTTCCGAAGTCTGACAACCAGCAAGTAGACGTCCGGGCCCGCAAATGTCGATCAGTTTGCCGTTCGCTTCCACTGAAAGTGTATTTTTTCCGGTGTCCCAAAACTTGACTGCTATTGGGTTGGATCTTTAGACTTTCACTTTTTGGGACATCAAGGGGTTTTCCATGAAACCTGCTTAAAGTCAAGCTTTTTGCAGACCAAATTTGCTCAAAAATCGACGAAACATCGCAAAACACGTCCTCATTTAGGCGCCCTGCCCTTAGGAAAATCACGTTTTTTCCAGAAAATGGCAACAGCAACCAGGGAACCGCGAGAACCAGTAGGACGGCTCCTGGCTGGAGGTCGAAGGTAAGTCGCGGATGGCAGGTGCAGCCGATCCTCACAACGCAGGCCAAGGCGGTGGAGGAGGTGCTGGGCTGCTGGGGAGGCGCGTTGTGAGAACCTTGGGGTATGGGTGTGGCTCAAAATTCAAGAGCTAGGGCAAATTGCGGGTTTTAGTCTTTGGTGGCACTTTCCAAGGTTCTATTGTGGTACATGTTTTTGAGCCACAGCCGTATGGGGTAATGTTAACCCCGGATTCATAAACCCCTGGTTGATTTTGATCGGGTGGTGTCCGCTTTTAGTGCTTGGATTTAGACCACTTTTAGAGGGAACACCCCCCTAATAGTGGGACGGGTTTATTAGTCCTGGGTCAACATTGTGGGAGTTGGAGTGGCAATTGTGGTCCTTTTGGTTTCCCTTTGAACTCAGACAGATACCCACTTCCAGGGCCTGACGTCCGCAAAAAATCACCTGCTGGGGGGGGGGGGCAGCCTTTTTGACCCCCCCCCCCCGATGCTGGGGTCCTGCATGTTTTGGGCTTGGTCGTTTTCCGTTTTGGTTCTGTTGTGACGTCTTCGTGACGCTGACCTCATGCGCCAGTGACACCTGCTCAAGCTTGTGCCTAATCTGGTACCTCCAAAAGTGGCACGTTCGGGGGAACCCACTGGTAAATTGATTGCTGTCGGGTTGGATCCTTAGACTTTCCTGAGACTTTTCAGCTGTTTTTGGACATCTGAAGGGCTTTCCGTATTATGAACCACAAGAAGTTGAGCACCTTTTCTCCAGATAAGCCGTTGCCGCCGGCAACCTGCGCTTGGGGGGGGTGTCTCGAGTCAGCAGGCGGCATGCTGAAGCGCACGGTGGTGGGAGGACATGGAGGCCACATGGAATCGGTGGGTGGCGAAAGGAGCCGGCCGAAAGGATAATTTTTGCTTTTTGGGGGTTCCGGGCTTCCCTAAACTTGACTGCTATTGGGTTGGATCTTTAGACTTTAACTTTTTGATTGAAATCAAAGGATCCGCCACTAAACCCACAAAAAGCGAAACTTTTTGCAGAGGGGTCAACAGCAACCAAGTAAACAAGTATCCAACCAGAAGGGGACACCCTTCAAAAAGATTGACCCATACAGTGGATGGAGCACCACTTTGAGACAGAGGGAAACCATCGCTTGTTGGCATTTACAGCAGGGTCCCCATTCAAGGGTTGCTCACGCGGTGCAGGACTGCGTCCATCCGCAGTATGTCCCTGATGGGTGGCTTCTAGCATCATCTGTTTGGGGCCGCGGAGTTGTCCACGGGTGATGATTTTGAAGGGGAAAAGAAAGGACATCTTCCCGAGGTCTGTTGCAGGGCGGCGGGGCCTTGTTTTCGCCATGGGGCCAAAGAGCCGGTATTCCATCAAAGGGCGTCAGATGGTCAAAAACATGTTGCTCAACCCTGTTAACACCCAGTTGTCCGCGGACCCTGTTGGATAAAAAAACATTTCGTTTCGAGTAGCTCCGCTCTTGGTTTCCCCTCAAGCGGGTCTAGGGTTGCTGAACCAATCTTAAACAGGTCAGGTAACGCCCTCCAAGGCTTCCAGGAACGGAAGAGTTACAGCTACAACATTTCACTGGCAGGCGCCTGACCCTTGAAGCGACGCTTTGCAAAGAACCCTGTAACTTGCTGCCCCCGACATCTGAGCGATATCAATGGTTTGCCCGAATGAGCGGGGGGGGGTGGGCACGCTTGAATGGAATCTTGTCACGCAGCCAGTGATGGGGGACATTATGTCGCTGGCATTTGAACGGGGATCAACCCGATGTGTTGGTGGACCACAATAAAGGCAACTCTTGTTCACACAGCCAATGTGGCTGGTCAAAAATCCGTGCCCAAAATGGGTTGCCCTGGTAAATGGAACCGAGGTCTAAATCCTATGGTCCCCTAGTGCTTGAATTTGACCCATACCCATGTGGCTGCGGACCATTTTGCCTCCTGTGCGGTCTCAAGCGCGCGGATTTTTCAGGACTCCTTCCCCATTGGGAAGAATCCGAGGGCTCAACCGCGTGCCCCCAAAAGTAGGCTCCTCTGATCTACACCCTTCACATACATACCCCTTGCCCGTTGAAAAATTGGATATATACATACATATATATATATACGTATGTACACACATCTGCAGATGTATGTGCGTAAACACACGCGCGCGCATATATATACATATATATATATATATTATGTATATATACATATGTATATATAAATATATATACATAATGTACGACTGTACGTATATCAATGTGTGTATGTATGTGTAAACATCTGCTCAAGCTTACAGATGCATGTATTCACAGTTGAGACGCCCCGCCTCAAATCAGACACGAAGGCAATTGCCGGTCGGTGAAGAAGGACGACCTAGTCATCGGCGGGCCCCATCACGGGCCCACCTGTGAGGCAAGCTGACGCGTTTTTTTGGACCGGAAGGCTCCCGACCACTAACCTTCGATTTTGGTCATTCCTTTCACCCCGACAAGGAGAAGTGCGGCATCTACTTGCTCTTGGTGTAAAACTGGGATCTCGCTTGATGTTAGTTGCCATTTTGAGGTTCACTGAGTATAGACAGGCATCTAACACAAGGTTGTTTACTCCCTAAAAGGTTGACTTATGTTGACTTTCAGCAATCACGGCTGCGGAAGGCAACCATGATTTGGACGGGCCTCCTGTCCACTTTAGCATTGTTGGACAAGAGTTGGTGCCTCCCCATTCTGTCCAGGGTGCCCCCTGCACATGTCTGATGTGCGAAAAGAAACCAGGGTTGCAAAAGAATGGGGTCCAACCGTTCAACTCCTCTTCAAGGGGGCCGTGCCCTTGAGTGTGTTCAACGGTATTAGGAACCCATGCTCTGTGATGTTTGGCCCGCGCACCATTGACACTGATTCATCATTCATCAGGGGGTTGCTCGGGGGGTATAAACAGCTTGGGCCCCACGATGATACCTTTTCTGTGTGTTGATTTACGATTGTTGTTTGAAGTACCAGAATACTTAAAGGCTTACAGGGGCAAATGCTAACTCTGCCAACATCTGCTGATCTTTTTCCTTCCGCGGGTCCTTCGGGTCCTTGCTTTTGCTAGCCAGTGCGAATCTTGTCTGGGGCCTTTGGATGCACGCGACCTGTCCAAGTTTGGTATGTGAGTAGTCGCCTCTCTTTTAGGTTTCCTGTTTCAGCTACAAAAGGGGTCAGCAGTTCTAGGTTTCAGGGTTTCGAGTTTCTGTTCAACAGGGGGTCAGCACTGTGGACAGTTCTGATCACGCTCAAAGGCCCTGGTTGGGGTGAGGTTCTGTATAAGGGAGACCCATTCTCAGATATCCAAGCACTATATAGAGTTGTTCTCTTTTTCAGCAAATTAAAAGGATCTCTGCAGGCTGCAGTGGCGAGCCACACTAGCTACCGCCTGGCTGCGTGCTGGGACTACGGCATGTCAGAGGCAGAGCGCGCAAGCCGCCCGGCAGTTTGCTTCGCCCAAGTGGTCGTGGAGGCCAACTCACCAGCCCAGGCATCTTTCGCGGGATACCCTTTGCACCAAGGTTATGGGATTCCGGGGGTCATTTTTCAACACAGACACACAACACCTGGAACTCATCAGAAAGTGCGGAAGAGGAACATTGTCTTTCAGGAACGTTAGGATGTTAGGCGGGAGGGGCGCATGCCATCGTTGTTGGCCGAATGGGCAAGCGAACAGCTGGAGGTAGAAGCCCAGTGCTTGGGGATCCCTTACTTCAGGTTTTGGACATTGTTTTGACGCTCCCCAGTCACGAACCAGACCTTTGGCTTGGAGCGTTGGCCCGCTTTGAAGCGCATTTCTTGGGGTGCTGTGTGCAAGAGACAGGCATATGAACTCCAGGTGGGAGCCAGCCCCAGTTTTTGACATATCTTGGGCTCCACTTTCGAACTGGAGAGAAGTTTGGAAAACTGACTGTGCCATCTGCTTGCTTGAGCTGTGCGTCATGAGGCTGCGTCCAGTCCCCCATCGACATCATGCCTTCCATGGCAACTTGGCAAGACTGAGACTGCGCCGTGAAGACGTGCCGTGCTTTAACGTGTCCGCACATGTCGTGATTCAGGGTGCTCCGTAAACATATGTAATAACGCATGTGTATACATATATCTATGTAGATAGCATGTATGTTTCTTAGATATATTTACAGAGATTAGTACATTTGCTTTTCAGGGTGGTACTGACCAATATCCAAGGGTGGAACGCACTCGAGTCCTCGAGTCCCTAAAAGTTCTGTTCCTTTGTGTGGGGAAGAGCCAGGCAAGACCAAACAAGGGATTGAGATCCCTTGATCGAGGGCATCAGGAAATGGCATGTAGCTGTTTCCAGCGCAGTCCTTTTTGCGAGACCTTGTTGGAAGCATTGTGCAGCCCAGAAGTGGCGGATCGGCGCGGCAAACCGGTTCAAGCAAAGAAGCCAAGGGCCCCCTGTAGCGAACCCCAGATGAGGTTGCTTAAGCAGCAGCGGTTTCTGCGTTTTTTTTGTGTTTTTTTTCCTCCATCATGTGCGTACCTCAACCCTTGCTACCCGGCGGTTTGGGTTGCAACAAAAGCTTCAACCAGACCCCGTCCATATATTTTTTCCCGGGAGCCTGCTGAATTTCATCAGGGACTTGGATCGCACGCCTTGTCGATTTCGGGCCTCGCCCCTGGCCGTGTCTTAGGCCTCCACCGCAGAGAGCACCAAGCCTCAGTTCAACCTGCGCCCCATCAAGAGCGCCCGCTTGAAGCCTGGCGCCTCGGCTTCTACCCTTTAGGCAAAGTCGCCACTCAGAGCTTGTGCCTTTCCCTGGAGTCGAAAAAGGGCCAGCACCCATCACAGGTGAGATTGAGGGCCTTTGGGTTTCCAGCTTTTTGCCTTTGCCGATTGCCTGCCAGAACCCTGTTTGTTTACCCATGGCTTCTGAGGTTGGAAGGGTTGGGCAGCTAGGAATCGATCTGCGATGCCTCAAATTTCGGACACGCCCCGCAACTGGGCTTCGGTTTTCCACCTAGGGACACCAACCCAGAAGAAGGACAGAGCAACCGCAGGCAACCATCCGTGTGGCAGGCTTCCTTATAAAAGCCCCTTCTAAAAGCTGCGTCACCACTTTGAGACGCAGCTAGGTGGGGTGGCTGAATCAAGAGGAAGGCTCTGCAAAACCACATTTTTTTGGCCTCCCCTCCCCCCACTCTTGGGACAACCTCTAAGCCAACCCCCAACGCAAGCACAAAGCCAACCCTGAACCATACCGCTACCCGAAAGTTTAAGCAACTACTAATAGTCTAATGTACTCCAATAATCATGACTAAATTGTCTTTTACTTTCCTAGTATTCCACAAACACGTTCTTTCTACTTAAGCCCTAGCACTCAGCCTTGGACCTCAATTCGATCAGATCACGGCACGCGCTGAGGGAACTACTCGCTGGAGGCGTACCCACTGGAGATTGGCGCACCTGCGCCGCTGCCAAACTTTGGGACCATCATGATCCTGGGGAAGAAGTACATGGTGCGGAAGAAGCTTCACTGTTGGCACGTCTTCAGCTTTTGTTTTTGTCTTTTGTTTTTTTTCTTTTTTTAAAAGGCTGCCAAAAGCAAAGTTGTTGCATGCCAAGGGTTCGACACGGCCCTCACTTGGCTGCTGCCACTTTCTGTGGCCCCCTTCAAAGTGACAAAGCAGTCTTAGGAATGACCTGTGTTGGTCGCAAGGGTGGTTTTCCATGACGAAGACTAGAGGAAAGATTGCAGCGAGGGAAGCTTTCGGCACGCAGTGGGCTGCCAGAGGTCGATCATTGGAGCATGTCGTGTCTGGTTTGTTTCGAACTAAGATGCGTCCCACTGGCTGCGGCTTGTTTTCAATCATATGCCAGTTCCATCTATGTTTGACAGGGACAAACACTCACTGGTAAGGATAAATAGCTGAAAAACACCGCAGACTGCTTGGCCGGTCTCGTCAACGCCCACAGGATACGGAACATCCTTGGACGCTCCAGCCAACAGTTTTGCATATATACATATATATAGTTCGGTCTAAATTTCCGATTTGGGGGACTTGCAAGCCCCAAGTTCCCCTTTGTTGGGAAACCCTTCGCAATTTTGACCATCGCTCACTTCGGCCACAATAGACTACAGAAAAAAGTTGGTACCTTGATTCGCACCTCTCAAATCTGGAGGACCTAGACTAAAGGTTAAACTTTTAGCAGACCTGAGGACAGCCCACTCACCTGCCAACCGACACGGGGATTTTTCGGGTTTGACCGAGTCCCGGCAGCGAGGATTTCGGTGAAGCCCATCTCCAGCCACACCTACGGGGACGAGCGCTACGTGGGGGAGGTCCAGATCGAAGCCCTGGTCTTTGGGGATGAGATTTCCACGGCGGCGCAAGGAAAAGGAAGGGCCGGCATGGAAAGGCATGGGGGGAGGGTCTCAAAAGATCCACTAAAAGCATCAGAGACCCTTGTGTCAACAGAGGCCCGTGGTTCCTTTCGGATGCTATAGGCCTGATTGTCTTTTGGTGCAAGCGATCGGAGCTCGTTGATTGGAAGCGATTACAGGGCCTCCTAAGAAA